ATGCGTGAATATGTCAACACGTTGTTGTAAGAAACGTCGGCATTGTGTCGTCATAATTTCGGGGCTAGCCCCGATCGGCCCCGATGATTTAGTAAAAGAAACAGAAAACAAACGAGACAAACGCGGCGAGTGGAAGATAAAAGAGAGAATACGATATACAATGAGCAACCGGGGCAAAATCGGCGTCGCCCCGTCGACGTTCGGCGAAGGCTTTGCGAGCGAAAAATGAACCATGTCGGGGAGAATATGGCTAGTGTAGACAGTCTGTGCAACCGATATTGAGGTATTTTTCGAATATTTTTTATTATACCGAAAAAACAACCGGGGCATTGCCCGGTTGGCCCTATTGACGCGCCGCCACTAGTTTGGTAATATTGCTTGGTGGTGTTTAACTGATTTATTTATCCCTGTCTTTCTTGAATCGGGGATGCAAGTTAATCTTAACGTTAGATAGGAAAAATGAAGAAGAATTACGGAAATATCGGTATCCTCTGCAATAAAAGCAGCAGTACCTCCTGGAATGACAGCAGGCGAGTGGATAATCAGGTTCCATTACATTCGAACGCACGTACATTCGGATATACACATGGGTTCAAATGTACGGTCACCGGATAATCATATTATCTGCTCCATCATGTGAAGTTACAATATCTGATCTACCATTTTACATGAGGTACTAAGTACCATCTAAACTCAGCAAGAGATAAGAGTTTGTTACTGCAGTTGGCGTGACGAACTGTTTTAAATATACTGTATATTCTACAACAAGATTAATTAATTGCACATTACTGAAAGTTATGCAGCATATTTAACTGATTTATATTAAATCAGTATTATACAGCGTAGTCTCCAAAAAACGGAACCATCAATTTCTCAATCAATTATACGAAAATGAAGAGAATAATTTAATTTTGTCCACACTTGAACTTTGCGTATTGTTTGCGTATGTTTGTACCCAGAAGTGTCGGAAAATGTAGGACGTTTTGCACAAAAATTATGTTCTTCATAAAATTTGTTCCAAATGCTCTCCTCGACATTGAAGAAAGACTTGCATTCTTTTTGCAACATTGTCAATCACTCTTCTTTGGGGATTTGCTAGTTAAAAATTCGTCCAAGAAGGCGCTGGCAGAAAAAGGGTTGGGAAACACTGTGCTAGAGCAATGAGCATATATACAATGAGTGGAAACTTGCAAAGATTTGCTCATTGTGGCATTGTTCCCTGCATTTTTACGTCGTCCAGCTAAATGTTTCGTTGCATATCAAGAAAATGCATTGCTCGCTGCCAAAATCCCTTGCTTCAGCCGAGTCGGGTGCGAAATTGGCCGTATTAACTTGACTTGAGGTCTTTAATTCTTCAATACATATTTGATTTTGGTTTCGAAGTATGGTACGCTGAAAGCATACAACTATGAGCATATGCTTATTGGGAATGCATATCTATTGGACAGAAAACGTATCTACAGAACAGAATATGAACCAGTCGCCGAGAGGAGTGCGGTTATTTATTTATTTATTAATTGATATAACATGGGATTTTAACATATTTATCCAAAGGGGAGAGGAAAGCCGAAAAGAAGGCCTAAATATATGGCGAACCACGGCCTCTCTCAATCATAGCTCTGTGCTCCATATGAATCAACATGGCTCTGGCGAGCTATTCGATTACTTTATTAAAAATACTGATTTTAACTATAAAATTACTCTGGGGTAATCTTGCCATTGAAAACAAAAGCCAGAAATTGGAAGAAAAGCAGGGAATGAAATGTGTGTATTATGTAATGGAGAACCTGAGTTTGTTTCACATATTTTTCAATGTATTGTAAATTTACAAAAAATATTTATGAAGATTTTGTTTTAGATATATTAAAATTGATTAGAAATACATTTTGTTATCAAATATGATTCTTGCATATTATTTAATTTTAACGATCCTTTATATAGTCCGTATAGATACTGTTGATTTGGATGCAATTATACTTTTGTAAGCAATAGTGAGAAATATTTCCATGACTGCTATTAACTATGTGAGCTATTTTTTCTGCAATGGCAAAATATTTCCTTCGTCTGCTATTTACTATGTGAATTAATTTTTCTGTAATGTAAAGTATTTCCATAACGGCTTTTACTATGTGGGCTGTTTTTTCGGTAACTCGTAGCATGTGTACCAGGTTAGGTTACGATTCTCCTTATTTTTGTTCTATTAAAAGTTCGGGAATTGTCTGTGTTACACAAGTGAATATCCCCTACCGATAGAATTTAGTCCATTTACACAACTTGATATAAAAGTAGGCGACAAAATTAGTTACCTTCATATTGGTACACATACTTCTGGAGCACCATTTTTTTGTAATGTAAAATATTTAATATGTGAACTAATTTTTCTGTAATGCAAAATATTTTCTACAGCTTCTGTATTTTTTATATGTCACTTTCCATTTCATCCGATAATACACATTGTTCATTCTTTGTGGAGTTTTTTGGTAACTTTACAGATGGAATAAGACCGACATTCAGCTTTTTTCTGTTTCACAACTGTAATACAAAAAGTACTCCTGAAGTATGTAAAACCCAGTTGGTAGACACCGGAACCATGTGTACCAGGTTAGGGTCTACTACATACAAACATTCCCAAACTTTTCAAGCCGCACCCCCTTTTTAGAATTTGTGAAGTCTTGCGCCCCACCTCAAAATATTAGCTAACAATAATAAGCTACAAATAACAGTAGTAAGGCGTAAGTATGTTTTATTGGAAAAACATGTGGAAAATACATGGAACAAAATAAATGACAAGTTTTGATATGTATAAATTAGCCAAGTCCAGAAGTCAGTATTTTAAACTAATAGAGAGAGAGAGTTTATTTCGTTCGTCAAACCATGAACATATATAAATTATAATAAAAAAAAACAGATGCTCAGGTGTTTGACTGGGAGACAACATTTCGGGTCATTTAACAGGTTCGGTGTTAAATTCTTCAATATCTCTCATATACCTTATTCACTATATACATTATTCACAAGAATTTTTGATTTGGAAAGTACTAAATAATCATGTTTTGTCCTAAGATCATCATTTATTCAGCTGATAAGTTGACATGTATTGCATATCAACTGCATAAAAATGGGTTAGCGAGGATACCTATTATTTGGAAAATTTGTCTACTAAAAATGAATGTGATAGGACATGGTTTTTTATAAGCAAAGGGGAAAATTCTATTATTATAGCACTTTAATTATAAACATTTGATAATAGTAATGAAATCATGAGTAGATTCCTTTATACACTATAATTTGAACACATCAAATTATAATACTTGATTATGACTGGCAAGTGATTTGGAGGATAGTAACACACAATAATACATGATCAGGATTTGACCCTTCTCCAGCAGATATATATATGAAATAAAGTGCTCATGTACATATCTATATTCGGCTACAGAGCACGTACATAGAATGAATTTTAAGGCGAAATATTGATAATATACTGAAATAGCAATGATACAATAGGTTATTTTTAAATAAGTATTACCGGTACTAAAAAATAAATAAAGTGCTCATATACATATAGATATTTGGATACAGAGCAAGTATCATAGAATAAAATTAAGGCAAAAAACTGATTAAATACCAGAATAGCAATATAATAAACATTAGATACTTTTAAATGAAGTATTACTAAAAAATAAATAATGTGGTCATGTACATAGATATTTGGATACAGAGAAAGTGTCATAGAATGGAATTTAGGGCGAAATATGGATGCAAGTATGATAAACAATTGATATTTTTATAATGTTACTAAAAAAAAAATATATAGATTATGGAGTTCCAGCAAGTGTGCTCATAACAAATGAAAAGATAGCAATTCATTTACTACAGTGAATTAAATTCATTACACATTACTACTTGCTATAGCAAAGCAGGCACAATAACTCATCGTGTTTTGAACTTTTTTAAAGGTTTTGCTCGCTCTCCAGAACTCTCCATTTTTTATTTGTTTGTATTGTCAGATTGTGGACTTTTCAAAATAAACTATCTATATCAATGAATACAATATCCCAGGTCCCCACTTGGCTGGTTCATATTCTGTTCTGTAGATAAGTTTTCTGCCTAATAGATGGTATGTATCCCCAATAAGCATTACAGTATGCTCATTCGTTCACTCAATGAGTGATTTTAATTACGGTAAATATAAAATAATACATATAATATAAATAAGTTCATATTCCATTTTGCATCCATGATCCAGTATTTATTTTGTTTAATTCCAGTAGTAATCCATACCATAATTAGGTTATTTTAATAAATGCATTGATATAAAACAATAAAAATAAAATTAGTAAATATAAAATACATATCATAAACATATAATTTTCTTTTTAAAATAATGCTTTACATAAATTTTTCAATTCAAGCCAACTTTACCACGTCAGGTTCAAATAATTATTGGTTTTCCAACGAACTTTCGTAAAATACGTAACAACAGACACATATTACCGAATAAGTTTCAGCTATAACAATTTGAAGCCATAAAGAACTACTGATTTGAAGTTTTTAATGCACCAACCAAACTAGAAATAGCGATGCACATCACTGAATCTGTCTGTTAATGTCTGATTCGACGATATTTCAGAAAACACAAAAACAGACTCAATCATGAAAATAAAAAAATCTCAGGTTAACTAACACTATTTCATAGTTTATGGTTCTGATAATATTCATCGGCGCAGCACGTTTTTGAGGTTGCTGCTGTAGTAAACACTAAAATATGTCAAATATAGATTTGTCAACAGGAGCGAAACAGGATTTCCATAGATTTCCTTTATATTAACGTTACAATATCATGACTAATTTAACTGGATAACATTACAAAATTTTTATCACCAACTTTCATTCTAAGGATAATCTAATAAAAGAATGAATATTGTTAAGATAAGTATACCAAATGCCTATTATTCGTGTAACCATTTGCATTAAATAGGATTTAAAGACACTTTTTCAATAGGTAATTTTATGATTTTAGAACATTTTCACTTTCTTCATTAGGAGTCCACTCTTCGAAACTAAAGCGAGACAACTTTTTCTTTTGTTGTAATTGTTGAAATATCAACCTAAACAATATTAGAAAATTTTGATTTAATGATGTGAGTGATAAAATAATTAGGATTCCGGTCAGAATATACTTCTGGTATCGATAATAGTAATGATGAAAATTATATCACCTAGATAGAAACTTACAAATCATTGTTGGAAATTACGTTATAGAATGATTTTGTACCGAATCCACAAAATCTTGTACTGCATGCAAAAGAGTACACTCCCATATCTGAACATAAACAACATAAACAAATTTAAGTATTGCTGAAAAGTAGATTTATCATTTTTGGTAAACCACGAAAAATATTAAGATGTTATTAAATCACTTCAATGTTCAATTAAGCAAGTTTCAACTTTAAATGAAAGCTATTTAAATAGTTCTAGTGGACAAATGAAGCTGCAATTAAAACCATGTTATATTTTGTGATTATATGATTTAAAAAATATTTATAGATTTTACCAAAAAATTGGATATGAGTAAAATCCAAAAAGATTCTTGCAATTTCAAATTGAGGATAAAATGCCGATAGTAGCTGGAATGACTTTATCTAAGCTCATATATTACTATATATTTCCTTCAACTCACTTCTCCAAAATATCCAATCGCCAATCTCAAGTTCAGGAAGGATGATATTATCTATCACTTTGTCTATACAGGTCATAACCGGTCCCCATAGTTTGGAATTAGCTGTTGATCTTTTTTCGATTGACTGTAAAATAATGTGCCAGTAAGATTGTCCTTAATTTTTTAAACCCCCTTTTTTACTTCGAGTCCAGTAATTTGGAGGGTCATTTGGAATTTTAAGGGAAAATTCAGTAATTTTTTCGTGATCCTGTCCTAAACGTGCAGTGTTCGCATCTAATCAATGTGCCTTTGTCACGTCACATTGTAACAAGTTGTGTAGTTGGAAGAGACATAATAACGATTCCTCGCTGTACACGTTGTAGGCTAAAATGCTAAGCTAATACAAGTTTGGCGTTTTGAAGTTGGATTGGAAGATGCAATAAACAATACTATTATCGTTAAAAATCGAGTTGTTGACTTTGTGACTACAATTTCATGTACTAACAGATATAAGGAAATTCTGGTAGATCAGAATACAGTATCACATCCTCTCTAAGTAGGCAATAACATTTTTGATTCAATGTCCTTCAACTTGTGAGATTCACTGCAATGTTGCAATGTAAAATAAATTATTTCATTTAAAACCAGTATGCATTCCCTGGTATATTCTGTATTTGGAAATATAAAAAATATAGTTTTTTTTTTTCAATTTAAAACACCGAAAACTACAACGTACAAAGTTTACCTCAGACATGAAGAAGTATTTTAGCTCCCTGGGTAATGCATACAGGGATAGGATGCGCCAAATGTTCCCCTCGTTCAAATAGTAGTGTGTGGTGTTTTCGTCCCCTCAAACTCTAAACAAAGTACCATTTTCAATTAATACTGCTTATCTCATTAACGAAAAAATTCAAATTCAGCAGGAATAAGTGCTTCTAACGATCACAGCTGGGAAACTGGGTATATTTTCTTTCGAGATCGCAATTATTTAAAACTGACACACATATACAACAACCAGTCCTTTTCAAGAAGCTGATTGTTGTATGCAGTTGCAGCGTGCTGAAATTTGTGATGATAAACTGATGTATTTTAGAAAAAACGAAATTGATCGAAGCTCAATAATTTTACCCTTTAATTAATCTTGACTCAGGTGAAAGGTTTGGCTTGAAACTATCAGAAAAGAAACACACAAAGGTCAGAATGAAACATGACTAAGGAAGACTCAAATAGGGACTCGCTTTTTTTTACTATTGAAGAATACGAAGCAAAAATAATAAGAACTAAAAAGTAAACGGGAAACAATTACTAATTTGTTCATATATTGAAGGAATTTACCCCTTTTTCCTATCACGTTCGTTGCCAATGTGAAAGAAGTTTCAGAGAAAAATCCACCTGGCTCAAGATATTCCAAGTCAGGATATTTTGACGTAGGAAACAATCTTTCAAGAGTGAAATTGATTGAAGAAATTGTCTAAATATTAAAAAAAATTTTAGATTCATATTCTTTGATTGATATATACTACTTACGATTTTTTTCAAATATTTACGGATAGTTGCGTGTTATACTGATTAAGCGTTTGATCGTAACTTGGAAGAATATTCTATAAATCACCTGTATTCTTAATATGAATTCATTAACAATTCCAGCAAAGGTGATCATCTGTGTACGATTATGCAATTAACAACAGTCTAAATTTATACGCAACTATTTAAAATGCGCCAATAATGCTATGCTTTGTCACATTAAAAGAACCACGGGTTCATAAGGTATTTTTAAATTTTTGTAATATTTTCAATCGAATGTTTCTATATCCACTGTTTTATATGTGGATATTCAATACAGAAACAATTTTTTTTAGTTTTGTTTAAATTAATATATGTGGTTGAAGATTTGTGAAGAAATCCATCCATCGGCAGTAATAGCATAAAATGAAAACATAATGTCTCATTAATTCGATAACGCCTAACTTTAATGAACCATACCTGACGCAGGTTAGAATTATTTGCCCTGAGTCCACCACCAATATGAGCACCTTCAAAGGCACGCCATTTCTTTCAGAAAAATCGACAATAATTCTTGGCATCTGTCAATGATTGTTGATACCGACCTGATTCATCAGCTGTACCCACTCCAATGTGGAAACTGAAAAATGAAGAAACCGAACCTCACAATGATTTTGCGATTTTAACATCCTCATATGCGAATAATATTTTTACTGGTATGATTAACAAAATTTACTGAGTGAAAGTGTTTTCCATTTGTTGTTTTTTATTGGTAAATATTTAAAACCAGAACAGATAAATAACAAACATAATTGTAGAATCTTACACGCAGAATTTGGATATTAGTTTGGATATCATTTTTTTAATGTCCCTAAATGACTTGAAATGATTTTCAAATGCGAGTTCTATCCTGTTTTCTATTATTGCATGCAAATACTAACTTCACGCCAACAACGTTTCATATCCAATTCTTTGGCCATAAGCATAAGTTTACGGGCCTCGGAAATGGTGGCTCCATATTTTGAACTATATACTTTCTCTTCTCCATCCTCTTCGATAAATATTCTCAAGAGCAATCTGAAAATATTTGCATGAGGCATTGAGATTTTGAGTTTTTTTTTATAAGCACTTCATTTTTTAATGATTGTTAAAATCAAAGAGCTTTAAAATAGATCTCAAAGATTTTATTATCAATACTGCGAATTTAATTATTACGAATTTTGGCAACCTATAATTGTTCACAAAACCCATTCGCAATGCATATCGTTGAAAATAGTTAACAGTATATCACGGCTTGTGTCATTCTTGTTTATAACTTATATATACTTATTTTTACCTGGAAGTTGGATAAAAATTTTTCAACTTTCTCAGTTCGTGTTCATTATCAAAAACTAATAGGCTGACTCCGTGTTCCTTTGCAGTTTTCAAATGTGATATTTGCTTACAAGGGTTTGATACCATAACTTTTCAGGCTTTACTCCGAGCTTTTTGACTTGATTCAATTCTTTCTGTAACATATGTCAATGAGCTATATATATCAATTCCTATTCCTATTCTATCGCTTCGGACATAGCCAAGTATATCATCAAATTAGAGACAATAATTACATTCATTTCAATTATGTTATATAGTAAATTTTTTTAATTGAATTGACAGTAATATTTTCGCGGTTATTTTTATTGTATTCGTAATAATTGAGCAAATTCTTTAAAATATTTTTACCTGACTTCCGCAATAGAAACCCGATCCCAATTCCATCAATGCACTCAATAAAGGATCATATGCAGCAGATTTTACAGCATAGAAAGGTTTAACACGAGGTAGTAGACTATTATAAAGGCTGTACAGGTTTGTTAGCTCTCCCAGGTCAAAAATGTAGAAACTATCGTCAGGGTTCTGAAAACATTTTATCACCATGATAAAGTGATTTACTATGTCTTCACTATTTGATGTTTTGTGTAAACCTATGAATAAGAGTAGTTCTAAGTGGTATTTTGACAAAATAATTCATTTATTTATTTAATTTTTTATTCTGGGGTACTCACTGGTGATCAAATGAATGAACATGACCTTGATTGAATAGCTAAACAAATGCATAGTTTCCCTAATGTTTTTAAATGTAATAAACCTAAATTACCTGGCGGCCATCGTCGTGGGTAGCAAAGTATCTGCAAATATTGTCATGATCTGTTCCGCTGTATGTTTGAATATTGTAAACAATCTTAAAAAACAATGTTACCATTACGTCATTTTGACTCAAATGAGCAAATAAAATCGAAATATGACAAATTGACGCCGCGCGATATGAAAATGCACTAACGCTGACGACGAAAATAGCATGAGATTTTGAGATAAATAACATAGAAAGTTGTTGGACATACCTTTGAATTCACTGACATCATTGTATAGCTTTTATTCCTTGAAAATAATACTTTTCTATATACTAAAGAACACCTTCGATATAACTTTTATTTATAACAATACGTATATAAAATAAAAATGGTTAAAATTTATTGATAGAACAATACTTTAGGAATAATAATTTATTTACTATTTAACTATAGCAGAATTAGAATAGAAAATATATTTATTTTTTACCTCAGTGTCTTATCTAGAAGTGGAATATACCTAAAAACTGAACAAATACCGTCACAAAAATCCTTGCTGGTGTGTGGAATCTAATATTCATAATACTCGGTCAGATGATTTAGAAAATCTATTTAATATACGAGGCTATACTCGTTAGACAATTCCAAGTAAATTTATTCAAAAACGCAATCGTGAATCGTGAAAGATCGTAGTGAATAAACAAGCAATGCTCAAATATATGGACACGTCCATCATAGCGAAGCAGTCTTTACCTTTGACGTTACCGGTACCTACGGCGCTGCACGCCATAGCAGAGCAATAATTTCGTTACATACTATCAACAAACGATGAGCACGTGATCAAAAGAACACAAAGGAGAGTGCCAGCATAAAAACAAATCCAATACGTGTCAAAAAAACGCATCCTACAGTGCTATCAGGAGTATTTGAAATAAACAAAAGTAAATAGCCTTCTAAAAAAAATTCATCTTCAACCACTGAAAATTTTGAAGAAATTGGTCCAATAATCAAAGAGAAGGGCGAGAAAGGCGATGTGTCCAACAAGACATCGTGAACCAGTATTTGCGTATTTGTATTCATTGAGATATGGACATAATATGCACTATTGTGTAATTTCCTGTTGCATATGGAATCAAACATTAAGCTGGAATTTATACGTCTCTGCATTATTTCTTATACGTACAAATTTCTATCGTCAAATGATTATGACAAAAAAGCTGCAATTGTATTAGTAGTCGTTCTTAGCCTTCATCCAAGATGAATTTTTGACAATTGTTCACTGTTTCACTTACCTTTAAATAATTGGGTAACTATAGTGGCTTTATTTCGGGACAAATATTTCGTCTCTGTATTTCGTCTCCCTAATATCAAAATATATTATACTCTCATATATTTTCTAATTGCATTTGATAGATATTTTTTTATATATTAGAAAATGATTCAATTTGGAAAAAGAGAAAAAAATAATTTGTAATATTAGTAAATAATTGAATGCATAAATCGTGCGTGTATGGCGTGTTTACAATTAGATGTTGCTGTAAACACCAATTAACGATATCAATAAAAACTTACGTTGTCACGATCGCGTTTGAAAAATGCTTTATTTTTTGACATCTTATTTATACGGCTTTGTTTGAATAAACTGCACTTGTGCAGCTTGCTTCTGTACTTCTGACTGTAAGTCGAAGTGTGGGTTGCAAAAAAGCTAGTAACATCTTCACACAAACTTTAAAATTGAAATTCTAAATATATGATTTTACTTCTTGTGTTTATTCCCACAAATATCTGTTTTGCTATTTTGAAAAACACACGACCTCATGCATTTTAGTCTCACACTACCAATACATTACGTGTTGACAAAATATACAACTCTCCAGCGTGAATATATTCTACCTAACTTCCTTCATGCCGACAGTGACCTACGTGTTTATCAGATTTGTATAGAGACTCTAGAGTCTAGTCTAGAGTGTTTATTTTAATTTATCTACCTCTATTCTTCTCTTCAAAATCTTTGATCTTTTACTTGTGTTTCATGTGCCCTTTGTATTCAGGCCCAACTAATAGTTAGTGTTATGCATTATTAAGTACTAAAACTTACTGTATGGCTCTAGGCGTTTGCGCGACGGTTGATCGGTCTACCTATAAATTATAGCAAGAAAAACGATGACTAACTTATTTGATTGAAGAGTCTGTCTTCACATTAACACAAATTTATGAAAAATAGCTTTGTCTGATCAGATAAATATACAAAGATTTGTTTTAGAGTCTTGAATCGCATTGATTTATAAACAAAGCTTGCTGTTTTGACATATCCTTGATTAAAAATAATAGCTTCGTTTAATTCCAGCTACACGGCGAATCTCAGGAGTAGAATTTGTTGCTATAGACCTCCATTTGTAGTAACGAATTTGATTTGCTGATTGACCGATTTTATTCCAAGTTAAGGAACGCTGATATCAATTTTACAAAAACAAGCTATGTATTTAATTTGTAGTATCTATAGTTTATATTATCGCTACTAGAGAACTATTTCATAAAGTGTTCTGTCTGTCAATCTCATATCTATTCAGCTACATGACTAGTTGACATATGACTATATATGCTAATGCCCATTAGGCTTCATAAACGTATATATATATATATATTAATATTTATTAAAAATTATTTCGTAACTCATCAAATTATTAGTCACTACATTTGTGAATATATGTTGAAGCAATAGCGTATCTAAAATTGGTCAGCGACATCTCAAAACTTTTTTAGACTAAGTTGAACTATTATGATACTACCACAAGATGATGATACTTAATACAAAATGTTTGCAACAAATGATGGGGAATCTTCGTCGAAAAAACCTACTGGAAGTGAATATGCTGCCTCACTTCTTGAGGAGCAATGGAATTAAAGTAAAAGGCAAATTAAATATCCCTTTTTGCACGTGCTTGTTAATGATTAAGAGATCAATTAAAATGTCGTTATTGACACAGTGATTTACACAAGAACTGTTAAGATGTGGTAATGTAAGATTATCATAGGCTGGAAAAGTTCAACTATCCAATACACCATAGGTTCTCAAAGTGCTCCGTACGGAGCCCCAGGGCTCCGCGAGAGAAACCCAGGGGCTCCGCGAGCTATTCGATTATCCTTCAAAATACTGACTCAAAATTTTGTAACTGTTCAAAGAAGCAATGACAGCTTTGATAAAATCTGACAACAATATAGTCTCGGAATATATGGTAAAGAGGCGGAATTAAATAATGAATTTATTTATAAGCAGTGTCGCAGCCAGGATTCTTAAGAGGGAGGTGGTCTAAAATTGGAATCGGAAATTTCCGCGCAACATTCTTCGCGATTAAAAAAACGGATAACGAGATTTCTGTTGCGTAAAATATTCAATCCATGACCGATGGAGCATTTAACGTGTCTCGTCGTTATAATGTCGTTACTCACGTTTGATTCGAGATTACTATTATGATTACTAAAATGAAAGAATACTATTCTAAAATAACATAAAATATGTCATAAACTGCCAACTATAAATAAATTGGGGTCGTATTTTTGCGATCTTGGGATTTGTCAAACTTGATTGTTCTTTCGCACTTGAGATTATTTTTAAGCAAGATATCGCCGTTTAAAAAATCACAATGTCTGGGCAAAATACGAACAATTGAAAATTATTTTATTGCATTCAGCTCCGTCGGTAGTTTCAGAAAGAAAAAAGGTACACCGCGGATCGCGCTCACAATTGATTGCGTGCGGCTGCGTAGGTAGTTTAAGAATAGGAAAAAAAAAGGTACATCGCGCGAACAATTGACTGTGTTTCGATTTCGCAGTTACTACGATGAAAAGCTCACATAACACCAACTTTTGTGATTTACAATGTCTATAAAAGCATTTTCAATCTGAGGTAAGTCTGCTGAAACCTGCTGTGTCTGCTGTGATCTTCCATTTTAAGTTTCAGTTGTAATATTTTAGAATGCCATTTTTCAATCAAGAAATTTGAGTTGTGGATTTACCTCTTTATTGATTATTATTTTTAGCATTTCGTCGCCGATGACTATAATATGGTAACATGTTTTTCACATTGAACTCATAATTCCCCATAAGAACAAAAAAGCAATTTTACGTCGTCATGGTGTAACAATACATGTATATGCCGAGGGAAATATTTGATTTAGGGAGAATAAACACCGGCGTAAAGATGTTTAAAACACGCCATGCTGACGAAAAAAATCGGCGATTGTAACAAAATGAAATCGCGAACGTTGTTAACGGCCTTTTATGTCTTCCAAAAATGTCAAAAGAGAAAAGATTCGACCCCTAATTTATTAATATGTTCGTCAAGTGTCAAATTTACAGCTTTAGTATGAAATTTAGATTTATTTATGACTTGTGTTAACCCTATTAAAAAACGTTCAGCATTTAAAATAAGTAAAGTACATTTAACTTGCTCAGGAATATTAATCTGAAAGTAACAATTTTAACATTTATTTTGGGGCTCCGCGAATAATATTCAACCTTTCAAGGGCTCCGCAACATCAAAAGTTTGAGAACCCCTGCAATACACCATACATTCCATATTTTTATGCGTCAAACCATAACCTTATACTTTTAGTTTAAATTTCAATATTTGTTACAGATGGTTACTTCACATAAATAGGTTTTCATGAGGAAATTGATTATTGTACAGCGTGTACCAATACTGTTGAAACACGGGAGATCTTCTATGCATATTAACATTTCATAAAATTTGTCGTGCATTGTGACAACCATACGTTTTGATACATACATACAAGACTACAATACTTTTTTTTATCTACTACTACTACTTCTTCTTTTTATCAGACATGAATTTGTCTTTTGATTCATAATAAAAATTGGGAACGCATTATAGGTCCAAAGAGAAATTTTACATATGCATTGAAACTTATTATTTAGGTATTTCATAACGAAATAGGCAGAAATTGCTGAGAAACGAAATGCATCATTATTTGACTCAATAGATCTAAGGTGATGTAACACGAAGCCTACATTTGACAAAAATAGAAAAATATCGTTCGTTCGCGTGAGACGCTTGATCTTTTGGCGTGTCACATTAGGTACGCGTGCCCTTTATTGTGTACTTCTGGTTTAATTGATACTTAAAACGTTTAATCTTAATTACAGTTGATGAATTACATGCAAAGTTGACCTTGCTGATTGTGTTGCGCACAAACACAAAACTATGCGTTGTGTTTCTTCAGACGAATTACGACAGGATTCGTGTTTGAGTGCAGCATGATTATTGAATCTCGTAAATTAATAAACAGACTTACACCTTTAAAATTTTAAAATATATTGTCATAATGAATTGCAGCCAATCAATTAATTGTGATTGCAGAGAGTGCTGATGTACGGCTAAGCAATTAGCTTGATCATCTATCTGTTATATAGCAACCTCATCATAAGAGCCTACTTCCTTTAAATTAGTTTACATTTTAATTTGCTTGCCAGAAAAATATTTCCAACAAAATTGAATTACCCACGAACGACCGGTGTCATAACTGCTGACGTTCCACAAGCATACTAACGTTTCATAAAAAGTGCGTGCATTTTGAAAGACATCCATTTTGCGACAAACAATCTAAGTATACTCTTCGACGTCTTTGCACAATTTGTTCTATTTTTTATTAAATAAAAAAGAATACATCTATAGATTTGAATAGAAAGCTTACGCATTCAGTGAATTCAACGTTAGTGCTCATATAATAATTTATTCTTCTATCGTTTGGGTTTTCAGTAAAGAAAAATTAATAGGAAAAAAGTGCATAATGATTAACCCTATAAATTTCAAGTAATATAAGTCCAAGTTAAGTTAGGTTTGTTAAGCATTAGAATTTGGTTACCATAAAACTGTATTATTTCGATAAATTAGTCAACATTTGATTTAGTGATCGACATTCAAATTGTCCATTATACGTGTTGCATGGTTCGTTTTTATGAGTCATGTTTGGGAGCTGTCATTTGATGTTTAAAACTACTGAATCTTGCAACCAATCTTTTCATTTTTCAGTACAAATGAAACACGTGAAAGACGGTTTTAAATCAATAAACACGAACAATCAAATATACCTGATGTACACTAATAGATGAAATCTTGTGATGCATGCTGTATTTGTTGTTATCCCATCCTCGAATTATTAACTAGAGCCTGTTAGGTTATGATATATATATCACTAATTGTGCAACATCTCATTTCAATTACCTCATTTGCCTTTGCCTTCGATATATTATTTGTATTACCTAGCGATCTAACAAACGACGTTTCAATTAATACTGAAGCGGGTTGAGATCTTGGCGGGTTATGTTCGAATCGGCAATCCAGCTCTAAAGGGTTTCTCTCTAATGAAAGACCATGTTGGGCAACCATTACGTCCTGTAGTTCCAAGTTCAACAGTTGTTGAATTTCCTGGAACTCGCAAAGGAGTTCTAGCTAATCTTTTACCAACTATTGTCATGTCGTACATTATACTCATGCATCGTTTCATATTTGAAGGGTTTCCACCGAAAGCTTCTTGAATGCAAAACAAAAGTCGAGTATATAGTACATTGAATTGGTGATGTAGTGCATAAGCTTTTGAACCTTTTCTATATTGGCCCTGTTTTGGATTATTCAATAGCGGCCAAACGCCGTCCTGATAAAATGTAATTTGATCACCGGCATAACAAAACATTTCTCCTGCTTTTGAAATATTTGAACAAGAGCCCTCCGTGGATGAGTTCAGACAGCGCAATTCGTTCCAGCGTGGAATATCTTTCACCTTAATAAGTTTTCTTCCATGTACAATTTCTTGAAAGCGGTAATAATGGGACAATTCTGATCCACGATTTCGACCACGTTCACTTGCGTACAATTGTGGTTTCGTAACGAAAGGAGAACAATCCGATCCCCCTTCTCCTTGGTAAACAATTTCTACAATAGCTTCCAAAGCTGTTTTCAAGTCGGTAACCTCAAATAAAGGTGGTCGAGTGGCTTTCGATTCTGCATCCTCCACGAAGATGCTATTTCCTGAAGCTTCATGAAAGGAGAAGTACGAGTCTGTGTTCTCCCTACTATTTTTGCTCGAATCATGAAACAGGATACTATTGCTTTGTTGATACCAATGAGAGATATTCAGCTGTTTATTTATTCCGCCAGAAAATATAGTATCCACGGTTGTATTATTCGATGTATATTTTTGTTGCTGCATATTTCTAACGCGAACGCATGCTTCAAGGGATGCCATTTTTAATGCGATGATACTATAAAATTCCCCAACTGTTTTCCCATTAAAACTGATAATTTCACGCAGTTTTTCTTCGGCAAAATTACCCAAATTTTGCCAAGCCTGCAGATCTATTTCGCTTTGACTTTTTGCGTTTGCCGTTAAATTAGGAGTCGAAAGGTTAAATTTAGATTTACTGTTTTCAATTTTAGAAATTTCCTCATTAAGTTTCTTCATATTTGTTGTGGTGTATTGCGAGGTATCTCTTGTGTTGTTGTGCGAATTATTGGGCAACAATTGCCATATCTCCCCAAGCACATGCAACAGCTGTAATCGAAAATACATAATATATTTATATATACAGAGTCTTCCAAAATAAATATAAAGTTAGTTACAATCAGATAAAGTATTGGTAACATTTTATTACGACCGAAATCGTCCACCATATGTTATTATAACATAAAAGTATGTTTATGAAAAAGCATAATTATTTGCTACTTCGACTGCACTATTTTATGTTGACTTTGTTTACCTTTCGCCCTCTCGCATTTGATGGTTTTTCAATCTTCGAGAAAATATCTTCAACCAGTCCCAAAGAAAATGCCCCAAGAGAAACTTGTACATCTGGGCATAATTCATAGGAATCACCCGAAGCTAATATATTTGGATAAATAGGAAGCTTTGATTCGTCAGTCATGTTCACAACACCGCCTACCTGAAAATTTCAAATATTCGATATCGTTAATGTTAACAAAGCTATAGTTAGGAGTACATGCTAAAATAAAATGGCGGTTACAGCCCCGGGTTCGACCAAGAATCTTATCATGACTAACATCTTGCTCAGTCTGTGTGTGTATGTGATGTAATAAACTGTTTAGGTATGACCGATTCCGGAACTATTCAGAACTGAGAGTACACGAGAGTTTCATGCGACTCCCGGCGGTGGAATATATTTACAGTACGCGTTTTAGTATTTTTATTTGCAAACTGATTTTGCACGCAATCATCCAATTAATTGAACTTATATATTTAATTTAATGGCTCACACTAGATGGTAGATATATCACCTTATGTTTCAAGCATTTATCTAATTGATACAGTCAGTGTGATGAATCATTATGAATGCGTCAACTAACTTTATTACAAAACTATGAATCAAGATTAATTTCATCATCAAATTTGAGACACATTTTTGTTAATTAATTTTAAACAACAATTTCTGATTTGAGGTACTGTTTTTATATGATGTTCAATTTATATGAAATAAACTGAAAAATTATGAGTTATATTTTTTTAATTCAAACTGTTTTCGTTTGTTTATTCATGTATCTTTAATATTTACGAAATGAATTTTGTAACAGAAGTGGGTGAACGCTCTGTAAAACTTTGCGCTAAATTTGCGATTTAAAGATAATTACTTCGTTTTGGCATAAAGTGTGATGATTTATATCACAGAATTGAGTGCCGTGAAAATTCAAAACTGACAATATATGACTGATAATTTGAGACATCTGTAGATTGATTACCTATAAAATATTAGATACTAACCGCATTCAAGACATTTCCAGCCAATGACATATGAAGCATTTCTTCGTTGAAAACAGATTTCAAAATATCAGCAACTTCTTTATTTCTTCCATATTCTGTTTTCAAACTCAACCATGCTGTTACATACGGCGGGATTGTTGAAAGTTCCAGCATCACAGCTTTATGTAAATGTCTTCTGATATCTTCTAAATCTTTTGCAATTGAATCATCCGTGCATATTTTGGTTGTTGCTGAAAGAGAACGAAGTGTTTTTACTTTTATGCATTGTCCAGTATTTAATTTTTAAAGGTTTTGATATTTATTTCAAAAAGTTTTGAATATGTATCCAAAAAGCAGTGAACGTTTTACTTGATCAACGCCATATCATAAAGCAGCTTACATTTTGTTTCAGACGTCGGTTCCGTTTTCTTCATTCCACATTTCATCCAATTCCATATTAACTTTTTGTTTCCTTCAGACAGATCTCTTGTTATTGGCATGTACCTTGGTATGGAAACAAATAGGTTAAATTATTACCTTATATCAATCTATTAGCAAATTTCTATTAACTATAACACATTTACAATGTTCGTGTCAAGTTATTCTCTGAATCTGCTCAATTAACTTCGTTAGTGATTACGTGGCGAGGTAAAGTTATTCCTGAACAAACTCGTTATTTGTTATAAACTATTCAATATTGAAAAAGTGATACTTTTGAATCTTCAAACAATATTTTACCTTGCGTCGTTAAAATCGGTTTCAAACATTGCAGCTTTCAACATTCTGAATCTTCGTACGACATTCTCGTATGAATGTAAATCAATGATTCCATTTTTCCACATTGCAGGATATAAATTATAATACTGAATAAATATACCTGATTAAACAAATAGAATATTGTAAATTGAAATATTTCTGAGAAAAGACAGCAGCGTTAATAAAAAGAGAAACATTTAATTTTGAAAGAGACGTGCGACACAAGTCTTGTTCTTTGGTAGGAAATTTTAAACTATTTTGTACCTTCAGTTCTACTCAAAATAGTAGACTATATTCAAAATGTTTATTTTTACACGACACGATCGACAGACAGATGTTACTGTTGTGTGTTTCATCTGTTCGAACAGTCTTTTTTACGACGTAGCCTAATTGTAATTCACTATGTTGTATTTTTAACAATTTATACCACGCCAGTCCTATTTTAATACGATCAACAACAACCGTATGCAAATGACAATGGAAAGTAAAGTATACATGAGAGAAGGTAATTTTCACAGTGAACATGTAATCAAATTATTTGAGATATCAACTAGAAGATCAAGTGGTTGAGCTAAAAGTAGAGTATTTGTTATTCAAATAGAACCAAAAAAGAAACCTTTCACATCTTGCCACGTCGGACATGTTATCTTTTTCACAGAGTTGTATATACGGACAGCAATAGACAGGGTTTGTGTGTTAAAATCCGCCTCCTTCCTCATGTTTCCATAAGGATTAATCTGTCCTATTTCAGCAAATGTTTTTGATTTATATCTAAAATAACCATACAATAGAGCTAAAGAGTCTGAAATTACGTTTTGTTGTAGGAATATCAAGATTCGAATATATAATTGCGATCACCACTATATTTATATTGCTTGAATAACACAAGAAAGTGAATTTAAAATCTCTTGATCAGTTTGTTTTGAGATAGTGCGAGAGAGCTAAAGAGAGTGATCGAGAAAGTGCGACATGGCACGTATATGACGGATTTCGGAAATGTATCTCTAAGCAATGGTAAATTAAAGCATCTCAGTCACACTCTACCTTGCGAACAGTCTTAGTGGATATATCTGTCCATCCAACCCGCACCCACGAATATTTCCCGGATCTTTTACTGCGGTCAAATTTATTTTTATCTCGCCATTTTGGTCTGTATAAGATTTGCGATAATGCGTAATATGCAACGCATCTTCTGGTATCCCCATCGACCTATAAAAACAAAATGTAGAAAAACACTCGAAACCAGATATTACACTTTGAAGTATGTGTTTTGTTAAAAAAAAAGGAATGAATAATATTTCAAGTAATACTGAATTTAAGTATATATAACATAGTGGAAACAATACTTATATGTTACTTATATGATAAGCCATAAATAGTCTTTTCATTATGTCCGGTCCAGTTTATAGTAAAACACATTATTTGTAATCAATTTTTTTTTAAATTTCTTGTCTATTCCAAGCTACGTCTCAGTAGTCTGGCAGTCTGACTCTAGTATAAACTAGATATGTCAAAATTAAATATTTTTTTATATTTGAGTTTCACACTGTTGTTAGTCTATTAATTGAAGTCAATCACCTGTTACACGAAGGCCTCCCGCAGTCTGTGTTCGCTAACATGTTCTTTGATATCAAGATGTCTAATTGAGCCCCTTTGACCGGCTTTCCGAATGCCGATACAAATCCTTTAAAAATGTGACTTTCTCCCGGATTAAGTCGCACAATTGATTTTACTTTCAATCCAATGACGACACCTTTTGCGTTTTCCCTCATATAAACAACGACGGTTCTAATAAAATAAATACAATAAAGCGCCGAAAACATACTCACAAAATAACATTTTATATGCTATGTGCGACTAGAGACCCTTTTAAAATAGCACAATAGGAGATCTTAGACCAATGTTTGCCGATTTTGAAACAAAAATGCTCTACTTTGGCTAAATTTTAAAAAAATTGGTTATATTGAGATTTATGATTGTTAAAAGCTCAGGTAAAGTTTTGTTTTTCTGATCAAAATTGCACTCGAATTTATTTCAAAATTCCGATGTGCTTTTTGACAATTCACCGTTTTGGATGGGTAACAAGAAAATTTAAAGCAAACAAGTTGTAATGATATCTATATTCTACCCATCTGGAATTTTTTTCATTATTGCTAATCGTTTGCTGCGTAGAAGTCTCAACGTAATTGTATCAAGATGTTTAATACTGATATCCATGATTCCTCCATATGTATTGTACCAAGAACCATCATTTCCTATACGCCGAGATATTTCTCCACCAGTTGTTATCCATCTCCATGTGAGTGTTTTGTCATTCCAATTACTAATACACGATCGGAGGTCGTCAAATAGGAAATGTCTGTCAAAATTGAAACTAATAATTTGCCAAATATTTACTTGTAAACATACTACGACCTACTGCTACTCTTCGTTAGTCAACGACGGTTACTCAGATCGAGCAAGTTGAACACATATCCATTTACTGTAAAAATTCCGCGGTTTCTGATGATTCACTATTAGTTATGCACTGGTGAATGAATATATGCTAATTAAATTAGTCAATTATGCAATGCAGAACTTCGGAGTCGTATATAATTTGAATGTTTCAACGAAAATAAATACAAAAATACGAAATGTAATCCTAAACAACACCACTCTGATATAGTCAATATAGTTGATCGTCAAATAAGACGAGTATAAAATAATTCATCACACATTGCGGGACGGTTCTACCAATCACAAAAAGCACGAATGGATGCATTGCGTTTATTGTTACATTAAAACTGGTCAAGCAGAAGTGTTCAAATCTATGGGTAATAGATATATATAATACTTCTATAAAAATATAGATCCTGTTTCAAAATATAAAAACATCATATGTATCATGATATTATTACATTTCAGATGTTTCCCACGTTTATATATACTTTTAATGAAATGTCCACAATTGGGGGGAGGCATTTTGGTTTAAAAGATAATTCCATTTAGGTTAAGTACTTGCAGAAAGTCTGTTTAGTCATCAAAATTGCCAAGTCTAACATTCCCACATCACTTGCTACAAATCTTCCGTCTTCTCTTCCAATAATTGAATACGAAAGATCAATAGTCAACACTTTAGAGTCATGGTGAACAAAGAAAGAAGCGGGACCGCAAACATTAATAGCAGAAGGCAGCATGGATCTTGTTGCCATCACTTGAACCGGATTTTCTTCCGATGAGAGACCTGAAGTATGTATACAAAAGGAATATATAATTATTCTTTTGATGGGATATTTTCTACAGTCAAGTCAAATATTAATGAATTTATTCACTTTTGAGATAGCTCGTAACGACCAGAGCTCTGATAGTGTATGTACTGAATTAGGCAACTCAATGGAGACTCAGTCTTATTCTATACAGTACTCTTATAAAAATACATTCGTTATTATATTCGCTCTCTCGTTGCCAATATTGAAAATTTTTCTCTTGTTTATTAAATGCATCTGCGTCTCGAGCAGGATGTGCACTTTAGTTTAAAATAAGTAATTTAGTTCAAAATAAAATATGTAACCAGCATTTTCTTCAAAACAGATCATCATTTTGTGGAACACACGCTATCGAAAATACCTATTGTCCCAGAAATTCTTCCATCGAGTGATTCTTGATTGTATAAGTCCATTACAAAACTAATTGAAAGTTCCGTTGAGTTTTTGAATAATATTTGATAATATTGATCGTTCCATGTAACATTGACGAGTTTACTGAAATTTTATCAAAAAAACTTTTGTGAATGATCCGATAAAAGCTGCAATCATAAACAACTTTAGCATATTACTCAAACTAAATTTCAATCAAACGAAGCAACAGGAAGGAACGTTTTATAAGTTATGTAAACCTAAATGCTTGAATCTGATTTCATCGGTAATTGGCCAAATACGAAATACTTTGAGTGCGCAAATTTGAATGTAATACTCCATCAAAAGTTAAACAATCATCATAAATCATAAAGCATCATAAATCACAGTCTATTATTTTGGTTATCCCTGTCAACTGGGACGCAATCCAATAATTACAAAGGATTTGGCAAGGAACTGCTTTCTTGTAGATTTTTTAAATTATAACAAATTAACAGTAATCCTACACCACCAGTCAGGGCTACTAAATTGGCAAAACACGGTCCGGACCTTTTGAGTATACGATTCGGACCGCAAATGCTATTTTCCTTTGGAGAATTGGCGCCATCAAATTTGAATATGTGAAAGTTTAATTTTATTAAATAATATTTATTTATAGGTTTAGAGTCAGTTTCATCATTTGTTTCATATTTACACCAACTATGTACGAAAAATTTAGTTTATCAGACAAACGGTACCAATTCGTTTGTATAACATAATTAAAAAAACAGGTGATGCATCAAGAACTATTCGCGCCATACCTTTTATACCGGCTCATCGTAGGTGTTGAGTATCCCCTACTTTTGTCCAAGTACTCCACCAGTCGTTGGGCTTCAATCTGATGTGAAGATTTCATGAAGTTTCCTTGCAAAACTCCTGGAATTAGCACTTTGAATCCCCAAATTTCGGTAGCAAATTGCCAGTCCACGTCTAAAACTGCCATGATTCCACGAGCTGGCTCTGAATAGTGATTCTCAAAATTGATGGTATTGATGAGACGTTTATGTTAAAATAACGTGTTCAAATATAGTTATGTACGGTGTGTTACCTGTTACTTGTAATCCAACGATTGGATCAGTCGTAGAACAATTCTGAGGCGATTGGCAGAATGACGTAACAAAAGTATCCTGGAAATATATTTGATTCGTCCCATCTGGATTCCAATTGTTTGTCGCAAATTTGTAATACGTGTGTGTTCCTGCCTGCAAATTATCATCATGTTTAGTAAGTGAAAGGAGTTTTAGAGCAGATCTAATTCTATTAAGTTGAATAGGCCTATTTTTCAAACGAACCGATCCTATGGGTCGTTTCAGTAAATTGTTGCTGTTGGTGTTTTGCTATGTTTGTCGTTTATGATGTTGTGTAAAATTGATTTTATCCGCTACTAATAGATCAATCAATTTCAAAGTTCCAGTGCTCGTGATGAAAAAAGTTTGCTGAATGGCTATTGCGTTTAAATCCTATTCAAATCAAGTCAATCGAATTACAAATTTCATATACTTCACCCTAAACTTTGCTGTTTATCCTAGTAATTGGACACACCACTATTCGGTACAATCATTTTATCATTCGACAGGTATTTTTATAGCATTGTAATCATATGACCTTATGTTTATTTATTTGTTTTGCTTTATTGTTTCGTCGGTAATTTCCATAATAGCTAAAGAGGAATACACGCGCTTCATTTAAGCCAGGGTCGGCCAACCTTTTTGACCGACGGGCCACATTTGTTCACTAATAATTGCGCGGGCCACTTAACATAGTAATTATGTTCTAGTTTTGCTACACTGACTAAAAGTTAATAAAAAAAAAAACTTGCACCAAACTTTTTCAATAATGAGAACAATAAAAAAAACGAAGATACAGTAAAGTCAACAAAGCTTTTCTACACGTAGATATTTTAGTGTGAAGTTTGGCACTGTTTTTCGCTAACAAGTTTGTGAATATTTGCTGAAATGGACGATGTAGCAATGCGAAGAGAATTTTCCATATGACTGTCAGAAATTAGTGATCTCACAGAGGATTTGACATGGTTCATCTGTGAAAAAACTTGCTTGTACATTTAAGTGCTGCCAAATAATGAAGTCATTAAAACTGCCATTCTGTTCAAGTGTATAAGCGACTATTTATGTATCGATATCTTCCAGTTGGTTTCGAATCCAAATTGCACTCATGGCTCGTTTGAAAGAGCTAGCAGAGCGAATTTCAGAAAAATGAACAAATTGTTTGCATCAAAACTTTATATTAACTACATCATTCGAAAAATACTCATTTTTTTTCATTTAATTCCGAAAATACAGCGCGGGCAACTCAAAACGTCGGCCACGGGTTGGACGACCTTGATTTAAGCGAATGGCTGAATGCAAATCAAGTATACTAATAAAACATGACATGTTGATATTCTATGTTTAAAGTATCAATTTTGTTAATCGCATTGAAATTTTCCACTCGTACCAATTGTTTTAAATATACCTGTTCGAAAAGTCCTTTAAATTGCTTTTTCAATTCCGCTGATGAAAATTCTTCATTGTCATAAGCGCATCGGATGTTGTTGACCGTATTAACATCAGCAACTAACTTTCCACTGAAGTGTATTCTAGGCCAGCTTAAATAACCTGAAAATAATAGAAAAGCGTGAAAATATATAAATTCTTGCATGCTAAAGATCCTGATTCAATTTCGTATTGCAAGCCTATATTTTACTAATTTTCTAATTTTTTCGACTAGCTTTGAATAACTGGAATATATTTATTTCATGAAATTGCATAAATATATGAAGGATTTCCAAGCGAATTTAAACCAACAACAGTCCACTTTATTCAGTTTTTCAGGTGATATTATATAAAAATATTAATTCTATATTGTTTTTATTCGTTATATCAATACGAAGTAAGAAGCTTTCGCCATGAAATTCGAATTTGAAATAATTCCAAAAGTTGAACACATTAAAAAACGCAACAAAGATTGCAATTATAGCAGACGTCATTATTCTGCTGCATATATCAACTATGACGAGTAAAGATAGGAAGGTCAAAAATAATAACTCACTTGGGCAAAATCTGAGAAAACAATGTTTTGATTCGTTTGTTTCCCCCGAACATAATTTGTTTCTTGTTAAACAGCTTCTTATTCTTTTCCTTATTCCTTCGCCACAAGATTTGCTGCATAATGACCAAGAACTCCACTGCGAATACTCTACATGTAACATTGAAAATAATTAATTGTTCCTTGTTTCATAAAACGAGATATAAAAATTGGGTTTTTAGTTGTTATATAGTATTATTTAAACTATGATGAGGTATGTGGAGAAGAAGCTTAGGTCGAATGTACTTAGATATTTGGACTCCAAATCTACGAACTGGCCGTTTTGGGAAATTGTTGTCATTGTAGTTGCTGACACAAAACTTGCTTTTTATTCTAACTACTAGGTTGTCTAGTTCTAGAAACTAGACCAATCGCTTTAGATTCTTTTAGTAAATAAAAATGGAAATGTATTTTGAAAAATAATACTTTTATTTGTGGTCAAAATTTCGCCGGGCTCCTTTTCAGAGCAAATTAATCCAATTTTAATTTTTTTTTTTAAATATATTGTCATATATTTGAATATATTGAGGCAGAAGCGCCACTGAATCGAGTCCACGAAATCTGGATAATGGTTTGCGGAGTGAGTCAATATGATATTCTCGTGACAAACACGCAAAGCATCACCATATACGCCATATATGAACGCCACATTGTTTGACAAAAGTTGCGGTGAGATATAACGTCAGTCAAATAATTATACAAGCCGTTCAAATGCAAGAAAAACACTGTCCGTTGTATTTCGGGCAAATTTAATTCAAATGTGTAAACTATGTTGTTAATATGGACGCTGTTCCTGGATAAGACGATTCGGCTAGTTTGATTCTTATTTTAGTTTATATGTCAACAAATGGCCATATACGGAGAAAACCATTCAAAAGACGATTGGTACTATACATCCATCCGTATTTTCATTCGATCTGTATTTGTTGATAAGTGTGAAGTATCCTACTTACGTGAACGCGTCTTTTTTTTTGCAATCTTTGAAATATGAGTTGCCCATCCTGTTTGAACGTCCCATAGACACGCAATAATAACGAATAGACTCAAACAAAACTGGCGCGCCATTTTACTTGTGCTTTGTTAATTAACTGTGAAAATTTACTAGATATCCAAGGTATTGTATGGTTATGTCTTTAAACTATAAGTATCCGCCCAAGCATAGCTAGTAATAAAATTCAATACGTTTTAGCCTAATAATATCCTTGTCAACAGACCACTCATTCACTTGTTATCACCCATTCCCGTTTATTTTCAACAGCCACCTTAGTTTTCAATCAAAATCAATTACAGCCCAAAATCGAGTTGGAATTTTGCCTCATCTCTGCCAACTGATGCTTTTCAATCAAAATGCATGCTTTCTTCCATATTGCTATTCAAATGTTCTAACGTGACATGATATTAGACTGACTGAAAACAGCTGGCGTTCAATAATATTAATAGTCCTCACCAATAAACAATAGCCAACACTAATGATAGTATATCATGTCGTTAATGTCATGTTGAAAATTTCAATATACATTGGATACATTAACTAGAAAATATTAGTAACTCAGCCAAAGCGTGATATTTATCATGTGTGCTAGCTTTTGTAAAGATATTTATTGTAATGAGATACTACTATACAATGTGACGATTACCGTACTATTACGTTGCCTTTACAACTTTTTTTGCAGTAAGCTGACAATTTTGAGACAGGAAGGATCCACCATACATCATATCTATTGTTGGATGAATGATAATATCAAAGAGGATATCATTATGATATATTAATGATCCAATATTTCTGTCATGAAGGGTGGATATACGAACTCTTTCACATCAATGGCTTCATTTCAAATAGGATGTACACCCTATTAATTTAAAAGGCCAAAAGTATACGAACGACAAAGCAGTCTATAAAAGAAGGGAAACAATGTGTCTTATTTTAGGTTAGGGCAAAGCAAAAACGTTTTGAACCCTATCTCTATTCGCTAATAAAAGCAAAAATGCAAACACGTGCTTGTCTGGGATATTCGATTATTATCATCTCAAATATGATGTTACATACTATCAATTTAAAAAGCAAAGTCGATGGAGGAGGTGAAATGTCTTATTTTAGGCTAGGGCAAAACAAAAACGTTCTGAGTCCTATCATTCTTCACCCATGAAAGCAAAAATGCAAAAACATGCTCGTCTGATTACTAGTCAACTTTGACTATAAATTAATTTTCGAAAGGTAGCTTGCTTCAGGTTCTTAACTAGTTGTATTACTTTCATGCAATGTATGACTTATTGTGGTTTTTGAGAACAGTATTTCTTCTGATGTACATCATAACCGGAAATTAGACTTCCGGGACTCATTCAACCAATATATCTATAAACTAGTACTCTTGTACATGACTATTTATTCCCACAAATTGATACCATCGGAAATATATTGAAAAAATAATTGTTAAATTTTAAAATAAATTAAAATGAATTTAAAGTCTGGAACAAATATGCCCCCAAAATGATCAAACTACGCAAATTTTTGAGCATCTTCCTGGAATAGTTCACGTCTCATTACAATATATAAACAAACGCTTATCGAACCATCGTATAATTAATAAATTAGAAATAAAAATTAAATAGTGGTATTACAATAAAATGAAATCTATGATTAGTGACCCTTCCAAAATGGGAAGAATTTAGAAACATGCCAATTAAAACAACAGGCCCAGAAAAATGTCTTCGTAAACAACCGAATTTTTATTCCATAAAAGTCGTGTTCACATATTCTGATTAGAATTCTCTCGTTCGATACAGTGTTACTGAAATAATTTTAGTATAAATTAGTATTTAGCATTATTTTGTTCTTCACAATTTTTAATCTATAATATAAACACAAACACTGAAATGAAAAATGATTGTAATTGTTTGATGAATCAACTCGGTCTTTATTTATTTGAAAGTGATCATTTAATAATAAGCCTTGGCAAGTATTTGAAAATTTATTTAATACAAAATCTACATGTTTTAGGCACGAGTATTAGTATAGATAGTAAGATTATTTAGCCAACGGTAGCGAGTTTTCTGACCGTTCAAACTGCATTATAAGCGTAGTGGTAGTCCGGCTCTAAACGATTTTTCTCTAACGAACGACCATGTTGGACAACCGTTGTCCCTCGTCGTACCAAGCTCAATTGTTGTCGAATTGCCTGGAACACGCAAAGGAGTTCTTACTAATCGCTTACCAGTTATCGTCAAGTCATACATTAAGCTCATGCAATTCTTTATATTCGAAGGATTTCCGGAAAAGGTTTCTTCAATACAAAACAGAAGTCTAGTATACAAGAGATTAAATTGATGATGGAAGTTATACGCCTTTGTGCCTTTTCTATACTGACCATCGCTTGGATTTTTTAGTATTGGCCAAACACCATCATCAAAGAATGCAATTTTTTCACCTGCATAACAATACATTTCGCCCGTTTTTAACAGATTAGGACATGAAGAATGCTCTTTGGAAAAGTTCAGGCAATGCAAATCGTTCCATAAAGGTGGATTACTCAATTTCACGAGTTTTCTTCCATTTACTATTTCTTGAAAACGGTAATAATGAGACAATTCCGACCCATGATCTTTTCCGCGTTTTCTTCCATATAGCCTCGGTTCTGTGACAAAAGGAGAACAATCCGACCCTCCCTCTCCTTGATAAACAATTTCTACAATAGCTTCCAACGCTGTTCTCAAATTACTAACTTCAAATAAAGTAGGGCGAGTTGCAGTCAATTTTGAATCTTTGACTACTACATCATTTTCCGCTCTATTTATAGCGTTTGAATCTATTACTTGTAGTCTGTGGAGTACTCCACGATTTACCTCGTCATTTCCAGTTATTGAATGGTCGCCTTGTTGATACCAATGAGACATATTCAGTTGTTTATTGTAAGCACCGGTGAATAATGTATTCATGGTATCACTATTTCCTTTCCGTTTCAACCTTTTAATATGAATACAAGCTTCAAGAGATGCCATCTTCAAAGCGATAATGGTGTAAAACTTTCCGATTGTTTTTCCGTTTGATTCTGTGACTTCTGTTAATTTTTGTGCAGCAAAATCACCTAAACTTTTCCATGCTCCTAACTCTGCTTCATTTGCATTGGATAGATTTAATGTTGAACCGTATGTGGATGTATTCAAATTTGGCTCATTCTTTTCGATTCTGGAAATTTCTTTTAACAGTATTTTCATATTCATCGAGGTCATATGTGACGTGTCTTTGTTATCATGGGTACTTGGCAACAATTTCCAAATTTTAGCCAGCAAATGCATCATCTGGGATAGAAAAAACATCAACATATTTATTATCATCAGTATAACATATTTATTATTGATACCATACCACGCATGTTCGGTGTATAACTTAACCTACCTTTTTGCCTTCATTGTCTTGTGGTTTCTCAATTTCCGTGAATATGTCTCGAACTAAGCCAATGGAGAATGGCTCTAGTGAAACTAACACGTTTGGGTTGAGTTCATAGCTGTCACCAGATGCCAGATTATTTGGATAGTCTGGAAGTTTCGAAATGTCAGTCATGTTCACAATTCCTCCTACCTGTAGAATCAAGTATTTTGTGTTTTATTAAACACCAAATTCAAGTTTAGCAAGAAAAAATTGACCATTCGACTCAATATATGATACACAATATCATACTAACATTAATGAATTTATTGCTCTCCGAAACGAGTTTCGTAAGTCAACACATAAAATATATACACATAAAATTACATTTTATTACAACAAAAATAATACATTGAGCTAGATAAAGGTCGCAATGTACATGGTTGCATCTTCCTGTTTTAGTATAATACTAGATAACGTAAAGTTCAATAACTAATTTAAAAATAAAAAATAATGAATAATATGCATTTAATATTCATTTTTAAGATACCAACCGCATTTAAAATGTTTCCAGCCAATGACATATGAAGCATTTCTTCGTTAAAAACAGATTTTAATATATCAGCAACTTCTTTGTTTCTTCCATATTCTGTTTTTAAACTCAACCATGCTGTGAAATAGGGTGGTATCGTTGAAAGTTCCAACATGACAGCCTTGTGCAAAAGTCTTCTGACGTCTTTTAAATTTTTTTGTATGGACTTTTCGGTACACACTTTTTCTGTCAATAAAATGGATAGAGAAGTGAAAGTAAATTATTAATATTCAACAATAACAATAAAAATGGCAAACAAAATTATTTAAAATGTGGTATAGTTTCCTCTTTACAACATACCTTTTTCTTTTGAAAACGTTGTCGTTCTTTTCATTCCACATTTCATCCAATTCCAAATTAATTTTCTTTTTCCCGAAGAAAGATCCCGTGTTGTTGGCATGTACCTAAGAATTAAATAGAAAAATGCACATTTATGCGCCAATATTACTTCATCTTAAAATAATAGTTGTTATTTTGCTTTAGTGCATGTTTGAACATGGAAACAACTGTGTTTTAGTTTTCTAATAAAATAATTTTATATTTATATATAGGTTATAATTTTCACTATTTCAAATTCACTATTTTTATCCATTATTTTTGTAAATCGCATCTGTCAGCAAAACGAGTTTCTGGCGCTCACCTCGCGTCGTAAAAGTCAGTTTCAAATAAGGCAACTTTCAACATTCTTGATTTTTTCACAACACTGTCGTATGAATGCAAATCGATGATTCCATTCTTCCACATTGCAGGATATAAATTATAATACTGGATAAATATATCTGTTTAATTAAAAAATATAGGATTTAGTACTTTCCTATTTATTTATTCTTGGGAAATGAATGTTGATAACATGGTGTAGTCTTGCAGCGGATCACAGTTTCTCCTTCGTTTGTCAGCCCAGGGAATAGATGACGAGTTAAATTACGGCCCGCGGGCGGGACTCATCCAACCGAATGGTTTCATCCGGCCCGCTTTTGTCTGCTAAAGTTACGATTATAGTTTTTATAAATATAAATTTAGGTTGAAATTATTGATAAAAACAACATTATAATGACCCTTATTGTTACATTTTGCTTTTTATTATTATATAAACATAAACGTTACCCCCAGCTGTTGTGGCCCATGTTGATCGGCCACGCTTACATGACAATCCCGCGACGGCGACTGGTCCAACAGGATTACATAAAGAAGATAATGATTGCGTTGTAAATCATTCACCCAAATAATCGGTAAAGTGAAACACATTGCGCGACATTACCTTTAATGTCGTTCCAACTCGGGCATGTCTTCTCCTTTACAGAGTTATAAATATGGACTGCTGGTGAGAAGGTCATTGTATTAAAGTCTGCTTTATGCTCGTCGCTGGGGTATCTTGCACCAACGCCTGCGTCAGCAAAAGTAATTATTCCCCTTTTTGATTTATACCTACAATACCAATAATGTCATGATAAAATGTATAATGATATATATATATGACAAAACGTTGCTCGGACGTATAGGCAAGATATTTATATGTTTGAGATGCAATAAAATTTAGAATGGTAGTTTTATGAGGTATCACAACTGATAAATCTATTTTGCTTCATGTTCAAATTAATATAAATTAAGGACTTTGTTTGAACGAAATCATTTATTTTCAGTTAAGCGAAGTATATATTTTATTTATCTAAAGTTGAAATATTAGGATTTGAGAGTATACAAAAAAAAAACATTTAAAGTAAATGACATATTTTGAAAAATCTTCACCTGACAAACAGTTCCAATGGATATATTTGTCCGTCCAAGCCACATCCACGAATGTTACCTGGATCTTTAAGAGCTGTCAATGTCATTTTTATTTCACCATTTTTGTCTGTGAGTGAATTATTAAGATCTCCTGGTTTTATTTGCAATGCATCATCAGGGATGCCTAATGACCTGAAAAATAAAAGAAATCGAAAATCGATTCACGAGAACTGAAGTACATGTCTTCATCTCAAGAACAAACAGTTTAATAGTAGAAAGTTTTTCTGCTAAATGAAATACAAGACCAAAAAAACGTTTTGTATATCTGTCCACGCCCGGGAATGACCTCTATTCGTCGATATGAACGATCGAACGCTATAATACAGTACGTCCGCCTAAAGGTTTTATGCGCTGGAATATAGGTTTTCAAAGCGCTCCATACGGGGCCTCACTGCTTCGTGATAGAAACCTAGAGCTTCGCGAGCTATTTGTTTACTTATTAAAATACCCACTTGGCTGATTTTTATTTTTTATTTTTATAAAATTATTGTGGAACTCCGTGAATAATAGTAAACCTCATCATGGGCTTCATAACACCAAGTTTGAGAACCCTTGCGACAGAAGATCATAAATCTAAGACAATACGTGCTTGTTGTATATATGAATTATATGTATGAAATCTCAGATTAGTAAGCTATAAATTTAGGACAAATCTATCTCCATTTTTGATTCGACTAGGACAGTTGGCAAGCTTTATGTACTGCGGGTCAAATATACAACTTTCCTGTAGCGGGCTAGCCGCATAAATTTACGCTAACGAACAATCACCGCATTAAACTTTAAATTATGGCGCAATATGGCTGTAAAAGCCACAATGCGACGTGTATGCTGCTCATAGCAATATGTGCATCCGAACGTGAACATTACACGTATTGCTCTGTCGCACAGATGAGCAGTGGCGCATCCCGGCTCTCGGGGTCGAATTTCGTATTTGCAATGACACGTTTTGTAATGTCGTTTAACATTAAATTCCTTGATAACTGTGATGCTGACTTGAAACATGAAGCAAACTGGTTTTGAAATGCGCAAGAAAAAAATTGTATTTTCGTCCAACTACATTTGAATGTTCGACCCTCGTCGCAAACTTTCCTTCGTTCACCAGACATTTTTAAATTTCGAAAATTAGAATAAATTGAACGTATAAATAAAACCAACGGTGAGACTTTAATCAAGTAAACCATATACAACTGACGCTACTTACTACGAAACAAGCGCCATACACCAGCACTTGTTACCACATAAATCCATGTGGGGACAATAGGAAATTTAGGATCAATTATTGTCTTATGCATTAAAAGTCGGTTTGTTCAAGGGCCGCAAAATTAGCTCGCGGGCCGCAGTTTGCCGACCCCTGGACTAGAAACATCAGAATAAATGCAGCAAACGCAGACTCTATACGACAGCAATTGTGTGTAAAAAATTTGTGAGTAAAATAAATGAAAAACTTTAATCGAAACTTTTTAACATCAGACATACACGTTTTTTCGATAATATATATGTGGTGTGGAATTTTGAAGCCAATGAGACTGAAGTAAGAAGATTTTCGTATACTGTTGAAGGTATGAAAAACTGCAAAAATAATTTACGTAGCATTCATCATTTGTACCTGTTACACGAAGGTCTTCCGCAATCCGCATTTGATAGAAAATTCTTGACTTTGAAAATATTAAACTGAGCATTTTTGACAGGCTTCCCGAATGATGATACAAATCCTTTGAGTACATGATTTTCTCCTGGATTGAGTCTAACGATCGAGTTACTTTTTAAACCAATGACAATTCCTTTTGGATTTTCTTTCATGTACGTTGACACTCTCCTGAAAAAGTCGATATAATCTGACTATTTGCCAAATTGTGCGTGTTTCAAAATGCCCATTTGTTGGTGGCTTACATCGTTTTCGCAATTTGTAATAACAATTTATGGAAATATATTTTACTGCGGGCCATGCAACAAGGTGACAGCGCTCAGATATATTGTTTTGGCATTCTGTCAATCTTTTAGATTGATGAGGTGTCAATCAAGAATGTCAATTCATCGTCAATATTGTTGCGGTAATATTGAACTGAGGTAAAATATATATGGTTCCATTACATTTGAACCCACGTACATTTGAACCCATGACAATTGCACCTGTATGCTATTGCACCAAGGAAATTTTTTTTGTTTCACGGATAGTTAAACCCATACTAACCCTAACCCATGGGTTTTAGCACCCGCATATAGATTGAACCCGTGGATATACGCATGGGTTCAAATGTACATGGGTTCAAATGTACGGTCACCAATATATATATATACCTGTAACTGAAAATATCAACAATTTGCATGTTGAACATTTTCAACTTTAAACAATCATCTCAATATAGTTGCAATTTGTAGTAATAATGTCCATGAAATTAAATTGTGTTGGAAAATCTTTTTATTGCATACTTAAAAAAAAAATGCAATACCCGTCTGGTAGTGTTTGCAGTACAACCAGTCTATGATTTTGAAGGAGTCGTCGAGTTGTTGCATCAAGGTGTTTGATACTTATGTCCATGATTCCTCCATATGTATTGTACCAAGAACCATCATTCCCTATACGTCGAGATATTTCTCCATCAGTTGTTATCCATCTCCATGCAAGCTTACTATCGTGTCCACTTTTAATGCACATCGTCAAGTCGTCAAATAAAAAATATCTGCAATCAAATTAAAAATGTAAAAAAGATATCAAATATGACAGTCTGATATAATATATATAGATAATTGACAATATCAAAGGCAATGAAAAAATAGTGGATCGTGTAACTTCTTAAAAATTTTCTAATTTTCAACGTGGGAACATTGAAAGATAATAATACTGAATAATAATAAACTTCATAAATTCTGTTTGTTATAGTGTTGTTGTTGTTGTTGTTATTGGTATTAGTATATTGTTGTTATACTGTTATTGATGTTATGAAAAAAAAGCCTTTTCTCTTTAACTGCTGAACCAATTGCATTGAAATTTTTCAGTGTTTAAAGTTGTTAGTGTTTAATGTTTCAGTGTTTAAAGTTGTTTAAATAGTTTTTATCGCTGGAATGATATACTTTCATATATTTTCAAAATTTCCGTGGACTCCATGGGATTCTTTTTTTACTCCGGCAAATTACTTGTAGACTGTTCCGCGACGAATGTCAGCGCTTCTCGTGCTCAGCGAAAGTCGGAATTTGTTTATGGGGTACGGTAGGCTACGGTACCGAAACTGTTGGGGATTTGATAAAACAGTTGTGACTCGGATCATTTGTATTTCAATTCACGTTGAAATTGAAAGCATGAATAATCGTCACAAGACATGGAAAATTTAGGACAGTCCGGGTACTTAGCTGTTTCACAATTCCAGCTTTGTTTAGGAATTACTGGTAAAATATTCTGTTCCGGTTTTCGTGCCCATATATTTGAGCATTGCTCTCTGGTTTTATTTTATTCAGCACTCGGTTTCAAATATTTACTTTTCATATGACATACGAACGTCATACCTGCAAAATGTTTTTCTAGTCATTAAAATCGCCAAATCCAATTTTCCCGTATCACTCGCTGAAAAACTTTCATCCTGTCTACCGATAATTGATAATGACAAATCTATCGTTAACGTGTACATGGTAGAGTGCACATAGAAAGGAGCGAAACCACCGATACTTCTTGAAGGATAAATTGTACGCGTTGCTGTGGTTTGTAATGGATCATCATGTGACGATAGACCTGTGATAAAATTGTGAATTTTAAGTTTGTTGTATTTATTACATTCTATGTTTTCGAGCATCAAAAATCTTCGCTAGACGGCGCTAGATACATTCATACCAGGGCAAAGTGAAGCTCTAATTCATGAATTAAGGCCAAATGGCATCGTATGTCAGAAGATATAGCCTTGTTGTCAAATTTGCTGTTTAGGAAAGTAATCATATGGACATCTGAAGCAAGCTTTAAATAAATCGTTTACTCAACAGATCAACTTTCATTGTACTTTACTTTGTTTGTCCGAAGATATGAACTTAGAGGATTATAGTACTGTTCAATACACAAATTGAGCCTGCTGAAATTGAAAATAGTCTCTATATAAGGTCTCATTTAATTTCCAAATTTTTCCTAGGCCCTATGGCACATCATTACCCAAACACATACAGTAATATTTTATTCCCTAGACATTTTTATGATATATGGGAACATTATTTTTTGTCACGATTGTCCTCCTTTATATCAAACTTGATGCTCAACAAAAGTAGTAGAAGTAATTTGACTAGATGATGATAGTTATTTGACTTTCTCTCTTGAATAAAATGCGTCGTATTTTATTTTTTTCAATCTCTATATTGAAAGCAAAAATAAAAAGAGTATCAAATAAATGTCCCATAAAGCAAATGTAGCGCCACATGCATAACGAATGTAACGACTGTACACAATAACAGCGACGAGAAAAATGTACTTATTTTATTCATAATGGATCTTAATTATTAATAATGCATAAAACCTTTTCAATAATACCTATAGTTCCCGATATTCTGCCTTCGAGAGATATTTGGTTGTATAAATCGTATACGAAAGTCATGGATAACTCTGAAGCATTTTTAAATAATCTCTCATAATGATGATCATGCCATGTCACATTCACGAGCTTGCTGAAGTTTGAAAGAGAATTTTTTTAGATAAATCTTCACTATATAAAGTATCACATTTGAATTATTTAAATAATCGTCACGAAGTGTACATTGGGGTAGTTCCGGTAAATTGTTGCTGCTGTTGTTGTTGAATAATTGTTGTTGTTGATAAACAATCGCTTTTTTTCCAGCAAAATTATAAAAAAAACAGTCATCTCCAATCTTCCGGTACTTGAAGTTGATTTCGCCCAAATTTCCTCCAAGTATCATGGGGCTTAAAATTTCCCCCAAATTGTTGCTAGAACGTGGCATTGCGTCAGACCAATCCGATATTCTTAGGGCAACGTCCGTGCTCATTGCCCAGATGCCGTCTTACCGATGCCGACGCAATTTCTGCGACGATGCGACTTAATTTCAGTCTAAAATGATTGCCGCAGAGGTTACCGGTACGGTATTCAGTCATCAAATGTTCAAGTGATATTCATATATTTCATAAATCATTTTATATAGTCATATATTTTGCGCATTGTTCTACTGTTTGTTTCTAGTTTAAACTATCACAATTTTGTTCATATACCATCATCAAAAATGCAATGCGTAGTATTAGGTAAACGACTACCTGCGAAATTTTATCAAAATTGTGGTATATACCTTTTGTATCGTGACATTGCAGCAATTGCAAATCCTACAGTTTTGTCTGTGACTTTTGCAAGTCTTCCTGTGGGAGCGGGTGGAGATGAATACAAGTAAGCCCCCTGTAATATTCCTGGTATCGATACTTTTAATCCAAAAATTCCAGGCGAATATTGAAAGTCTACATTTAAATCGATCATTACTGCTCGATTTGTCTCTAAAATCAAAATACATATACAAAATACAACTAGGTAAAAATTAGTGTAATGTAATATGTTTTGGAGTTATCTAAAATATTGACACTAGTGGACGCGAAAGCATGGTTGTTTTAGTACGATTTTTAGATCTTCCTCGGATAGGTACTCGTAGCTCTCATTAGAACAATTAGTTATAAAAATAACAAAATCGTATTTAACTGGGTACAATCAATAACCTTTATTTTACACATGAGATAATTATATTAATATTATGTTTTTAGGTGTTTTGATATATTTTCTTGCAAAATGTCGATAAATCTCAAAATGTCGATAAATCTTATCAAGTATTTATATATCACCTATGACCTGTGATCCAACTATTGGATCATTTGTTGAACAGTTTTGGGGTGATGTACAAAGTGACGTCACAAACGTATCTTGGAAATAAATTTGATTGGTTCCGTCGGCATTCCAGCAGTTTGTTCTAAACTTATACTGTGTATGTGTTCCAGTCTGTAGATTGAAGAGTTCTTATATATATAAATCAGACATTTTTTTTATTTACATGTTTTTGTCGATAAATGACAATTTCTTAGCTATTGTTGTTCAATGAACCTTATAAATCGTTTCTCGTGGGATCTGGTTTAGAATTAGACCACACTTCCCACCAAGATATTCAAATTTGCTTTTACATTTCACTCGTTTGACGACATGTAAGATTTCAATTTACGCCTATGAAACCTTGATGTACGGCCATGTGTGATGTCATTTTTACTTGGAAGTTTTTATTCAAAAATATACTGTTTTGATTGATATTCGTATGACTAACAAATTGATAACCACCTTGCATGGTAATGTACATATTGCATAATTTATCTATATTTATGCTTCATGTACACCGCCTGCATTCTTTTCTTGTATGCGTGTATGAGAGAAATAAATGATGGAACAACTATGGTATTTCCTATTAACGTATGCTCGCCTGAACTTTGAATGTATACAATACGTAACATAAGATTTACAAGTTCATTTGTTTTAAATACCTCTCTTCTTAATGCTATATACGAATTTTTCAATTCAGCCGGTGAAAATTCTTCATTCTCATAAGCACAACGGACGTTGTTGGCCGTGGCAACATCCGCTACCAACTTCCCGCTAAAGTGGATTCTGGGCCAGGTTAAGTAACCTAAAAACAAGTCGTTGCAAAAGATTCTGTCAGAATAGGTCACACTTCTGGTTATTGATATGACGTTAAGCATTCATGCGACAAAGGGTTCAATCGTTTAGATTTTCCGTCTTATTGAAAAATGAACAACTAACCAAATTAAAGATGCACTCGAGATTATATAGGGCTTTTTATATATAACAAAAATAATTTTCATGTGGGTATTAATATCACAATAAAAACATTCAAAAGTCATCAACTTCAGAACCAAAATCCCGAAATGGTTTTTAACGTACTTGGACAAAATGAAACAAAGCAATGCTTTGATTCGTGTGTAGAATCACAAAATATCTTGTTTTGTGTTAGACATTTCCTTGTTCTTGTTCTCACGCCTTCTCCACAAGATATACTACAAGATGACCACGAACTCCATTGTGTATATCCTGTAATAGGAATTTAGTTATTACTTAATTTGCTTCTATCTGAACGCGATATGAGCGTAAATGTATACTGAATTGAAAAAAAAAATATTTTAGAAAGTTTTAACATGGCAACGAACGATTTCAATTATTTGCAAATAGCAAAATTCGAAATCTTGAGTAGCAAGCTTCAGATGAAGAAAGATTATCTTTATCAAATAGACTGAATAAATTGCTAAATTCTAGCATGATGCAAGGGAACAGAGCGGAGTAAAACTAAACGAGGCATATTAATTTATATCAATCTATTCTTAGACAAAGATACTCAAGATAATTGCAGTTACAACTCTATATATCGTTAACTTTCTATTCAATATAATATAATTCTATTTAATTCATATTCATTACGCGACAAACATACAAAATAAATAATTTCGTTTTTCATATAACTTACCGCAATCTAGACTCCTAGCAAATTTGGAATGATATATCCCCCGCTCTCCATCACTCTTCCATATGATAACAAGCATAGCTAAGGTGACAAGTCGCATCATATCAGATAATCACTGTTGGAAATGACGTAATTATATTGTTAGCATATCTTATAGGTGTATCTTAATCTGTATTCTAAATTCTAAACCAGATTTAATGGCCTAATATTTGGTACCAACGTATTGAATCAAATTACGCAGGCTATATGGCTGGGAAATTTAAAAAACGATCGTTGATAAAAACCGGATGCACCACAGCTTTTTTAGCAGTTTTTAAATATGTTCAAAAACGCAATACTGCTGAATTCACCATACCCTTAATACGTGATACTCGCTTTACATCGGAAATGAATTTCATGCAATATATTTTCGCGCTCTATCAAATATTAGAACAATGCCATACAGGCCGATAAACGATATTTTTACAGTGTTCAAATTTTTTTTACAGTATATATATATATCATTATATATCATTTTTAGATTATAATCACTAATCTTTGTTCAAATTCCATTTATATTGGAAATGAAACAAGATTGTACTTGCGAATATTACGATATCAGTACAGCACGATCTTCAATTTTCCACATTCTTGATAATACTCTCCCGCTAGTATCTTTTCAAGAAAATGAATAATACTCATGGCCACAAGGTCATGGATCAAGCCAGTAATCCGGTCAATTTTTGAGTATTGAGTCGGGCATCCGATCAAACCCCTGTGGTTCGAAGGAGTTGACCCATGGGTAATCACTTCAGAATAAAACGCACAAAATTTCAGTGCGCTTTGCCGCGTGGTATTTCACCATTATTGAGCGTCCAAAATTCCAAACCAAAATTATATTTATGAAACAGAGTGAATAATTAGGGTTTTGCAAACGGGTTCATCGGTTTAGAAACGGTTTTAAGACCACTGGCATACAATTTTTATTTTTCCTTGAGTGCCGCTTTCAAATAAACTCGGTCTTTACAAAGATCCCATCAACGGTCGATTGTGATCACGACCTGCCTTTTCCGATGACACATTTTGTGAAATCTCGTTACATTGTGCCATATGGCATTAAAACTAATTCGGTATACGAGAGTGGGGAATATGTATACAAAAATTCAATATTGTAATGCATGCCACTGAAATTTTGGTATTCAGCTATTAGTAATTATGTCGCAATTAGGATAGATTTTGTGGATGCGATGACTGGTGACAGTGAACACACTCGTTCAAAGCATTGCCGCTTTCAGATAATTAGTGAGCATGCCATGCCTAACTCTTATCAAAACGCAGGCAATAAATGACTTATATCCTCGCAGTATTTATAATAAATCAACGCTATACGAAATTTTGTCTATAATCGTTTCAATGTTGTCCATAAGTTCCAAACCGTTGTGAGAGCACCTTACCATATGGATTCAACAATTTGTAATAGCGAAACTACAAGCCTAAAGTTGTGATAAATGTTAATAGGCAACTCATAAAACGTCACATAAAACGTTTTGATTTTGGCGCTCTTCAAGTTTTGAAGTTATGGGCTTAATTTCGAAAACTTGAAATCGATAGAAAATTTTAGTTTTCTTTCAAATCTCTGACAACTGAAAATCCCAATAGCAATCTACATAATATAATATTATCAAGTTCTAAGCCCTAATTATGCGATGATGTATCTCATAAAAGACTACACTGTTTAGGCCGAGATCTCCTGCAAAAATTATTCGTCGGGATAGTTTCATTCTAAACAGGTAGCGATAATGCTGTCATATCAGATCACTCTTATTGACCATTCACTTATTCTGATTTCAATTGTACCATACTAAATCATAATTAGGATAATTCATAACCTTTCGCCAAGTCTAAGACTATAAACATATGACAGAACCACGCATACCACGGATTCTGTTTCAACGCACAGAAACTGAAAGCATGTTTAAAAACAGCTGTATTTGTGTGTAATTAAATTGTAGTCAGTATGAATGATATACTAGTAATTTATATTCCTAACGTCAGGGAATATCGTCAATAAACCATATGGCAGATAAAGTATATGTAATTAGATCGTACGGAAATCTACCGTAGTTATTGGTTTTTTATCGGAACTATCAAATCACAGATCACATTAACGTATAGGTACTATTACTAAAAATATGAAAAGGTCATATGAACATATACATATAACAAACCTGTTGGTGATGTAATATCTAGTACGGTATATACATTTACACTCTACTAATATGACTCCTGGAACTGTTTTCTTGCCTCTAGTTGGTATTTAATATTTAGACTGAAATAGATATTGAACTTCAGAAATTCGTGAGATAAATATAAGTACGATGTAGAAATCGTTCTTATTACACATACTCTCAGAAACTCAAAACGCATCCACAATGTTACGTCGACACCACAGTTAATTCCATTTTATACATTGTTGATAATGTAAATAGAAGTATCCGGTGGTATAAGGTTAAATATCATTTGTTATTACAACTGATTGCACGACATTGCCAATATGCAAACTGGCAATACCAAATCTAATAAGGTAAAATTAAAATTTCATGAGGTTTGATAAACGTATTTGATCTTGGTATATTCATTAGTAGTATATTAGTATGGTCTTTGTATATGCCTTTCGAAAATAAGAAATGACATACGGAAGAAACTACTCGTGGTTGATCTCGAGTGTGTTTATCACTTGGTAACAAACATATCGGAGTGAAAATCTCCACATGCCGAAATGTTGACGAAATTGCGCATGGGTGGAAATAGAAATAACTCATATAATGCATCCGCTGTGGCTGATCTCGTGTGCAAAGTTTTTACAGCGACTACGTCTGGGCGGTCGAGGTGGTTGCGCATTCCTTTAAAATACCCCATAATAACTTTTCTTGTAGCGTAATAATATACAATCCATGACAACTACGTAGATTGAAACTGTCTTTCAATTTTAATCTAATTGTGCTCGACGTAACACGGCAATCTGTAGACATAATAATTTGAGATAAACTGCCTGATTATTACTTATCGATTTTAATCGGTAAGTATGTTGATAGGTATTTGTCTGTCTGTCTGTCTGTCGCGATATCTCACGAAAGCGAGAATGAATCTGCTCCAGATTTTGCATGTGCATTCATTATATGTCGTACTAGAGGCCTATTGATGGATGAATTATGTCGTATAATTAGCGAGTTATTAATTAATTAGTGGTGGGACACAAGGTGTCACTATGGAGTAAGAGCGCTGTTTTGGGGGATCCCCTAATTCTCGATCGATAAGTCTTCGGTTTCTGACCGATATTCTCGTATTTAGTTTTAATGCATATTTGTGCGCTCTTGCGAATTCGTCATCGCCACTATAAAAATCCCAAGATCTGCTATAAAATCACGGAATATACAATTTAATTAAGGGCAATAAATATAAATATAAATGTATATATATCAAACATACATATTCATACTTTCGAAATCTCCAGAAATGAAACCTTTTTGCTTCATTAATTTAATAGTGATCAATTCAATCTGCGGTTGCGACGATACAAATAGTATCTCTGGTCCAAAATACCAACACAATCCGTGGACATAAACATGTACGATTATATGTTGCTTTGACTCGTATTTTTGCAAATAAAAAAACATATCTGAGCTGTTGCTGCAACACTTATTGCGCTCCATCGCAAGGCTGTAACTCATTATTTTCAGGATATCACCCTAAGAAAAAACCTTAAGTCAGCGACAATATCCCACAGAGTAAAATTTATTTCAAAAAATGAATTAAATATACTTTACATTAATTAGTTGTAGAACACAAAATGTTTTTGCGATTTGCAATGTCAAAAATCATCTTTGATTTGTTAATAGTCCAGCGGATAAGACCTCGAATATGATAGAATTGTGCACTTTTGGATGCAAGCATGAAACTTGGCGCACATGTACAGTAGCATCTTCTGATTAATTTTGGATATGGTGCCATCCAAGAAAATACCTCGTTGCCATGGAAACGAGGCATCACCCGTATTGCTATCAGAGTGTAAGAGACATTACTTCAAGAAAGGATATTTCCAAGATAAGTAAACCGATGTGTATTTAAGAAGTAAGGAATATGATAAAAAGTGCATTTTGACAATTGCCTTTGATAAAAGAACACCTGGTTACCACGGAAACGAGGTATGGTTATCGACCAAACACGATTATTAGTCGCACAACCTGAACGAAAACCGGAAGACAAATACTATGTTCATGATGTGCGCCACCTTGATGTACATACTTCTGGAGCTCCCCCATCCCTACTATTTGATGGACATACTTTCTATGTACATGCATATTATAGTTGATCAACATGATATCCCAGCAAAACTACGCTTGGAAAAATTACCGTGCTTTCAGGCATCGACTTTACCGAATTAGCATTCCATTTCCCATAATCAATTGTAAATTCTTTGTTTATTGACTAAACAGATTGGTACTGATTTCACCTCGCTTGTTACAAACTTGGCTTTGTTTTAGAGCAATTCCTATTGTGTTCGATACGAACGGGAAGTTTTCCTGTTATTGTCATGAATCACAAATTAAGCTACATTCACTTTCAAAATGTAATTCTTTTTGTGCTCAATCAACTTCCATTGCCAATGGTATATTTTCAACTCATAGCCACATAAAGCTGGTGAAAATACAAAATATATATCTCATAACTGACGGATTATTGTTATCGTGGAGCATATCGTCATCATATATATTAATAAAGATAAATCCATTCTCACAACTCGGGCACGTCGTATCTCAGCCAGATAATCTTTGGAAGACGGAAAACTTGCTGTACATTTCAGCTCAAACTCGGATGAAACCATTGATTCTTGTTATCTAGATCTAACGTCGGCTTATGTTAGTGCTACATAAAAACAATTAGAAAAACGATTGAAATAATTATATTTTCCAAAAATATATTTCACAAAGACTCCCCAATAACTAGTGGGGGCAATTTTACTATTTAGATATATACCACAAACAAAGCACTTATAATGCATGAAATATATTGCCTAATTATAGGTACATTCTACTCTTCCATATATTGCCGTTGGCTATCTCTGTCGTGTGAAAATAGTAAATATCTATATTGCCCTTCTAATATTCAGAATTCAATTAACAATAAACATTAAATACTACTTTCCTCTCGAAAATCGTGTGCACTAAGCTCCAACAAACCTCAATATTTTCACTACATTTTATAAGACTGCAATTCCATTGAATACCAGGCAACACACTGTTTTATATCTGTCACAATGATTATAATCGCGGTGCTCAGGAAATGTGTTTTCGACATTGTTATTTAACGGTAATAAATTCGGCGGATCGATATAATAAATAGCGGTTTAAGACCATAATATGTATGGAATAATATTATGTGTACAAGGATTGAGATTAGATTATGGGAATCAATTTTTATGGCTTATATCTTGACAGGTTGGTGGACCGAAATAAAAAAAGGGAAATGTTTTCTACTCGGTGTAGATCATCTTACCCCAGCAGGTGTGGGAAATCACTCTCCTGAGGGGTTCCAGTTACAGATAATAGACTTGTTAGTGGGCTATGAAGTGAAGTGAGCTTTATAACCGTATCTGCTGCCCTGATTTTAAACTCTTGTGTCGAAAATTGTTGGCGAAAGTCTTTATGTTTTGTTCAAAAACAGGTCTCGTAATGTTATACTCTTCGAACACCGGAAACCCAAATTAAGCAAGCAGTTGAATGTTGTCTTTGAAAAATACGTCTCTCCATTTCTTGTTAAAAAATGTCATTCGGAATCCACATTGCGTTTCCCACTCATACTGATGGATTTGTTACAGTGGCTGGCAAATTACGGTAGCTGCAGAGAGAATGTTGGTAGAAAATTAAGTCCAAACCTAGACTGAGGTTTAAATAATAAACAGCATCATGTAGCAATGGGGTCATCTTGGATGAGTTTTAGGTATAGGTGGCTGGTTTTCGACATTATTTACAGGTGCAGATAATACACGTCTATATCTTAGCCGACGCTCGTTAGATTCAACGCAAATTTATATCCATAAAAACTACATATACTGTAGTCGTAAATTCTACAGGTACAAGTGGGCCGGATAAAATACTTCGGCAAGCTGGATCCTGCCCGCGGGCTGTATTTTGCCCACCCTGTCCTAGTAGTACACCGTGGTACTTAAATCAATCGGACATCTATCAATTATTGGAAACGAAGTGTACATATGGATCGTTTTGTTATTATTTTGTTCTTGCACCAAGGTTGCGCACAACATGAACATAGTAATTGTGTTTCGGTTAGGGTTCAGGTTGTGCGACCAATAATGTTTGGTCGATAACGATACCTCGTTTTCATGGTAACCAGGTATTCTGTTATCACGGGCAATTGTCAAAATGCACTTCTGGTCATATTCTTTACTTCTTAAATACACACCGGTTTACTTATCTTGAAAATATCTTTTCCTAAAGTAATGTTTCTTTCACTTTAATAGCAATACGGATGATGCCTCGTTTCCTTGGAAACGGGGTATTTTCTTGGATGGCACCATATCCAAAATTTATCAGGGGATGCTACTGTACATGTGTGCCAAGTTTCATACTTGCATCCAAAAGTGCATGATTTTACCTCTTATCCGCTGGACAATAAGGGCCATCCTAAATAAAACTTAAATGGTGTTTTCCGTTTTTTAGTTTTATATAATGCCGCTTTATAATCAAGAAAATATTGGTCACGTATTCACTTCTTTGTTTATCTTAGCATCTTGTCATACATGATTATGTAATAATTCGTTTCTCGCAAGTGCCATGGTTGTTTGAGAACGATAAAGTAATTATCATGTCCTCGTGGCACAAAACATATGTTGAGGGAAATTTGTGATTAAGCAGAATAAATGCTGACATAAAACATGTTCACGGCTTAAATAAGAGATCACGCTGACAAAAACAATTGACGATTTTCACCAATTGCAATCCCACGTGTATCGGTAATAGCCGTTCACTTGTGATGTTCACACAAATTCGACAACTTTAAATATAATATTCACAGCGTTGAAATTCCAGATTCACACTGCGAGAACGCCGATTCCTTTGAACCAGGGTCGTCCAACCCGTGGACCGCGGAAGCATTTCGAGTGGCCCACGCTGTATTATTCCGAATCGAATAAAAACAATTGAGTAAACCTATTTTTCGAGAGATGTAGTATACAAAGATGTGACGCAAATTATTTTTTTTATTTCCTTAACTGCTCTCTGTCAGCCCTTTCAAACGAGGCATGACTGCCATTTTGAATCGAAACCAACTAGGAGGAGATATCGATACATAACGGTGCCATAGTCGCTTACACACTTGGACTTTTGGTATATGACGTTATCTCAAAACAATCAAAGCCATTCTCAAATTGAGAATTCGTTAAGTATTGTAAATAATAATATGTATTGTTCGGGTTTCCAATGTTTTACGTCCCGAAATAAAAGAGGTGTTTGCAAAAATAGCCTGTCAAGACAGACCAGACTCGTCATGTTGAGAGCTTGGGAACTCTATAGCGAAAACTTTAATTGCATTCCTTGGCGCTTGACGAAAGCACTGACATCAAGGTTACTGATAAGTTGGCCATCTTCTGCCGGGGAGTCAATGATGATTTTGAAATTACCGAAAAGCTCGCAGCCATGATCCATCCTTAACGTAGTCTGCGTCAAGTTTTTATGAAATCTTTTGTAAATTATATTTACGAGATTCCGCTATTGCGTTTGTGAGAACCAAATTCTAAAGAAACTTCTATTTGACAGAGTCTGTCATTTCTCGAGGCTAAGCAGAATAATATGTTGAAATAAATAAATTGTACTAAGTGCATTTTACAGGCTATTGTTTTCGTTTATAGCATACTGTTCATTTTACTGAATAAAATTTTTTGGCAATGCATATTTTTAACCGCCTGTCAACTAGTACTATTTTATTCAATATATTATATACAAATTTGAGATTAATTAAATGTTTCACACGTTGTGTGCATATTGCGCATTAACTGCCGCACGCCCCAGTAATCACGCCTCTGCTGTATTCCTTGCATGAGTTTTTAGTGATAATTATTAATATTTTGGAATAATAATGAAGTATAACTTAATTCTCTGGCATACCTCAAAAAGTATTTTTTTTTGCTCTGTTGTGAAAAAATTATGGTATTCAGATATATATCAGTTTTCTGCCAAAAAATAGTTCATATCATAATATCCGCTTTGCAATTTTTGATATATAAATCTCATTCACTGTTGGTGCATTTGGACAGTATATATTGCAAATATATGTAAGTCGTTTTATGGAAATATATCGCAATATATATCAGTAGTTTCTAAACTTGAATTGTATTTTAGAAGAGAATTGAGTTTGGAAAAAAAAAAATTTTGTGTCCAATGACGCAATAAGAAAAAAGAGTTCCATGTCAGTGTACACAATTTTCATATGTTTTCAACAGTTAACAAAATATATTTAATATGCTATCAAAATTCGTGGCATGTTTCTTTATCTTCATGCCCATGTAAAGTAAAGCAGATGATTCTTTTTCCCTCACGTCGACGTATTTCATAACTCATTGACCGAATCATGGTGCAACTGTTTAAAAGTATAATAATAATATTAAGAGTTTTAATGCTAGTCATACATATACACAGAAATTATTCACCTCAACAGTAAATTGCGCTTTCTAACTGAAACACAAATAAACAAAAATGAAGGGTTGTGATTGTTGTGTATTTGGCTATAAAAATAAATGAACACACAACTTACTTTTTTTGTAGACTACCAGTCTTATCTTTAAAAAAATTACATTTCCATCTTCCTCCGGTAAACTTGCTTCCACCACCAGACAAATTAGGGCGGCGAGCAAACCACGTGATGTATCTTTCATTGCTGTTGCCAGGTTTTATATCTCGGAAGCATGACCAAGAATAAATTTTCTTTTGCAAAACAACCCAGCAATTGTTGCCCTTGCATTTTAATTTACGAGAATAAAAATATTTTATTTCACATTCATGGCGTCGATCATCTCCCAGTTTATCGAGTCTTATTCTTTTTGTTTCAGTCCGTTTCGTTTCATCGTCTTGTGCCTAGGTCAAATAAAAAAAAAACAGAAAAACTGGATAAAAGGAAGAAAAAATCCACTGTCTTATATAGTATAAGAATTAAAATCAATCAATCAGTCTCGAGTACTATGAATTAATTAGTCATAGTTCACTTCTGCGGATTATGCTGGAATACATTATAACTCAACTATGTGAATTTTCCGGTCCTAGTTTTCCTTGTTTTTGAAATTCCACGATATTGGCTTTAAATTGCAAAAGACGTAACTAAAGAATAATTGACCAAATTTCGAGAAGGACTTATTCGCTTGACCTTCTATATAAAAATGTTTTTATAACGTCAAAATATAATCTAACTCTGATGTTCGGTAAAAAATTAATTAGTTTAATTTAGTTTTCTTATTGTGAAGCAAAACCAACCTTTTTAGGAAGGTCAACTTTATTTCTTTTTGAGATTGACTCATACTTCCGCTGCCTGATAAACTGCTCTGGTTTAATTTTTTCTTTTATATACCACGGTTTGATTTTTCTCTTTTTCGGTTTCTTTTTATTTTTCGCATTTTTAACAACTTGTTCTGTAACCACATATTAAAAATTTAAAATAAAATAAAGTCCAATTTTCGCATTTAATACAGCAACAGCCATAAAAGATTTTTCATACACCCTTTTCTATCTAGATTATTACACGAATAACTTGTAATTAGTTATTTTTAAATGACACGAATTTGTATCGGAATTCCGAAATTAGTTTTATTCCTAATACATATGTGGACTAACCACAGTTTAATTTCTTTGATCCCTTTTTCTTTAATGTTCCCTCTAGTAAAATTCCATTTTCAGTGACGCACCAGCAATATTTCTTCCAACACTATCGACGAATATGACATGAAACGAATAGAGATATTGTGTTTATGTCAAAAAAAGTAAAATAAATACACCTAAGTATATCCTCCCTAAAGTATATTACCTACTTATTTTTTTGTATAATAGACTGATAATAGTAACAAAATTGAACGCAATATATATACCATTATATTGTTGAATCTTTATTAGCCTAAACTACCGCGAAATTTAAACAACAATTTTAACATTAAGAAAATAACAAACTTGTGTATGATGAAATTTTCCAGTAAAGGTGCATTCCGGAATCCATATTTTTTTTGATTTTATGACATCCATCAAACTTCGGAATCGTCCACGAACTGCGCGCTGTCTTATTCTCCAACATTTTGTCTAAAACATTCTATATCTAATTATTATTGGCGAAACAAAGGAACCGAGTAGCGTGGCGCATAGATAACGCAGTAAAATATTGAATATTAACCAATATGTGAGCACGCAACGATTTCTATTTTTTAAGCAATTAAAAAATATTAGAAAACGTTGAAATAAATAGTATAAATGAAATTATTGAATTGGTAATGCAACTTGATTTTTGTTTAATAGATTGGATCCTACAGACGCCTTCTATATTACAGAAATGTCTTCAAAAATATGATGAAATCATTTGTTGTCTCGCATTTCCATTTTTGTTAATAGGTGTTCGAAAACTAAAGGCAAATATGTTATTCAACAATAGATTTATAATGATGATCTTACACAGACAGGGACCGGACAATATTCCCATTCCAAATCATTCTTCATTTCAATAAAACACCAAGGTCTACCAACACCGTCAGGATCTCGACAATAACTATGAAAAAAAGCACCTGCAAAAATGTAAAACAATTTAAATCAACCTAATCGTTTTGTAATATTTGAAAATAATATCAATCAAAATAAGAATTTTCTTAAAAACTATAACGTAAGTTAAACGTTATAAATACGAACTGTTCATCAAATTTGGTTTGCTTGAATAAACCAAAAATTATGAACGATGGTAAACAGGAAGCAAACAGTTTTTAACTGGTTCGTGGAGGTCGAATTAAACGGATGCGGTGATTTTTTTGTTTATCGCCCGTTATACAATATAGAAAATAGACAGTATTAGAGTATATATATACCATAATTTTTTAACGTGTTTATAGTTTGATTTATAACAGCTATTCCGATAGAACTTTTATGATATTTTTCCAACTCTTCTGCAGTTCTTTCAAGTTTGATTATAGAAAAATTGTTTGCTTCTTCACGTTCTTCAATTAATTCCACCACTCTACTTCGAAGCATCGTATCAAAAACGCTCCAGTTAGAACATTTTCTACTTGTTTCTGTGTAATCCATCAACCCATGATATTCCTTCGAATAACCTGGAAAGGCGAGAGAGGATAAGCTACAAATCAAAGGCAAATGATTGTTGTTGCCGAAGCCAACATGCATTCTTGGGAGTTATTGGTGCAATTTGGATTCGTGGTAGCAATTTTACTCTTTTCACCAGAGTTCTTGATCGAAAGACATCTGATTATTATTTGAATGTCACTAAAAACGAAAGAATTATGAATTATATGTATTGCCTAACTTAAAGAAAATTGCAAGCCATAGATGTCCAATCTTGATTAATAACAATTTGACATTGCTGTTAAATAGTTGATTAATTTGAATTAGGTAACCTAACAGCGTCATTAAAGTATAGGATAAAATACACAGATTACCCTTTTCGTAGCATCCCATCTCATCAGTATACATTGTTAATCCATGTAACGTACGAATTTCGCGGTAATACTCATTTTCTGGTAAAATTAATGTTTTCAGTGTGTTTTTAAACTCTTTCAGCTTTTTCTCTTCCTCGTCAAAATCTCTAGTCAGTGGTTTAGTGAAATTAATTTTCCAATCGCTAAATAAGTCCCGAATCACGTTACCACCAAATCGAATAAGTCGACCACTGCATCCTTCAGAAACCTGTATTCCAAAAACATGTTATTTCTACGAATCAATGTTGGCATACATATATATGAGATACGCTGAATCTAAGATATATATATATATACTCGTATATATCGAGGGAAGCAATATATATATCTATTTTTATTACAAAAAGGTCGCTTTTACGAAGTGTTATTTGAGAAAAAGAATAAATAAATTTAGATGAGAAGTTCCATTGTGAATTAACACTCTATAGACGAGATCAGAAACAATTTGTTTAAATCAGTTACAACAGCTTACAAGTCACGTGATCAAAATTACCTTGTAATAGAATTGATCTGGTCAGCATGGTGTATTTTAAATTTCTGGTGTTTTAAAATGCTCAAATATTGCACTATGCTTTATTTTTACCTAATAAATAACAAAACAAAAAAAAGTATGTCGACCTACCTGTATATAAAATATGAACACTGTCAGAAAAACAATTGAAAATGAACAGCAATATTTCATCATAAACGTATAGAAAGCTAATTACTTCTTGTGCTTTCTATACCTGGACCAAGTTGTAAACAATAACACTCTGTACCAAAGAATGTAGCTTAACTCTATCAATCATATATATTCCCTTCTAAATGCATTACTAACGTTACTGCCGATATAATCATCTATTATCAGGTGAAGTACTTACTATGCACACTCTTATAAAAACAATACTTTGGCTGGCGTGTCGTAATGTGTAGGCCTACGTCATGTCCTATACAGTGACCTACATGGTTGTGAATTCCTAGCATTCTAGAACCGGATAATAAATCATATTTTTGTCTGAACAAGGTTTTATGTCTTCTTTCCGAAACAACTGGGCTAGGTTGATATAAACTTTGTTTTGTCGCGCACTTAGTGAACGCTGTGCCTTGTTTCGAAATAAATACGCTCGAAGACAGAAGATTGTTTTTCCCAACTGATTTGGTTGCCTTCAAATATTCAGCAGATGGAAATAGTTTCAATATAGCTATTTTGATGTATTTCAATTTTACCATGATCGCTGATTCAGAACAAAAAAAAATTTCCTCTCGCTTTCTTGAATAAGCTGTCCTTTCGCGTTCAATATTTCCCACGTTCTCCCTTTAGTTTGGAGAGAGTCCAAGGTACACGCTACGAATCATCAGATTCGAACAAATTGATGGACTGAAGGTTTGCCTATTCCATACTATACCACAAAGTAATAATAACTCAACGCAATTTAATTAAAATCAATCGATGCATTTGGAGACTGAAAGGATGCTATGACTACTTACAAGCAATGTTCCCTCTAATTTTTTGTAGTAAGTGTGCGCAGAAATTTTGGTGTGTGCGCACTTTTTTGGAAATGACTAATATTTGTGCGAAAATCAATGAAGAAATTTTGGCGTTCAAACCGGGTAATGAGTGGGCCAACAACAAACTTTCTCAACCTGCCAACCGAGAACATTGTTACATTACATCGAAATAGGTCTGTGCGCAGTAAATCTATGCATGTGCGCAGCCTCTGAAAGCTGTGTGCGCGCGCACACCTTAGAGGGAACACTGCTTACAAGTATTCGATTCTTATCAGATTCCTAAATTTTCGATTCCGAATCTAGATTCCTCGACATATTTTACCGAGAAAACATACCCACCTAAGCAATACCATATAAAATCAAACAAGAGAGCTATTTTCAAATATATGGACGGAAATGAAAGCCAAAACTAAGTAGTGTGGGTATCCAATCTGTCACAGAAGACAAAATCGCAAAAAAAAAAGAATCCCTCAGAACCCAAAGGGATTCTAGAAATAAATAAACGTGAAAACCTTCTAGCGAAATATATATATAGTGAAGTTTGCGGCGTCGTAGCAACGCAACATAGCAGTAAGGCATGTCATACATATATGTGAAGGAATTGCCGCAAAACGGTACACATTTTTAGCAATCTAAGTTTTAACCTCGAGAATCGATTCCAATGCATCAGAATCGATTCCGCATTCGAATCCGGACTCGATTCCGCCATTCCTATTGGAGAGAAGGCTTTTTCAAAGAAATACAACCACGGTATTTGTCAATCATGAAAAAATATAACAGCGCGAGTAAGGCGATAAAATATTGTACCGCTCAAGCTTTATACTTTTGTAAGCTTCTTGTGAAAATAAGCTTTAAACAGCATGTGTATACGAGTGTAAATCAAGATAGCTAGTCATTTCTTGCAAAAAAACGACACTTCTGTATATATGTAATTGTATTATATCATTCTACAATAAAATATAAACAATTTGACAATTTTAAAATAATACTGTTGGACGCAAGATTATTTCCCATTTCTGTGTGTGATACATCAATGTCTGGCTGCATCTCTTCTTACAAGGCATAGATGGCATAGGTAATTCATTTAAACACAGAAAGAGAGAACCTAACACATTAAAAGTAGTAAAGAAACAATTATAATGTTGGCTTACTAATGTTTCATTTTCCACTATATTTTTCAAAATTTATCTGGTCAATTTAGGCAAAAAAATCATAAAATTACAAATTCAATTCAACAACATAAAACTTTGCTAACAGAAGGAGTGTTGACCACGGTAAGAAATTGAATGTTTTCATTCGCCAAACACAAATAAAAATGAGTTCATGGAGTTAACATTTCCAAAATTTGTTTTATTTTAGTCAACTTGAAGACACAGAGTATTTAGATCACAGTTAATGGGAAAATTACAATGTATGTTTTGAAAAATCTAAAAATCATTAGTCTTGACTTCGAGAGAATCAAATTGTGAAAAATGAAGATCCCCACACGATAAACAATATAATGTAAAAAAATAAGGTTACAAGTATTTTGAAACTTAAAAAAAAAAGAACATATTCGAATTCACATATGACGGGGAGTTGATACGAATCACAATTTCAGTGTTTTGCATTGATATGGAATTCAAAATATTGTTTTATGCATATTGATAGTTTAGGGATGTCCTTTATCGTAACTTAAAGAGTGCACAAAACTTGCCACGGAGACCCCATTAGTCACTTCCTTAAATAAACAGGTCATGCCGAAGGAAACAATCGGCGATGCTAACAGAGCTTCCAAAAAATAATTTGCTTTCAGGATGATGCTAACATTTCAACAATGCATTATTTCAATTCGTCAAACATTGGCATGGTGTCATGTGTTCCTTTCACTCACATATGGTGAGAAATAACGTGATTGAAACACCCTGCAGCATTATTACGGCTCTGTTAATTTAGTTCAAACAATATTTGAAATGTTTTTTCAGTGTTATTCTAGAATAGTTCAGTATTCGGATATGGACATCTCTAAATTTGATATTAACAAAAACAAACCAAGCAACATTGGATAGACTATTAATTTCATAAACATTTCCATACTGCTTATGATAAAATTTAACTTTCTGTTACGTCTTCATTAGACAAACTTGTGAGTGGAATTTCTTGCTCTGATAAAATAGTAGATCTGAAGAAAGCAAAGATGTAAAAAAAATAAGAAATTTCCCACAAAGAAACAGAATATGCATTGCTGTAAGTACTTCATTATTTGGTTTGAAATATGGAGATCTATTCTCTGATATTATTTAATTGGCGTGCATTTACAAGAGCAAATTGGCTAATAACATTCTATCAGCAAATTCTGATTGGGATAGATAAAACCTTTGAAAGGTATCAATTGATTGAAATTCTCGATTCAAATTATTTGATACATTTTTTCCTAATAATTGGGATCATGAATTAAATTTCGAATTGATTAATTTTCTAAGCTGCCATAATGAATTTTTTTGTCAGTACATGAGTGAATTCTCATACCTATGCATAATGTGAGGTGAACAAAACATTATTACGATATGCAGCTTTATTGCATCACTTTTATATCAAAGACAAAGAGAGATATGACTGTAAATGTATGTTCTGACAACATTGTGATTTGTAGATAAATGACTAATGCAATATTATTCACTATATATTTCCTGCTCTCATTAAACATAACTCATGTGTCATAAGATGAATCATATGTGTTGTAAAACATAATCTTGTCCGAAAAAAAATCAAAAGCTGAGGTAAATTTGGATCTTGAAGACTGAAGGAGTTTGCTAAATAATCTACCCAGTAGTAAATATAAAAACTTACTTTTGTTTGCAACAACAGCATGATGTATTGTTATTAGAAGTAGATGATATAGTAACAAATATAAAAGATAAAAATATAGGTATTGCACCAGCGAAAAACCTCCATGTGAAATCAACCTGTAAAACACAAATTTATACAACATCTTAGTAAACCCCGTTTCAATAATTAATCAAAACAGATTATTAGTATATGAAGTACCTTTCGTATTATAATATCCGTTGCAACACTCAGTGGAATCGTAAGACTTAGTGAAAGAGTTCCAATTAGAGAGGTAGTGAGTAGGCAGCCCCTGTATTATGAAATATTCAAAAATTGAATGCTTGCATAAATAAATTAAAATAAAATTGGCTATATCTCTCACAGCATATTCTAAATTTCAAGCAATTGAAATGTTTCATTCCAAATATTTCCATCTTAGCAATTAATATTTGTCAAACCCCAAGGGCTTCATTTAAGTTATTATAAATGTAAATAATGGATTATCCAATAAAACTATGATCATCTTTTATTAATTTTCAAACGTAATCTTGATACATCCATTTGAGTCTCCGTTTTTCATGACCTCAATTACAATATAGAGTCATTAATAATTTGAAAAGCTTCCAATAATTTTCTAATAATTCGCAAGTTAAAAATAATAAAACTGATGTTAAAATCTGTCATGGCTCGTTGAAAAATTACTTTCGAACAAAATCCACTAACATTTGTCACATTCAACGGACAATAGTATTGATTAAAAAAGAATTGACTATTCGGTCTCCATCTGCCACTCGGAAGGTCTTCCTCAAAAAAGATATTGGACAGTAACACACACGTAAACATTGATTTTAAATCACAGGTCCAGTTATAATTTGACATCAATAATAGTTTTTATTACAGATATATAATACATTTTTGTTCTTACCAAAGCCACAATATTTCTGATAATACAGTTCCAACAAGTCCATTGACAATAAGGTAAATTGCAGTTTGTTTATCAGGTAATTCAAATACTTCAACTTTTGTATAATGTAATACAAGTAATCCAGGCCACAACAATAAAAATGTAAAAATACCAACAAATGCTGAAACATGATACACAGGGGTATTATATAAATATAGCACAACATAACACTTGAAAGCAAGGTAACATGAGAATCTGAAAAAGTCATATAAATTAACAAAATTTTAATGTCATAGAGTAGGCGACATGTCATTTAATGTACTCATAGCATCAGTACGACATCATTTTCAATATTAATTACAAGTATAATGATTTGTTGCCCACTTTATAAAGTATTACAATAAAGTAACTGTCTGTTCCGAATATCATAAGAAATAAATCAAGTACAGATTACTTCTTACTGAAGAAAATTAAATCTTATTTATATCTGATACAATTTTTCATTAAAACTAGGAAACCCATACCAGCTATGTCATTACTCCCAACTTTTTTTTATCAATTGTAGTGGTCCACTTACCAAAAAACATTGGAACATTTAAATCATCGCCAGCAACTTTTCTCAATAAAACAAGATATACTGCATAACATATAGATCCAACAAGTGCCCACAATGCTCCTACTTCTACTGCTTTACCCAGATCTGCTCCACCTGATACGCTTACCAGGACAATACCTCCAATACTGAAAATAAATTTATATATTGATAGAAGCTAGGAAATAAAATTTGTAGAAAAAATAATTGAACAAAAATTACAAAAAATTGAGCTTTCATAATCAGAAATCAAAGCTTCCAAAGAAATTATTCCATCAGTGAACTAGATCAGAAAAATGTTTTTTCTCTCATCAAATTGTAACAACAACTTTCATTTAAATATAAAGAGATGAAACATTCATTTGAGGTGCAATGGCCAAGTGGCAATAGAGTTAACTAAGTTGACATCGCAGGTAGAATTTTTCAAATTCAAACTCCATACGTAACAATCTGGATTGGCAATGTTAAATCATAAAGATTCCCCACACATCAGCCGATATTCGTCTAGAGCAGGGATGGGCAACGTTTTTGGACCAGGGGCCAAACATTGTGCCCATCTAAACTAGCGGGCCATGTAAGTGTGGCGTGAAAAGTTACATTTCATGAACATGATTTCATTTACAGTGTCACAAAAGCAAAATTGGAAAACAATAAACCTTGTGACAAACTAAACTTATTCGCAATCTTAACAAATTCCTTGGAGTCATTTTTTGGCTAATTGGTTAAAAGCTGAAATTTATGGCAGCATGCCAGCACCATCACCCAACGGTCCGGATTTGGCCCGCGTCTAGAGCCTTCCTTGGGATGGCTGTGTGTGAACAATTTAAAAAAGGGGAAAAATGCAAAAAAAAACATAATTCTGCATACTGTGATTATTTGCGCCATTAATGAATTTTAAATTACAAATTATTACGAAGTAGAATAAATGGAGATATCAAAATGAACTTAAATCAAAATTCTTCAAAATTATTTAATCACCATAACCTAATGTTTATGCTCACCAGACTAAAACAGCAAATAATTTGCATAAAGTAAATTTGTCTCTTTCATCAGACGGAAAAATTGCAGATAATATTAAAGTAAATAAAGATGAAGTTGAAGATAAAACGTTCACAACTGCAACTTCTGTGATAGAAAGTGCTTCTTGATAGGCAATGTTCCCTGCAAAAAACTGAAAAGAAAAATATGAAACTAGAATAAAAATAATTTAAATATTGTCGATAACAATTTAATAACCTGTATCAATATTTCACATTCCAAATACATTTAATGAGTAATTTAATGAAATATAGCATCTGCATTCTGAATATTAAAAAAGAAGACCTATAATTATTTGTAAATAAAATTCTTCTTACTATTAGAGCAAATACACAACTTATTCTTGCAATCTGAGCAATTGTTAGGTTTCCAGAGCTGCTTTTCAGTAATATTTTTGCTCTCAATGCCGATAAATATGACATCCTGGCTATATGGGCAGCCGATGTGTCTAAAAATAGTTTAATTCATCCATGATGAAGCAGGGTTAAAAACGTTTTTTACATACATAATTTGAAATAAATATTTGATAATGATGATTATGCCTGAAGTTTGTTTTTAAAATAGATCAGGAAATAATAGCGTGGCTGTTATGAAAACATTATACATGCTTGTAACATGATACATAAAGACGAGCACATAGTACACAGGAAAACAGTTAATTACATTAAGAGTTCAATACACATATTTATCTTCCAAGCCAGTGAGTGGCACACAACCTTTTTTGATGAATTTCTCCCTTTGCCTCTTTTGAAACTCTACCTTCCCCCCTTATTATGTACAAAAACTTTATTTCTGTTTGCTGTTAAATCATTAGCGGATCATTAAATGATGATATACATAATTTGCACTCATATTTTTGAATAGTTTGTAATGAGTGGTTAAATATGTATAACTGTACTACTGCATGGATCAATATTAGCAATACTACATTCAAGTAAAAAATTAAATTCCTTCTTCAAAAAAGGAAAATTTTCCCCCAAGTTGGAAAACTTTATTATATGTAAATACCACAAATACAAATGGTAATCAAGAAATTCTTTCAATCTCACCTAGTTATTATAGGACCAGGGTTGGGCAAGATTTTTGGGCCCATTTAGACTGGCGGACCATGTAAGTGTGACGCAAAAGTTACATTTTATGAACAATATTTACAATAAGTGGAAAACAATAGGCCTCGTGCCAAAATTAATGACAATTTAATCGCAATCTCAAAAAATTCCTTGAGCTATTTTTTAGCTAAAACATTAAAATTTGGTTTTGGTTTGGTTGGGGCAGCATCGTGCGGACCAGACTGAATTATCCAACGGGCGGGCCGATTTTGACATCCAATGAGGTGACCAAGATAGTTTCCAAAAAGGCATTTTAATATTGCCGCGGTTATGAAATAAAGCTTTCTTGTTTAATAATTAAAAGAAAACAAGACAGAGCAAGGAACTATACTCAATAAAAAATGTTTAAGTTTATTACCTTCAAGATGTCTTACTTCCATTAAATCATTAAATTTAACTCTGTGACCATTTGATCGCCGCTCTGTATCGCTACTTTCTAAATCTGATGGATATTTTGCTGGCACATAAGTTGGTTTGCTCTGAAACAAATATTAATAGAAGTACTATTATTAATGAAAATTTGCAGCAGAAAAAAAATAACCATTATCATGATCAGTCATATATTATGTCACATAGAAATAAATTGGTTGATATTGAATTATATATCTGAAATTTATTTGCTAATTGGAACTCGCGACTATAGTCTACCTCACTATAATTCGAGATCTACCTGAAGCCAGTACTAGTTCCATTACTGATCAGGCCAAAAAATATTCTGATATGGGAGCTCCATTTGGTTCTATTTATATGAGAAGGTCTCACTCTCAGGGTACGGTAGACCTCAAGACTGCACGTGAGTAGGCGACATCTGGAGGTAGACCTCAAGTTATGGTAGACAGTTTTGATCAGTAATTGGTATTGAAAATATTAAAACTTGAATTTACCAGAGATCGATGAAGTTGATAATCGACACCATCATCAGTATCAGTGTCTGTTTCACCAATCTTAAAGGAAAAACAAAATATGTTTCCCAGTAAAATAACTCTAAACTTGAAGAATATAGTTCAATAAAGCAACATATAAGGTAGGGGAGAAATATACGAATAAAATAGAGCTACCGTAATCGTCTCTGTACGTGAAACACGTAATAAAGTTCAGCATTTGATCGAAAAGTAAATCATAAAAAGCAAGTGTCAGCAAAAGCAATTGCCAATAACATTTGTATTTTAAAGCATTTGTGCTACTACTACTAAAAAGTTTGAATAAAGAATTCAGATTGTACTATACCTTCAATGTAATGAAAAAAGCAGTTTCCACAAGGAGAATTTATTAATCTACAAAATCCCTTGTTACAACTTGGAAAACATTACCAAATCGCAAATATACAGACACTAGATGCATTGAGATAGTAGCTTGAAAAAAGGAATGAACCTACCATTAGATATTGTCCTGGATAATCATCACATGCACATCTTATACATTTCTTCCTCCACGATCGAATAATAAGAAAACCAGTCAGATATATCGAGAACATTGAGATACTTAAATAGGTTGACAGATATGGTTTGTCATAGTCAAGATCCGTGAAAACATACTATAAAACAAATTCAAATAACTATTAATTCAACAATGTTTGGTTACATAAATTCATATATTTTATACTTGGTTATGAGATAAGATTTTCAGGTCTAGTCTATTCAGATAGTATAGTACCACAAGTACTTCTAATGAACATGGCATAATCATTTTGAACCTACTATGCATAACCCACATCGGTCTAGTATAGTACCACAAATAATTCTAGTCGGCATGGCATAAACATTTTTGCATATGTTATTCATAACCCTCATCTGACTACATCATTCAAAAATTATGTCACTGTGACGTCACAATCACGTCATGGAGTTTGTTAAAGTGTACCCACGATAGCCAGTTTTAGCGCTCGCGTCGACAATAACGAACTTATTAATGTGAGCGATCTTTCTCATACTGGGATCGTTATCGAAAACGTATGAGAGAGTATGACTTTGTATATACGTCATTGCTTGCTCGATTTAAAGTGATCGTCTGTGCGTTTTGGACGAACGCTAGTATATTCTGGTGGGTCTTATTATGTCACTGTGACGCTGTATTGATGTAATTTTTGGATGAAGTGTATCAGATTCGGATAAGTGGACTTGCACAATATCTGGATATACCGTAATTATGCATCGTTTGCTCAGAGACTGAAACTCGTACTGTAGAAAAAATAAGATAAGTGAACTTTGAACTGCATCAATACTCTTGATGTTGAAATTTGAATAAAATAAATTACAGAAGTTGCTCAAATGAAAATATGAAATATTTTTAAAATTAATAAATCGAATCTGCTGTGACTATTCCAAATACAGAAATACATTGAAACGTAATATGTATTGGATGAATGATCATTATAATTTACAGTTATGCAAGCCTGTACACTGCTACAGGCTTAATTAAACCAGTAAACAGTGAAAAATCAACCCATTTTCAACTGATTACAGAATTGGGCCACAACATTTCAACACACAGACACATTCTGACATTTGAATATAAAGATTTCAAAAATACATTCTGCTGTTCTGACATTGATGATTGAATTGCCTATTCCAGTATTCAAAACAAGTTAAAAGTGATAATTCAGTAATTGCAAGAAGTGGAAACTTACTCTGCTTAATTCCGAAGAGGCAACCCAAATGACATCCACTAAAAGCAACAGGACAACACCTAAACAAAATCTTGATTTTGATGCACTTGATCTTGAATGGGTACGAGTGTGGTCGCTGTCCATTGTTTTGTATGTCTGCAACTCAATTTCTTTGCTTCACAAGTTCTAACTGAACTCGTCTTCCGTAGTTTAGTGGGCGGAAAAAATATCTTCATATAGATGGAAATATGATAAACGTATCATTGTCTGTCTCTAGCTCGAAAAAACGAAGCAAACCAAGCTCGACTAGCTCGCTCTGTCTGTCTGTAGCTTCGCTTCATCGCTAAACAAAAACACAATTTGTACCGACCTTTGACCTAAGCTTTATTTTCCAAGTCGTTGAAAGTGGGTTGCCAATGAAAATGAGGTTTTTTGATGAATCTGACTCTTTACAGTATGTGTTTTTGTTTCGTACGTGTTACATAAAATATTGATTTGTTTGTATATATAAATTTTTTAGGGCAACGGGAAGCAAAAATTGACCTAAGATAACTTACAAGACAGGCTCCCGCACTAGATCTGCTTTTGACACGCATACATATTGACATAGCCCACCGAGTTGACTGTTTCACATAAAATGATTTAAGCATGTAATGTCTAGGAGGGGCTCCCGAAGTATGCGAACCAAGATGGCGGACATCGGAATGTAATATGTGTACTAGGTTAGGGTTAGGTCATAATTTTAGGTATAAATACTACGGGAGGCTCGTGGCTAGTCTTCGAACTGATAATAGGACTAAAATAAAGAAAATTGGAAAAAAATTATCGCCTAACCCTAACCTGTTACCCATGTTACGTTCCGATGTCCGCCATCTTGGTTCGCATACTTCGGGAGCACCGTCTAGGATTTGTGTTAACTTATTTCAAGAGTATTTCGAATAATGGAGTAAGTTTATATGCGTTGCTATTTATACAAAAATCAGCTTTAAAAGAATATTCTATTATCGCGAGAATCAGCATCACGGAAACCCTTAATATCTGCAAAATACAAATTCGTAGAATTAAGAATCTCAATATTGCAGTGTGATGACGGTACCGGTTAATGAATGAAAGATGCGGTAATAATGAATGCATGTTTTTCTCAGACCTCAACTTTCTTGGTTGTAATCGTAACAAAGTTCAATTATAAATAAGTAACTATGATGTAACAGTTTGAATTCGTGTAGGTCTTTGGATATATTTCAACTCTGTTATAAACATCGCCTCATTTTAGTGGTTTAACGAGCTGTTTGCGGAGGAAATTACTCTTAAAAAAGCAATGCCCCGGTTGTTTTTTCGGTATAATAAAAAATATTCGAAAAATACCTCAATATCGGTTGCACAGACTGTCTACTCTAGCCATATTCTCCCGACATGGTTCATTTTTCGCTCGCAAAGCCTTCGCCGAACGTCGACGGGGCGACGCCGATTTTGCCCCGGTTGCTCATTGTATATCGTATTCTCTCTTTTATCTTCCACTCGCCGCGTTTGTCTCGTTTGTTTTCTGTTTCTTTTACTAAATCATCGGGGCTAGCCCCGAAATTATGACGACACAATGCCGACGTTTCTTACAACAACATGTTGACATATTCACGCATTCCTTCTCGTTCGTTGGTTGCTTGAAGAGTTGATAGTTTCCTCGCCTTCGTTTTTGTCGCTTGTTTCGCTATTTGAATCAGTTAGAGACCTTTAGTCCATTTGCTTTCGATTTTCCACATTCCTTTTGAGCTCCTCACTTCTTTCCGGCTTCGCATTTCTTAGCCTTAGACCTCATAATGAATAAGAATGATGCACTACTTCGCACTCCGTTTTCGCAGCTGCCGCTGGAACAAAAATTAGAGGTACAACGTCTTGGGCCTTATCAACCAAAAAATTGTTCACTGGAACAATCCCATGACGGAGGAAAGCGTCGGCGTACATTCTGCGCAGAAACTTGGTATAAAAAACACGAATGGTTGTGTTATAGCGAGGACAAAAATGCACTTTTTTGTTTTTATTGCCTACTTTTTGCTACCGCCCGTGACTCACGTTGGTGTAAATTTGGTTTTAGAGATGTTAAACATCTTTCCGAGCGTGCCAGGGATCATCAATCTTCTATAGAGCATCTTGACAATGCAGTAAAATACCGAACATTCGGAAATGTTAATATTGCAGCACAGTTGGATGAAGGACGCGCGGTTTCTATTCGTCGGCACAACCAAAACGTCGAGAAAAACCGCCATGTTCTCGGTCGATTGATAGATGTTTTGAAGTTCATTGGTTGTCACGAGCTGTCCCTCCGTGGGCACGATGAACGGGCTGGCTCTTCTAATAGAGGGGTATTTTTGGATATGGTGGAATACACCGCATCCCTAGATACAGTATTGAGAGATCATCTTGATGCCGCAACTGTTTCGAAAGGGACATCTAAGGATATCCAAAATGATTTGCTCGACTCAATGTATAAAATTTATTTACAACATTTGGCTCTGGAAATTGAGAATTGCCAGTTCCTTTCGATTCAGTCTGACGAGACAACTGACATCACGTGCGTTTCCCAACTGGCTGTGATTTTTCGGTTTGTGAAAGATGGTAAACTTACCGAGAGATTCCACAGCTTTGTACCAATCGTTGATCGCACGGCTTGCGGGATATCGGTTGTACTGAAAGAAGTGTTACAGCCTTACAACGCGAAGTCAAAATTGATAGCTCAAACTTATGACGGCGCGGCAGTCATGAGTGGGTCGAAACATGGTGTTCAAGTTTATATAAAAGAAGATTTTCCTCATGCGCATTTTTTACATTGTTATGCACACCAATTTAACCTCGTTATTAAAAATATGTGTCTTGATACCCCTCTCGTCCGTATATTTTTTGCAAATGTTTCGGGGTTTTCTTCATTTTTTTCCGTTTCGCCGAAGCGCTCTGCCTTCCTTCGCCAGATATGTAGCCGCCGTCTCTCAGCTTGTGCACCAACACGTTGGAACTTCCAACCACGCGTGGTGCAGGGCGTGTCCGAAATTAGGTCTGAGCTCATTGAGTGTTTCAATGGCATTCAGAGCTCTCCGGTTTGGGACGAACGCTCTGTGAGGGAGGCGGCAGGTCTAAAGCGTCTGCTAGAAGATGGTGAGTTTTCATTTTTTCTCGCTTTTTTCTCCACAATATTCTATCACGTGGATGTATTATACGGCGCATTGCAGTCAAGGCTAATGGATGGAGCGTCTGTGCAGTCGTGTATTTCAGACTTCTGCGATGCTGTATCTCGTATCCGGGAAACAATAAAATACGACGACACATGGAGTGCTTCTTTACGCCGCGGGCAAACAACGCAGCGTTTGATTTTGTCTGCAAAGGAATGCTGTGACATTCTGGTGAATCAAATAGGCGATCGTCTGCGCACTGAACACCTTGCCGCGTTCTCTTTGATGAACCCCAAAAATTTTTCAAAATTTGCACGTCAATTTCCCATCCATTTGTTGGCTACTGTCTCCAAATTTTACCCCATGGTAAACGTGGGTAAATTGGAAAATAAATTGCGATGTATATACACCAATCAAACTTTTTTGAACATCACATCAACTTGCGCGCTCTATGGGTAGATAACACCTCATAGATAACACTCCAGTAACTACCTTTGCGGCGTTTGCAAAATTTCTGGACATCATTTTGACGACGCCTATTTCTTCCGCCGACGCAGAGCGAACATTCAGCACGCTGAAGCGTATTAAAACGTATCTCAGAAACACAATGAAGCAAGATAGATTAAATTCCTTGGCTGTTTTATCCATTCACAGAGACGTTATTTCTGGGATGCATGACTTTAATCAGCGCGTTATTGAGCATTTTGCTTCCAAGAAACCGCGGCGTGTTGCATATATGTTCAAGCAGTAGAAGTCTAGCTGCATATATAACTATGAGTGAGCGACGCATGTCCTTATCTTTGCATTACCTTTCCTTTCTTCATAGTAACGTTTTAAACCTTATTTTAGGTTTTGTCTGCTTTCCCGAAGTTTCTGTTAATATCCTCATCCTGTCCTCGTAGATGGGGGTGACTTGGTCCCGCAGTAGCTTGCCCCGGTTGTCAAAATGACCATGCGCCGCCACTGGAAAATAGTATACGGAATAAGAATATTTTAAAAATCGAAATGCTTCGGATTAAATACGTAGTTGCATAAAAGATAATTGATCGACTTTTTGTCATATGCTTTATATTTTATTTTGACCTTTGAAACACGATCAAGGCTACAACCTATTATGCTACATACGCACACAACGCTTAAACGATTTAGGTGTATTTTATAATTACGTTATTAGAATTAATCCAATCTAAATAATAATTTGTGGATCACATGAAGGTCCTCCCCCCAAAGTATCCAACTGAAGATTCACCCCCATTAGCGCTCATATGAAGATCCAATGACTAGATAATATGAATATATTGTTGTCATATATATATAGACGTCGCGGGTCTGGTCCAGATGATTGTCTCAATAAATTTAAAAATGTCTACTGGCAGACGAAAACAATTCTTCCTGAGCTGAAATAAATCAAATACCCAGACGTACCCCCCAATAGGGACAGGAATGATTATAATTATTATTTAAAGAGATATTTGTTGGCGGTAACGGGTAACGGCCCATGCTAGAACGTGCGGTAAATAAAAAACAAATTTTATGACTTTTAGATCGATGCTATAAATTATTCACGAACTAAAGTTTGCTCAATTCTCATTTTCACGGTTGTCGATTTTTTTCTATATAAAAGCTATTTCCAATGCCGAAAAAAAACAAGACTTATTCACACTTTACCATTATTACCACTGCAAAGTAGATCGATTTGTGTTTGACAACACTAAATAGAATCGATTTTTGTTGAACTCACTGAATTCTGCAAGCATTTTTATCCTAATCATAGCTGAACAAAGAAAACGAATTCTTCTCAGATTTTTATTACGAAATTGAAGTTGAGATCCACAGAATTCAATAGAAATGAAGCTAATGACAATTCCTTATCAGTAAGCTGGGTATAAACGAATAGCAGAACAAGTATCCAGACCAGAACATAAACTCTATCGCGAGAGATAGTTGTATCTGACTTAAAATTATCAAGGATAATTTACTTGTGAGTTACTTTTGAAAAGCAGTCATCGTAACAACCTTCGGAAGTTTCTCACTAGATCATTACATAATAGTGATTTACATAAACTCAAGATCATTGACACAATTTTGCAAGAGTAGTGGGATAATTGGTTATCAGCTATTATCACTGATTAGAAAATATCTCAAATAGGATGTGTTCATAAAGTATTATTCGCATTAACAGCTTTGTAATTCTTACTCTTATTTATATACAGACATATCGATATCTGTTTGAATATATAGTTCGCACATTAGTTCCTCCCATGGGATCACTTTCACGCAACACAGATGGCAGAAACTACCAAAAAGAATTTTGGGGACAGTACCCAACATAACTGCAATGATTGTTCAAGTAAGTATTTCCACAGCAATTGTTTCCCTATTCGATTTCATTATGTCGAGTTCTTTGTTGGCACATTTTTTCAGTTCAGCACCAAGTTCGTTTATCCGTGCCGTGTGGCCAAAATCCATAACGAGAGCGCATACGGTAAAAGGAGATTCTTCGCCCGTTTCTAAATTATTATAAACCAATTTTTCGGCTAAACGAAATCCATTTTTCATATGAAAACGAACTGCCTTTTCGCTATGCGACAATACTATTGCTATCGGAGATGTGGACGTCTCCAAAGTCTTCGATATAGGGGTCTTTGACAGTGTCTCTTCTGATCTTTTTCGTGAAAATACACGTAAAAATCGAGATGATAATCGTGGTAAAATTTTTGAAGAATTGTTGTTATCATATTTTGAATAGTCTTTTATTTGGCATTTCGCATTCTGGAACTTTTTTGAGGAAGCGTATCTTCTTCTTTCAGCTTGTTGTAAATTCTGATGCATTCAGCGTAACTGAAAGTACCACATCCTTGACCCGCAAATTCAGGATCTATTGCGCAGTAGAGACCATTCCACATTGGGATTTTTGATTTTGAAACGACTTTTGTTATGTGCTCATATTCCCATTCCTCGTATCTGAAAAATCATCACAAAATAATTTTGACTACACTTGTTAGATGCCTTGTTTTCCTATTCGGGTTCTATATGATGCTCTTTAGCAAGGTGCAACTGCTTTAAAACTTACCGGTACTTTTCATATTCTGATTAAAAATATTTTAAATCTAGTTTCGAAATTGAGCTGATATTCGATTTGACTTCACGTCAACTCGAATAGATGATATGATATCATGAATATACGTCAGTTTTGTTTTACTTGAATTATATTTGATAAATTTAGCGCATCTGAGAAATTACAAATTGATTTCTAAAGTTTGTACTTGGTGAAAACATTGCATCACATCATGAAGGTGACATTTGGCTTTTTCATTTAGCTGTTGTATCTTATGGAATCAGTTGAATCGATTTGATGAACATCATACCTTTCAATTCTGTCCATTGCTTCGCTGTCCAGTTCTCTAAGGCCATGTTTCTTATATGCAAATGCAAAATCTTCATCGTTTGAGTATTCCCAGCCACCATTCTCCGATGCTGGTACTATCAATGCTCCACCGATTATTTTACGTGTTCTGCTCTTTTCGTCCTTAACAAAAATTGTTACTCTAACTTCGGTGATTTTTAATCAATAAAGTATTGATAAAATATTGTTCACGTGCAGTGTTAAATATTCGCAAAAGTAAAATAAAATAAGTATATTTAAACTAAACCTAATTAAAACACAGCTATGTTTACTTGGTTTGAATTGTAGAGAACGCATGCCAAAAGCAAAGAATTTCCCTTTGTAACGGTGACATCGTATATTGCGTTTAAATATCTCTTGAGGAACTCAGGTCGAATACTTTCATTTTGTATCAAATATGTGTAGAGAGGGTAACGATGGAAGGCTCTCACAATGCACTCCCTCGCGCATTTCCAATCGTCTTCTCCCCGTGATAATTCTACTTTGATTTCTCGCCTATGAAGTGAAAAGAAATATAAACCAAAAACAATAAGATTTTTTTTAACAATATGTGAGGTGACTCAGAATGGTAATATTTGATTTTAAAATATATGTTATTATCATTTGTAATTAATTCAACTTTATAGATATAAATTATTGTAGGATAAATTGTAATGTATGACGATTCTAACAAGATACAACTATCATGAAAACACCCATGTTACTTTGAAATAGTTGCTATCAGATTTTTTTCTGAATCTTTATTAACGCAGGAACACAACGTTTGCTCTTTTTTCAAAGAATGATTACATTATATTTCAAATTGGTTCATATCTTTATGTATTAACTATATCAGTAAAAATAATAACTGGTTTTGGAATATATTCGGCAACCAAAGTGAATGTAAATTACACTGCATCGATCAATAAAGTATATTGAAAGTCATGTACCGCCAAGGTAATTCTTTGGTACTTATTGACATAATGACTTACCTTTGGTTATCCATATTTGCTGTTGTAGAGCAACCAAGATAAAATGCATTCAGTTTACAAACTGTAATTATGATAGTTTCACTGAAGGAATATAAAATGGAGTTTGAATAGGATGTACACCGCTCGGAAAAATATTTGTTACAGGGTTAAATAGGTTCACTTCTTATGAAAATAAATTAGATTTTACACCAAACATAGGCTGCAGCTGAAACTCGCCGTCAGTCTTTCTGTTGAAGAGTATATTTTTAGTAAGTGAAACATGAAGATCTCAATTACACCCAACGTGTTCTATCGGAAATGCTCGGTAAATCATAATTTAGCAAGCAAGACTATACGAAGGTAGTGTCTACTACAAACTATAAAAATATCTTAATTGGCATTAAAATAACATCGAGATAACTTGAATTCTCATTTCCGTTTGCTGACTTCTACTCAATAAAATACATATCTGAAATTTGATCTAATGGAGAATATTCTACTGCAAAATAAATATACTCAACAACTGTAGTGCAAATTTATTTCCCGGTAAACCATATGCTTTCTGTCCTTTTCATAAAACCAAACAGGTTAGTTTATGGATCTATAGACTAGATGTCTATTGCAATGAGAAACATAACTTCTAAATATAATGCAAAGTCATAACGGAGTGAAATTTAAGCTACTAATCGAAAAACGTTCTAATTAGCTTTGCCCTCGAATGAACTTCCGCCGTCGAAGAAATGGTCGATTCTAAACAACGCAACATAAAATGATCACGCGAATGGTTGTGTTGTTGGAGTTAATAATATTTTATGCATAAAATTGTACTTAAAATTATATTTTCCAAAACCTCTCAAAACATAATGTGCCAAAAACATTGGAAATTTCTGTACTGACTAAATAAAGTGAATTTGAATTTTAGATTCTAAAACTCGAATGATAGTGTCAATATATTCTGGAAGCGAAACTGTCAAATAACTTCCGGTCATCGTTGGCACGTTCCATTACCCATTGCTTTCAATTTCAAATTAATTACTTTTTGAAATGCTATTGTTTATTTATTATTATCACTTGGATAAGCGATTCTAATAAATCTAAATTGTCAAATCAATTAATGAGGCGTTGGCAATTCGTATTGCTTTCCCATTATTGTGTTGCAATAACACATTACTAAGTTATAAAAATTTAATATTAACCTATTGGTATTGTTGTTTGGTCTATATATAACATAGTGTGATAAAAAGCAATTATAAGGAAATGATCAAACTCAAATAATTGCAAAACAACAGTTGGAAAGTACATGAGCGTGCCTTCCGCAATCAACAGTTGTTGTTTTCTATATAACAGAATTAGATTTATTCCCTGGTCATGAAACGTTTTGAGACAGCTGGAAAAGAAAATTGGCCGAGGCAATGGCTTAATATTATATTCGAAAATGCTTCAAAATTGAGTCGGCAAAAATATCAAAACAATAAAAAAAGAGCTAAATATATGAATTGATTCTTCCCAACATTGGTATATCACTGATTTTAACTGTTAGGAATAGGGGATAGATTTGGTATCCCTTCATGTCTGTATTATATACTATCCGCTAATTATTAGCAAAACTTGCATCAAGTATTATGCCAAAATATCCGCGAGTTCAAAATCTACCAAAATATAATTTATTTCAGCAAATCTTACACTATAAATCACAAACACTTCCTATACGGTCTTTTCGCTAACTGTAAAACATCAGCGTTACGTGTCGCACGCCGACTGTCATTTGAGGATAAATAAAATTTCGTTTTAATATTTGCAACTACTGTTGGCATATTCCACCAAGTTTGGTCGGTAACTAAAATAGATTTGAATTTTAAATAGGTGAAAGTAGGTTTTAATGGGATACTGCCAAATATCGTGCTAGACTCTTACATGGGCAATCGTTTAAATGGAACTTCATGTACGATTTCATGATGGTCCATGTTCGAAAGGATTACAGAGATAAGCATTGTAAAAATCGATGCGCCGCATAATTTGTCTGTTTTGTCTGGTAAATTATTTCAAGATAAACGCGCACTAATTCCGCTTGTTTGTGAAATATGATTCACTGAGCAATTTCCTTGTTCCTTTCATTTGAGGTCAAGGGTCAGCACTATATAACGCGTCCGGCAAAAAGGCTTTAATGATGTAATGAAAATAAATTGCCGCTGATTTCATGTGCGTTTGATGTTTTCTGTACAATAAAAGAAGTAAAAATGTATCAGCTTATCAGCCAAATTCAGATACCGAAAATCTAATTGAGCTGTGAAATGATTTGACAATGCCACACCTTCGTCTCCGTCAACCAACTTCTAAAATTCTCGTACCAAATGAATTCTTTCTATTATATAACTGTCTTTGAAAAGTTTTATGCAAGCACGATGGTGCAGTGATTGTGTTTATAAAAAAAGTTCTATACGTTCTCAAGAAGCATTTTCGGCCATGCAGTAGAGTTAAGACGTTCGAGGACAACAAATGAGTTTGGGTCATACACAGAAACATAGTCTGATTCGCATATTCAATCTAACGATGCCGGGAATCGGAGCCGAAGTTATTAAATGGAACTTATAAAATAAAGACAGACAAACCTCAAAGTTTCCGTAGTTGAAATACTGTTATGCCCAAGTAGGAAGTATAGAAATAAGAAGACTATTTGAACTCGAAGTTGTGAACTAAAGTCGGATTCATAATTTCGTCGACGGGAAACGCGATTCGCGGCTGAAAAAATTTTCTGATGGCTCGAGGTGGGAGTCGCGTGCATTTTAATCCGATCCTCAAATCAATATTTTCTGTACAAACATCAAAATAGGACAAAAAGTCTGGATATGCTCGTAGATAAAAAGGCTAAAAATACTCTGAACATAATGGATTTATTTGTGATAAAATAAATATGTGGTAAAGAATAACCTTATTTGTTCATATTAGCTTAAAGTTTCACATCTGTCAAGTGGACTTGTCGCATAATTTCTTAGCTTGCTTCTCCTTTGCTGTCAACCCAATCAAGCGTATTTGATTGAGTACCTGTGAGAATGATGCCTCAGTAAACAGACTGCGATATTAGTTTTTACTCGTAAACAAACGATTTGATTGACAGAACCATACTGTTGAAGTATTTTGGTTGATGAACAAATAGGTTGATTATCGTGCGATTGTCGAGCGCGTTGCGATACTTACGAGAATTTGACAACCTTGTAAACTAGTTATACTAAGAGTTGGATTATTCACATTTTTTTTCATGATATCACTCTTTATTCGTGTGCCCCCCCCCCAAAAAAAATGCCTCATATATTTTGTATTTTTAATACATCACTTAATAGTCATTTATCATCTCAATTTTCAAATTGCGCCTATATTCCGTAGAATGAGCAATTTATTTGCAAAGAGATTGGAAATTCATTGTAATCCTTCAAGTGAGTATAGCCTTCAAATTTAATTTATATATTGCATATTCAATATAATCAACAAAAAGCGAGCCTGTGATCTGACGGTACGGTAAACCGTACTGTACTGCGAACAGACGTGTCCATATATTTGGGCGTAGCTCTCTTGTGTTTGATTGATTTCAGATTCCTACAAAGGAGTTATACTCTGACATTTGCACTCTTATAATTTGTTATATAATATAACTTGTTAGTACGTAACCGCAAACCTAAACAGAATTTGCAGGAAAATCATCGCATTGGAGAATACTAACTCGAAGCTAAACAATTACTATTTCAAAGCCTCGTTCAGGCATCGATCGTAAAATAGCCTGATCATTTAACCATTGTTTATATTATTTGACAGAGTGTATCCTTCAAAACCGAGGAATCGAACCTAACACAAACTAGAGCCAAATAGAAAACGAATTACATGTGTGAAACTCAGAAGTATGGCAAAGTTGGGTATTACTGGTGGTTAGTTATTACTTCACATAAAACGGAATTTACCGAAGCCTGCAAGCAGTTTGACAAGACTTGGCAACGTTTCTTCCGCTAATGTGATTTTGAACGAATTGAGTTTTAGATACAGGTAATAAAGTCGCATCGACAAATTCTCCTTGCAAAATATATATATTGAATCTGTTACTGATTAACTTCTACAATAAAGGATTTGCCCTAGCGAAATACTGATTGCAGGCGATATCTGCTAGTCTATTTCACCGTCGTAACTTGTTTACTTAGTTGCTACAGTGCCAGGTAGATATAGGAAGGCGTTAAAACTATCCGCACACTATAGGCCAGGGATGGCGATGGGGAAGCATATGAATTACCAAAAACGTTTAGGGTTTCATAAACGATGTCAGGGACGATAGCTGAATAACGGTATACATCGGTGCAGACATAGTTTACTTGTGCAGCACTTTCATCAGGGACTTTTTATCGCACTCGATTTTATGAAATTAGAGAACGAAAACACGCATATGAATTACCAAAAACGTTTAGGATGATGCGGCAAACTGTTTTACAGTTCCAAAGAGTTTGGAGGGAATTCCACTCTGATAGTGTATTTTTCGATCAGCTTACAACCACATTAAGTCACTTTTACATTGTCCCATTGTTATTTCAGATTTCTAGCTTTTTATTTCCAGTCTGAAGGATTTGGTTTTCTCAACCGCAATGTAGGCGAGAGACTGGTAAGTTGCAAAGTAGCATCTAATTCTCGTATAATCCATAAAGCAGTCTGCAGATGCACTTCCGCAAGAGACAAGACGTTGCGAGAAAAGAACAGATCAGTTACATTATAAGTTAACTTGTGCAGCACTTCCATCAGGAACTTTTATCGCACTCGATTTTATGAAATTAGAGTACGAAAACACGCATTTGATTTACCAAAAACGTTTATAATGATGCGGCAAACTATTTTACAGTTTCAAAGAGTTCGGAGGGAATTCCACTCTGATAGTGTATTTTTCGATCAGCTTTCAACCACTTTAGGCATTTTTGCATTGTCCCATTGTGATTTCAGATTTCTAGGTTTTCATTTCAAGTCGGAAAGATTTTGTTCTCTCAACCGCAATGTAGGCGAGAAACTGATTAAATGCTAAGTAGCATCTAGTTCCCGTATAACCCATAAAGCAGTCTGTAGATGCACTTCCGCAAGAGACAAGACGTTGCGAGAAATGAACAAATCAGTTACATTATAATGTCATAAACGATGTCGGATAAAACGCAGTGTCACTGGTTCGCCATCCCTGCTGTAGGTTATCTGATATAAAGCTAACGAATGTAGTTTTGTACTACAACAATGTGGTAAATGATTGTAACAAACGTGGAAGATTATTGTAGCAAATGTGTCGTGGGTAATATATCAGTCGCAATTGTGAACTACTATGCGGTAAATGACAGTAGCAGGTAAAACGCTGACAAAGGATGCTTTCTAAGGATGCGCTTGAGATTGTAATCGCAGGATATGCATCATTGCATCAAAATAAATGCCATGAGGGTCCGCAAAAACTAACCAACACACTCGTGTACGCAATTCAAAATTGGGTGCTCCCGAAGTATTCGTACCAAGATGGCGCACAACCCGAACATAGTACGTGTACCAGTTAAGCGTTGTTAAGGTTGTGCGTCATCTTGGTACAAATACTTCCGAAGTGCTCTGAATTGTGCTTCATTTGAAACACATTTATGTGGCTCGTCAGACTAGCCGTATTCATGCGTCATAAATTCACGTGAGTCCTACAATGCTGTTCATTACGGCTCGCATGAATCTTATCCTAGTATATATTATATATATTATCGTTCATGCATTGCAAATAGTGTCATACATATATATAGCAAAATTGAACAATGGTTATGCACAGTCCTTATCCTGATCTGGTAATTCCAGAAGTACCTCTACACGAATATATTCTGAAGAGAATCCAAAATTATGGAGACGATATTGCTATGGTAAGTGTTGAAGTAATAACTTTGTTAAGCATATCTTGGTCTTGTATTGTTTAGACTCACTGTTAGAATCTATGAAAACTCTAAAATCCACTTGCTTTAAAATTAAATTATTGATATAATAATGTGGGAATGTAAATGCTACAATGTAAGAGCATTATTATCTCGTTTAAAAATCTTATTTGAAGACCTCTATGAGTTTTAGAATCATCTTTTTGCATTGTACTTAAACCATTATTCTAATTTAAAATTTATTTTAGTTATAAATTGGAAAATGCATGTGGGGCAATTTTATTTTCATACTGTGTATACACTATTATAAATCTAATTAAAATACCCAGGTCGACTACACAAGAGGTGAATCAATTACGTTTCGACAAGTACACGATCAAATACGAAGATGTGCCAGTGCACTTTATAAGCGGGGAATGAGGAAAGGAGATGTCGTTGCAATATGTTCATCAAATCGCGTGGAATACGCAATTATAATTCTTGCTGCTGCCGCTTGTGGTGGAATATCAACAACGTGCAATCCGGTGTATCAGAAAGGTACAAAAATGAGATTAAATGCTAATTATTGAACACGAAATGGACCGACGGATCGTTTTGTTATTATGTTGTTGTGCAAAAAACTTCTCTTCAGCTACTTGACCAATTGTTTTGAAATTTTCTCAGTGTTCAAAGCTTTTTGTTGTAGCTAGCTTTGTGTGAAACACCTCACCGAAATTAAAAATTGCGTGGCATGCGTGCCCTGGTTCCGTGATTACATCTCAGTGATCTGGTGGTCAGACTACCGGTACCGTAGAAAAATTGATACTGCTTCGTTTTGACGTTCGTGTCCATATATTTGAGCATTTTTCTCTTGTTTTCAATGAAGTGCTTTGTTCTGCCCGTACTGTTATTTATTATTACTAATATTGTAATGGTTGAAATGTGCAAAAAGATTAAAAATAAACAAATAATCTAATTTATAATTTATAAAAAACTTTCTTGCACGGAGGTAGGGAGAACAAAAGTTTGAACTTTTAGCAAGCATAAACAAAAAATTGTTGCTGTTTGCAAACAAATTTGTTCCCGAGAATTTTCATAAATAATTCCTTCATTTTAAACCAACAAGTTGCATACTCAAGAATTATTGTTAGGTTTTAACATGCCCAAAACAAACGTTTATGTGCTATTTCAGCGGAAATTCTACAGCAGTTTAGACTTTCCAAGCCCAACATTGTATTCTGCGATTCCGAAGCTTTCCAGAGAATGAGAGATATCGCAGAGGATCTGCCAACATTGCGGGTAAAACATATAGAAATGGAATTTTAATATTATATTTTTTAAACTGAAAATATAAAAAAATTAATTTGATCATATTCATAGAAAAATATTTTTCAATTGATTGTTTTCAGTGACTAGATGAATTAGATGAACAAGATTAGATAATTTACGTTTCTACCGTCATAATATGAAATTAATTGTGATTTATTATGTCATTGAATCAATGGAGTTCAAGTTGATTCACCGTGTTAAAGTTCATAGATTAGTTAGACTTCCACGCCCTGTAATTTTTTTTCAATTTTGAAACACGGAAATTCGGCGATGCCGAACACGTAATATTTAGCTGCAACGGCTTATAGAGTCTAGCCAAAGTATTATTTTGGCAAAATCAACTGAAATGTATCTTATCTGCAGGAAGTGTATACATTCGGCGAGACACAAGGAAGTATTTCGTACAACACACTTGTTCACAACGATGATGGGAAAGGTGAGGAAAAGATTTTAAGAAACCCAAACTGCGCTATTAAATGGTATTGTTTTCAGATTTTCCTCGAGTACAAATAGACACAAAGGAAGATTTGTTGCTCTTGCCGTATTCAAGTGGAACAACAGGATTGCCAAAAGGAGTCATGTTAACCCACCATAACCTAATGGCCCAAATGATATTAACTGTGTAAGTATATATATATAATATGGTTCGTTATCCGCTGATTATTCAATTATTTTTACATTACTCCTTATGATGCTTTATATAACAAGGCCTTCGTATTTTCCTTTAGTACGAGATCATCATTATATATATAGTGGCGTACGGACGTGAAACAGCGCCCATGGTTAAGTTTACAAATGCGCCTGCTTGATCGTTGAACGGCAATTTTTAACGACAGTTGTTAAATTGAGATTCCCGCACGTTATTATTTAAGCAAAATACACGTTTCAATTATTTTCAATTTGAAATTGTTTTATTGAAACATTTCACGATGAAAAATTTTCACCCTTCTTGCGCCCCAATCAAACTGCGCCCGCGGCACGAGCTATGCCAACCATGCCCAAGATACGTAGCCTATGCACTATGCAGACACATAATATACTTAAGAGACATAAAAGCGCTAGATGAAATACTTATCTCCTGTTTGTCGTAATAAATAGAAATGTACTAAGTACTTATATTATGTATATAAATGTGTTACTCTATATCCCAAAATCCCAATAACCTCAATATATATTGCCTATTAATTTCAATGTCGGAGTAAGTAAAGTTGTTTTATTACAGTTAATACGTTTCGACTTATAGTGTTATTGTGATATCGTTTTCAGAGTTGTGTTCTATCAAACCCGCTGTTCATCATACTACATGGTAGTCCCGATGTTTCATACATTTGGTTACTCAATGACCTTATATATGTTGATGCAAGGGACAAAGAATGTTTTCGATTCTAGATTTGAAGTTGAAAGATTTTTAAAGGCACTTGAAACACATAAAGTTAGTGGCTTTCATCTTATTTCTATAATATAAAGTGTCAAACGAACTAAATCAAATAAGATTCCAATCATTGCCTTATTGCTCAGTGATCGATCGAATCGGGTAATATGGTCGCTGAAAAGGTAGCACCGAAGTGCGCTGTAAAAATTGTGCCCAGGAAATTAACCAAATAATAGAATTGTTTGCTATTCGTATATTATCATTTGTATTCATGTTCACTATATTTAATAGTTGGTGAAATGTATGCCAATAAAATATAATATATATCATTTTCTTCCAATAAGGTTTTGTTGAACTAATTTTTCAAATCTCTCTACAGGTGACGCATTTTTCAGCAGTTCCCCCGATTATGTTGAAATTAGCACAAACTGATCTCGATAAAAAATATGACTTATCATCGTTACAAAGAATGGTCAGTGGAGCAGCACCAACTGCGCCCTCATTAATTACAGAAATCCAAGAGAAATATAATATCTTAGTCACACAGTGTAAGTATCTAAAATGCTGAAGGACACAACGAAATAGCGACTCTCTTTCACTGCCATAGTGAAAACTTTTGTCTGACAAACAATCACTATTACATTATTGGATAAATGAGTCGGCTTAGTCTTCAAGTGAATACAGTATAATTGAATTGAATTTAAGCAATAGGCTACTTTTAATAAAGCTCATATAATTTCAGCTTACGGGATGACGGAAATGGTTCCTCTTGCAATGGCCGACCCTCTTGTTAAAAAGTTGAACTCTGTCGGAAATATTGCTCCTAATACTATTATAAAGGTAAAATATTGCAGACTCATCATTGCCTATCATGCTTGCAATGTAGTTTACCTAAAATAGTCTTCAAAAATATATATCTAAAATTACTCCACTGTAGCGCTCATTAATTATTTTTCAAAAATGAAGTTATTACGCAAATTACCCAACGTAAATATAAGTTTATTGGAGTATATCCAGCAACAGACAAATTATCGTGAGCAAATTCACTATTCGAATATTCTCTAATAATGTCGCCACGCAACGTGGTTGACGGTGACGTCATAACTCTTGATCAACATCAAGCGGCAATTCACAAATACAACACCCACATTTGGACAGCAGTGTGCATGAAAAATCGTTTGAACAATATATTATTTTCAGCCTTTTCATATAATTGTGAGTTTCAACATGCACCAAACGCGAAAAATCATCTGTTTTTAAGGTTATCGATATTGAGACAGGAAAGGAACTCGGCATCGGAGAAGACGGTGAAATTGTGGCCAAAGGACCACAGGTACACACTAGAATACAATACTTATAGAATTTTTCTGCATATTACTACGGTTGGCATATTCATATATTTTTTCAATGCTTCAATGCTTATCGTCGATTTCACATCCAAGTTTCTGACAGGCTTCCGTAGTCAATTCATATGTCTGAGCATTTTGGAACAATAAATCCCATTGAAACTCACAAAATCACAAAATTTAGGACCCATAATTATGCATTACAGCCAGTATCAAATGATTAAATAATCTGTTTTATGTAACAGATGATGAAAGGTTATCTTCAAAACCCCGATGCAACCGCTAGGACAATTGATTTGGAAGGATGGATTCATACAGGCGATATTGGGCATTACGATGAAAACGGGATGCTGTACGTTGTAGACAGATTGAAAGAGTTGATTAAGTACAAGGGATTTCAGGTATTATAAATAACAGTTGCAAACTTATGTCTTGGTTATAATTTCACATTGCTTTATTTCATTGATGTCATTTTACTATCCACGCGAGGGGTGTGCAACCTTTAGTAAAAGAGGGCCAGATAAAAATATCTGGGTAGAACCACGGGCCACAGAAGGGGCATTGTAACGTCATAGGAATTGGTAATAAATTTGACTCAGGTATAGGATTTGTTTCGTGGGCCGCACCACACCATTCAAAATTGGCATTTTTACGCGGGCCTCACAATTTTTCTATGTGGGCCGCATTTGGACCGCGGGCCGAGGTTTTTACACCCCTGATCTACGTCACAGCAATACTATATTATTTGAGAAGTTGTTGCAAAGTCAATTTGTTCATTTTAGGTAGCACCAGCTGAATTAGAGGCTTTACTGTTGACGCATCCCGACATACTGGATGCAGCAGTAATTGGTGTACCTCACCCAGACGCTGGTGAAGTTCCTAAAGCATTTATTGTGAAAAGAGATGCAGCATTAACTGCAGAAGACGTTGAATGGTTTGTTGCAAGTAAGAAAAATTATTTATATGTAAAAATCTTAAATTCGGAATGAAATTTATTTTATGATTGGTTAGTTATGTGAAAAACTTGAAGTTTCATTTTGAATTATTTTAATGTTGTGAAAAATACTGGTCAGTCGATGGTAATTAGTGAAAGTGGTGGCATCGATATTAATATGAAATCATGAGACTATAAACTTTACAAATTATTGGAGAAAGTTGAATAGCAGGCCGCACCTAACCGAAACATTTGTTTCAACAAAGTACCAAATGAATGAAATGTTGCAGATATATAAAAAGTAACGCATAGAATCACATTTAGTCAAAAAGAAATGAAGTAAATGCATAATTTGGTCATTTTTTAAACAAACTTTGCAAGACGTACGTATCAATCGTATCAAGGTATACGGGGAAAGAATAACATGTAAATTTAGATTATATCTCACTCGAAATAATCAGCTATCTGCTATGAAACAGCTCATTACACCAATTTGTAGACTTTGCGAGCGACGTTCGAATATTGTAAAAAGCTGTTCGTGCTGCTACGGCAGGCAATACATACACTTATTGCTACAGCTTATTGCTTAGCTTGTGGGTGAATATATAATTTTGTGGGCACAGTTTCACATCCATTGAATTTATTCTAATACGCTTTTAATAATGTTTTAAACATATCAAATCAGGTTTTCTATATATGGAATCAGTTCGAATAATTATCAATATTAAATACTTGAAACGTTATTTTTACAGAGGAACTGGCGCACTACAAAAAGTTGAGAGGAGGGGTGGAATTTCTAGAAACAATACCGAAATCTCCTAGTGGGAAAAATTCTTCGACGAGAACTGAGAAAACTGCCAATCGTTCGTTTTCGCATGTGAAGTGATTTTAATGCCGTTTTGCAATAAGTCATTAAATTGTATTTACAAAATTTAAATCATGAAGTTTAGGTTTCTATGTTTGGTTATATTATAGTATATTGTTATATTACTGATTACCACAAATTACATGATTATCTTTTTCGATTTCAAATGTTGGATAATAAATATACAGATGACATTGAAATGGTTAGCAAATGTTTATTTATTAATAATAATAAATGATAATAATAATAATAAATATAAAACCAAAATACAAACAGTACTATCAAAAAAACAGCAACAATACAAACAAATAAGGTCAAAAACAAACAAAGAAAACTACACAAATAGACGAACCCCAATCCAACCACATCAGTTAGACCGGCTATTCTAAGATGATTCGATAGCATCCATATCCAGTTATAGGAAACTCAATAATAGACTAAATTTATATGATCTTCTATATTTACAGTTATATCTTGTATTGTTTGAAGAAGTTAGACCATGATCTAACGAAAGCTCACAATTATACTTACTATTTCGTTGAAAGAGATCATGTTATTTTTATTTTCATAATAATAGTTTAATGATATATTCTATATCCTATATAAAAAGTTCATACATTGACTTTTTTTTCGTTAGACGTTTTAACATAAGGTGTCTGGACTGAAAGTGATATTGCGCATATGATTTAGTAATCCTTAATCGTCACCAAACTTTGCAGTTTTAGGTCATACGTCCTAATGTAATCAGTCGTGTAAGCAAACAATTAACAACAACGAGGCAATTCTAGTTCGTTAAATTACAGAATTACATTAAAAAATGTTCTATTACTACATATATATATATTCCATTTGTTTTTCAAAATATGCTATTTATTTGTTGTTTGTCCGATTTGTTTCCCGATTCTGCTTTCGATTGATCAGCAACTAAAAAGAAAATGATTCATCGATATTATACCAAATGAATACGACAATACTTAACCAGATTGGCGCTAGTTTATTAACCACTGACTACTCCGAACGCTTTCATGGGTTAGATATAAGTTTATTATAGCACACCTAATCAAAGGGCATTCGTCGATTTTCCACTAGTTCTTCCTGTTCAATTTCTGTTAAACGGCGTCCTGGAGAGTTGTCTTCTGGTTGTGATGATTGGTTACTGTGAAAATTTAAACGAACAGACATATATTTAGTTTGGGCCATTTGTGCAAATCAGACTTGTGTGAATAAACAATTTGCATAGACAGTTTTCTTTCTAAGACTAGCTAAGGTTTCTTTGTCCTTTTTGCCTTTTTTCAGTAACGACTGAAATTATTATTACTGATGCTCGTATAATATTCAATATAATACAATTATTTTCAACCGCTTACTCCAGCAACTTTGCAAAGAAGACAGCTGATCTGAAATAAATTGCGTTAAGTTTGAAATTTGGAAACGTGGAAACTATTAAGTAATGGAGCACACATACAAATTTTATCATAAAACTGTGACGCTTGTTAAACGATCGTTTTCCGAAATGCATGATTGAAGATTTCATCTGAGGATATAATTTTCCCTAAAATAAAGAAATGGATGAAAAACCGCACAGATAACACAAATTCAAAAAATATTGCCCTATGTAACAAAATCTGTTTTAAAATGATGAATATTTGGAAACGGTCGAGTGAGTGAAAATAAAAGTTTTATGATTTAACAAAAGCATATAATTCACTAACAATAATAATTTATCAAATATTTATAGGATTAACAATAATCAAAAATAAATAATATTTTTCGAATTAATTTACCACAAACTCAGTTAAACTTCATACGGTTTATTAATGATAACATTCTGTTACTAAGATTTTATTTGTGTTTCTTCTTGGACTTTAGTAAAGTTACAAAAGTTCTGTCTATCCGTAAGATTTAATAGACATGAAGAAAACTTGCTGTTATAAAATGGACTCAATCAATCGCTTTCAAGTGTTTCAGACGCTCAAAATACAAAATATCACATAGAATACAATCGCCTTTTTATTTACATTCCATTTAAAAAAAAATGCAAAATATAGTAATTAGCGGTCAGAAAACAGACTACAATTTGCCAAAAACTGCTAATTTTTGTTTGTCAACCGTATACCTACTTCTCGTCTTCATTTATTTATTTCGCATATTTAATTAAAAAATCAAACAAAAAAATATCAAATTGCAAATGAACACTAACAACGTGGTGAGAATAAATATACAGCATTACTCCCTGGACAGCATGACAGCTGACCAAGGTATCCGAACCAACGACTACCAACAACAATGTGGACAGTATGCAACTAAATACATTTTTGTGGGATGGGGGGGCAATAATTGTGATTACATATATCTATGTTAGCATAGAATGTTGGGGATTTTGAAGTTCGAATCGCGGATGACCAGTATTAAATCAAAGTTGGTATATGATTCACTTTGGCTGTGTCAAAACATAAAATTAATCCGAGAAATAAATCCAAGCATTTATAAAACAGTTCGCAAGGCAATATTTTGAAGCCCTAGACAAGTGAGTAGTTATTTTTTTTAAAATCCAAAGCTTTTCTCTTTCAAACTTTTTTTCAAAATTTTGGCCAAACGTAGGTCTACTAGTATATGCCACATAAACATAGAGCAATGTTACTGTACAAACTGCAAGACTTGTTGCCACACCGTCGTAGGATCATCAATTCAAATTTATTTAGAGAGTCACTTCAGAGATAAGACGAACCGAACCGATCATGATCAGTTTTCTCATGAAATGGGGAAGAACTCTTTTCCGATTATGATGATGCGTTTTATATCAAAATATGACAGTAATTTCACGAAGATACTAGCCCGTTGAAATTTAAACTCAGTTTTCAACTAATTACTGATTTTTGTTCAAATGATAATTTCACAGATAGGGGGATAATATGACCCATCTCTGCAGTGACTCTTTTCAAAAATTCTATTGTTTGTTATATTCAGACTTGTCCACGAGAAAGACAATACAAAAATATCGCTTAAAAAATGAATTCGGATCTATTTCCAGTTACAAGTCATCATATGAACATGTTAAAGATGTGCATGGATATTCAATTTTTTCTTGATATAGAGACTACAGAATTCATTCCGATCCAAATGTTCGAATACATATAGTATATGTTTTGTATCTCAGTTTATACTCGAAAACCAATATTCCGTGGACAATTCTGAAAGAAATACTATTTGAAACATATTCAAAATATATATGAAAAGTACATAATAGAAAAAATTCATATGTAATATATTAGAAAGATTTTGCTTTAGAAAACCATATATTTGCCTTTTCAAAAACGTTTCCGCAATATACAATATCGATTCCAAGGAGCAAAAAATATCTTTACAAATCTTGATTTGCTAGAATTGTTCAATGTGCGATATATATTAGAGTATCTGTATATATAACAAAGGTAATACTGATCACGTAAGTAAGATCTTGTATACTTGCTGGCTGATTTGTGCCGTCATCCAACGTGTTTTGCTTTGTATATCCCTGTCGTGTGTATTCATCGTACCACTTTACAATTGTTAGTGTCGTAGGATAAATTATTCTGAGAGACATCATGCAACATTCCAACAATACAGTTTTGTACTTGAATCCAAATACGTTCTCTTCAACATTATAATCACTTGCAATGATATTGTGTCCCTTAATTCCTCATTCAATTTATATTATCGACTGTGTTCTGTATCGTGAACCTGACTGAAGTTAATCTTTACGAAAAAGAAACCGTCACAACTATCTCTATCTGAACTTGATAAATATTCAACAAATATTAACAATTTGAATCTGTCGTAACACTACCCAATAACACATATTTTTTCCAATCGCTCCAGATGTCAAAGTATATTACTCTGTGTGAACATTTTAATATACGTGCCATGTTTTTTAGTGCATTTGTTTTTCTTGTTATTGAAGTGTTTGATATTTTTTTCAAAAAAATCTGAATGTTAGAAAATCTCAGTATGAACAATGACCATTATTTTTAACTTCAAAAAAGCATTTGTCGTGTATATAATATAACGTTTATAGATTATGAAACGTGTTTTTATTTGATCTAATCAATTTTTAAGTTATCTTATAAGACACGGAGTGGATGGCTTTCCTAAATTGTACTTTTTGGGGTGACATTTGTTGTCGGGAAAAATCGCTTTTCTCCGAAACTAATGGTCTAATCGTTTTCAAATTGTCAGTACCTAAAATGGTTAAAGATGCTAAATGGCTATTATTTTAATTTTTTCAAATTTTCGTTTCTTATGGAGTGCGATATTTTCTAAGATCTGGCAACACCATGGGACCAGACAAGTCGGATATCTTTCTGACAAAGCCGAGGCTCAATGGTTAGCCGTTGTGGCACCGAGGTGGATTTTAATTTGTAGATTTCGGCGAATAAGATGACGTAGTTCAGTGTTAGTCGCTTAGACTTAGACCACGATACTTCGGTTTTCCAAATAACAGTAGCCATGTCATAGCAAGCTGATTACGTCAGAGCTAATCTTAGTAGTTATACCTTTTTTTAACTTTTAAATATTTCTTTTTTTCTTTTTATACCTGTGTCTATTATTGGACATGGAATGGACCTATGAATTGTTTTGATATTATTTTCTTGTTGTTTTTGTTTTTGTTCTTTATTTATTCTTCTACTTCTTACCGTTATAAAAAAAATCGCCTCTCTCTTTAATCAATGGACCAATTGCTTTGAAATGGTTAAGGATTGTATTTTTCGCTAGCAGATTACTACTTTCATTTATTCCAAATACTTCTGTGAGCTCCATGGAATTTGTTTTTTTTGTGTGTGCAACGACATCATCAAAATTTGCGCACCTTGTGGCGGTCCCGGAACGCATATCAGCGGATCACGTGCTCAGCGAACATCGGTGGATCTCGTGCTTAGTGAAAGAGGAGGAATAAGGGATCTTTCATGGAGAATAAGGGATTGCGGTACCCATTCTGGTAATACAGAAGTGGTTCGAATCATTTGGTATTTCATTTCACGTTGAAACTGAATTATGAAGAATGGATCATCGTCACGTGGCCTAGAAAAGCTATGACAGTTTATGTACCATTACCCTGGGTAGTTCACTTGTCTGTGTGAGTTGTCGGTGTAGTCAAATTGTCCGCCTCACGATGCGACTACTGGTGAGTTACCGTATATGATTTTCGGCCAATTATTGATGAAATATTTAGTATGTTAACCTCCGTGTCCAGATATTTGAGCATAGCTCTCTTGTTTATCTTGTTTTAAAAACTAGGGCAACCAAATTCACAATTATTAGACTATTAGAAAAATGAACACAGGTCTCCACTCTTAAAAGCTGGTGCGAAAATTGTTTTGGACCATAGCTGTGTCATTGGAAGCTGCGGAGTGCTTATTCAGTGAGGTCGGATTGTTGTTGAGTCATTTACGAAAACGGATGTTACCTGCTCTTGTTATAAACTTCGTATACATTAGATTCGCATTTAACATCAAAACTAAGGTAATGGTTCAGTAATTACCCGAATTAACTGAATTATTAAAAAAAGTCCATGGGCAGAAAATTTGCTGAAAAAGCAGAGTGACTCAGAAATGGAATAAGAGTGCCAGAATGTTCCGGAAATGTAAGACGATACTTCAGGATTTTTAAGTTGACGAAGTCAATGAATTTTGTCGTTTTACATCTTTTTACGTCTCTTTGTACATTCGATGGGACAGGCATAAATTGATATGGGGCGGGATGGGGCAGAAAAATATATCCCATGAACAAGTCTGACTATTCAGGTAATTGCAGGTCGTATTGACCATTCTGCATTGCTGTTTTGCGAAAATTATAAACATACCGTACATAGTCCTCAGCTATATCAGAGTCTGAATCTCCATTGACTACTTGTTCAGCGGCTCTGTTTATAAGTTGAATTGTAGCAGCATAATATTGAGGAGTTAAAAAAACGAAAATGGAGGTTTAATTGAGATCTACTTTATTCCGGAGGCAAAATATCATATAGAATATTTTCGTTTATCATATATATTCACAGAGGATATCAAATTTCTCTAGATACAATAGGTGTTATCAGTCGAATCATGAGGCTCAATTCAATTGACCTATACTAAAAAAGATCCACAAAATGTTCGATAGCCAATATAACTTAACATTCATAAACTCATATATTTAAAATATTTAAGTTGGTCAAAGCAAGTGCTGTTATATGTCAGCAAAATCCACGGCTTATGAATATACTGAATATATATAAATATCAAATATTAAATATACCTGGCAGATTCTGGGCGGCCTGCAGCAATGCATGCTTTTTTGCAATTGCCTTTACAGCGAACGCAGAGATTACTTTCTCTCTGATTCGGTTCATTCACCAAAGAATTTGGGACATCCGGAGTCGGCATTTGGCTATTCATATCATCTGCAAGTTAAATATGAGTGATCTTGATGATTGGGCATTATCAACAGTATTCAGTCTAAGTATTATTTAGTAAAACAGGAAATCATTGCCTTCAAAAATTAAACATTCTTGAAAAATTGAATAAACTTGGACCCAAGGTCGAATATATAGTAAAAATGCTTATCTGTATACGAATATACACCGCTTCTTGATCTAAAGCGATTTTCACATTTTCGTCTACATATGTACTCAAACCTATTTTGCTATTTCTAGGGACTCAGTAATTATTAAACCTCAAAATGTTTAATTTTTAAATATATTTTCTTATTCAATTACAGGTTTTAGAAGTAAATATCTACTAAACGGTCAAGCTTACTTTCCTGGGAACCCAGCATTGTAGATGGTTCAGTCAGAACATTTTCTCTGTGCATTACAATGAAGCATTTTTTTTGAATTCTATAAAAACAATCTATTAATATGAAAATGATATATGATACTCACTCTGTTCCTGGTTTAAACATTCTTGTATTGGTAGTTTATTCGATATTTCTCCCTCAAATGATTGGGCGGTTGTATTTGAATTTATTTCTGGTTGTATGTCTCCCATGACGGCAATTTATACGAAGGCGGTATACAAAGAAAATCAGTTTGAATAAATTTGTTAAAATCAAACACAATTTACTTTTACATTTAAAATAGCATTAATTCTGGAAAGTAAAAAATAAAATTAATTATAATGTTCTCAAGATCGATTATACTTTTTATAATAGAAACCAGAGCAATATAGACATAAAATGAATACAGGCAATTCAAAAATGAAAACTAAATGTATCTATTAAAAAGAATTCATTACAACTATTTCAAAGTAGAATGCGAAGCTACGTAGACTGATTTTTATCTACAACCTCTGTTGGTTGAAAACATTCTCTGAATAGATTTAAAGACACTGTAATATTCAACATAACTTTAAATGGGGTCTTATAATAAAAATGAAAAGATGACGTCATTACAAAACATCACAGAACTGAGTGACAAAGAAACTCTTCAATAGAATCTCATACTCGACCATAAGTTACAATTGTAAACCTATAGTTATGGTTGCAGTGTAGTACACGTATTTAGGATAAACAAGATATATAATATGAAAATCTGACAGATGCAGAATTAGTTTTGCACTTTTAATGTGTGGTTTTGGGAGTTGTTGTGAGTTTTTTTATTCACAGATTCTTACATCGCTATTACGGAATGCAATTTTGAGCTTTTCCGGAAATTAAGCTTGATTGAGTTATATATTATGAACCCAGAAAAACACCCCTCATGTGATTTTTCAGTTTATCCAATACGAATTCAAACAGATGGTTATTACTTCCTTCATATTATCCATTGAGCTCTTTGTTCTCGAATGTTTTCCTGACAATTTTCGGGGGATTCAACATTTACGCAATGAGGTCAGTAAACTTTTGTGAACTGAATACTTTTGGCAAATACAGAATTACAAAGCAGACACAGAGGAACAATTACAAAATTTAAATTTTAGTACTACATGACTTCCCATCATTGTTAGTACTGCTCAAATTCGTAATAAATATGTACTATTGAGAACAAGTCCAGTATGGGCATCAAATAGTCTAAATCTGAAGCAACTTTTGCAAATGTTTTAGTATGTATCCCAAAGTTCTATAAAGAAAACATTAAATTTAAAACCGTTGTGCACAAAAATTTGACACAGCCTCTAACTGTAATGAACAAGTATTGAATATCATCGTCAAATTCATAAAACTTATGTTTCCAACATGACAAATGACACCACAACGCAGCAGAAATAACTGTTCTTGATAATGCAAGTAATAGCGAAAACAGATTTGTATCAAATTATATCAAATAAATTTTAATTATCACAACGTAGTAGAAAATAGTTAGAATTTGTTATATTACACTTACAGAGTTACAATAAATAACATTTTATTGTTTTATTACTACATATATTCCTTTTGTTTTACAAAATATACTATTTTTATTGTTGTTTGTCCGTGTCGTTTCTCGATTCGTCTTCGGATTGATCAGCAACTAAAAAGAAAATGATTCATCAATACCAAATGAATACGACAATATCTAACCAGATTAGCGCTAGGGTACTCCCGTAGTATGTGAACCAAGATGGCGGACACCCGAACGTAGTATGTGTACCAGGTTAGGGTTAGGCCATAGTTTCAGGTACAAATACTACGGGAGTCACTTGGCTAGTCCCCGAACTCGTGATAAAACAAAAATAAGGAAAATTGGAATCCAATTATGGCCTAATCCTAACCTGGTACACATACTATATTCAGATGTCCGCTTTTTTGGTTTACATACTGCGGGAGCGCCAGCGTTAGTTATATAATCACTGGCTACTCCGAACGCTTTCCTGGGTTAGTTATAAGATTTTTATTGCACACACCATTAAGAACCATCGTTGTTTTCGCACCTATTTTTTTGTTCTTCCTGTTCAATTTCCGCTAAATGGGGTCCTTGAGAAACATCTTGTGGTTGTGATGACCTGTTACTGCGAAAATACACAAACATACATATATAATTTGGGTCATTTGTATATATAAAACTTGCTCGATTAAACATCTTGCACGGACAGTTTGCTTTCTAAGATTAGCTGAGGTTCCTTCGTTCTTTCTGCCCTTTTTCGGTAACGACCTGAAATACTACAGATGGTTTCAATTTATTCAATATAACATCATTATTTTCAACTGCCCACTCCAGCAACTTGTGCAAAGAAAACAGCTGATCTGAAATAAATTTGCGTTGAGTCTGAAATTTCAAACGCGGAAAAGATCAAGTAAGGGTGCACATATATATATATATACAAATTTTATCATAACACTGTGACGCTTGAACAATCGTTCTCCGAAATGCATGATTGAAGAATTAATCTGATGACCTAATTTTCCCTAAAATAAAGAAATGGTTGAAACACCGCAGACAGTATATGAATTCGAAAACTATTACCCTATTCAAAGGATCTATTTAAAGCTTTTGAATATTAGGAAACGGTTGAGTGGGTGAAAAGAAGTTTATGTCGTAACAGAAGCATATACATAACCAGCAACAACAATTTCCCAAATATTTATAGGATTAACAATAATTTTCAAAAATTGATATTTTTGGAATTACTTCACCACGAACTTCGTTAAATTTTATATGGTTTATTATTGATAACACTTTGTTAATAAGATAATATTTCGGTTTCTTCTTGGACTTTAGTAAAGTTGCAATGTACCGAAGTTTTCTCTTTCTCTCTAGTAGACACAGAGAAAAACTATGACAAATTGATGTTGCTGTTATAGTATGCACTCATCTGAAACTGCTAAATCAATGACTTTCGAATTTTTCAGCCGCTCAAAATAGGAATGTTTCATAGAATTAAATTTATTTTTTGTTTACATTCGATATAGGAAATAAGAATACAAGAAATGCAAATATAGAATAATCAGCAGTCAGAAAACAGACTACAATTTGCCAAAAACTGCTTATTTTTGTATTTCAATCTTACCTCTTTCTAACCTTCATTTATTTATTTTGCATATTAAAATGAAAAATCAAACAAAATGTCAAATATAAAAATATCAAATTGCAAATGAACAATAGCAACGTGGTGACAATAAATATACAGCATTACTTCTTGGAAAGCATGTTTAGAACAGCTAACCAAGGTATCCGAACCAACGACTTCAAACAGCAATGGGCAACAGTATGACACAAAACAAATCTTAATGGAATGGGGTGCAATAATTACATCACATATATCTATATTAGCATGGCATGTTAGAGATTTCAAGTTCAAATCGCAGTTGACCAGTATTATATCCGAGGTGTCTTAATCCACTTGGGCTGTATCAAAACAGAAAATTAATCCGCGAGATAAATCCAAGCATTTATAAAACAGTTCGTAGGGTCTTATAATAGGTAATTTTTTTTAAAACCCAAAACCCAGAGCTTTTTTCTTCCGAATTTAATTTTTACACTTTTGGCGTAGGTATAGTATATGCCACATAAATATAGAGCAATGTGACTGTACAAACTTTAAGACTTGTTGCCACATCGTAGAATGGTCATCAATTCAAATACATTTGGAGAGTCACTTCAGAGATAAGACAAAACGATCATGATAAATTTTCTCATAAATTTTGACTCGGGAGAAACGCTTTTCTGATTTCGATAATACGTTTTATATTAAAATATGGCAGTAATTTAACGTAGATACTGGCCCCGTTTACATTTTAATTTAGTTTTAACGACCTACTGATTTTGTTCAAATGATAACCAGCACCAAGAAAATTGAGAAAATGATTTCACAGATAAGGGGATAATACGACCAATCTCTGCAGTGACTCTTCTAAAAAATCCCGTTGGAAGTTTGTTACATGCACTTGTCCACGAGAAATAGGATTCACAAATATCGTTTAGAAAAAAGGAATTCGAATCTATTCCCAGTTATAAGTCATCATATAAATATGTTAAAAACTAAACTGTGTATAGGATGTGCATGGATATTTGAATTATTATTAATATGGAGACTACATTCCAATTCAAATAATCGAATACATAACATATGTTTTGTATCACAGTTTATTCTCAAAAAACAATATTCCATGGACAATTCAGAAAGAAATACAATTCGAAACATATTGAAAATATATATGAAAAGACGCCTACATCATAGAATTAGAGAAAAAGATTTTGCCCTAGAAATGAAATTTATATATTTATATTTCAAAAACGTTTCTGTAACAAATTATTGACTTCATGAAACAAAAAATAACTTAACAAATCTTGATTTATCCAAATTCACTTTCTTAGTGGTTCTCAAACGGGGCGCCCATAGGATGCTAGACAATTTTTGAGGAGCATGAAGTTAAAAAATAAAAATATTTGTTAGATTCGAACTTGGCCACCTTATTTTTGACGTTTCAAAACGCTTCGTTCATTTATTATTTACGTTTCATCTATGTACTTTCAACGTGTTTTATGAATAAAACATGATATATATTTTCGCCTTACTATCTGTAATTTATAGCTTATTGTTAGCTAGTTATTTTTGAGATGGGACGCGAGACTTGATCAATTCTAAAAAGGGAGCGCGGCCTAAAATGTTTAAAAACCACTGCTCGAAGATTTTTCTACCTCGTTGTTAAAATTGGTGAATTTGACTATATATATAATATATATATAACAAAGATAATACACATTCGTCATATATCGCAAGTACTGAGCACCTCAAGGTCTTGTAAATGGGCTGGCTGATTTGCGTCGTCATACAACGTGTTTTGTTTTACAAATATTCTTGTCGTGTGTAGTCCTTTCTTGATTTGTATTTTGAATTCATCAATAAAGTAATAGTTTTCTTTCTTTCATTGGTATGACGACATTGACAAACTTTTTATGGGAGTAGGAAGAGGAACTTATTATGTCTTGAATAAATCCCACAAAAATATATGAAGAATTTATTCTATCGTTCCACCTTCCAATTGTTACAGTGTCGTAGGATAAATTAGCGAGAGTAACATCTCACAACATTCCAACAATACAGCGTTGTACTTGAATCCTAAATGTCATCTTCAACATTCCAATCACTTGCAATGAAATTCCATTTGTGCCTACTCTATTTCTTTTTTAACGACTGTGTTGTTTTGTATCGTAAACCTGACTGAAGTTAATCTTTACGAAAAAAGAAACCGTTTCACAACTATCTCTGACTGAACTTGATAAATAGTCAACAAATATTTACCAATTCGAATATGTCGTGTAACCCTACTATATTTCTATGAATGGACCTTTTTATATATACACTGGGATACCTTTCAGTATTTCTGTGTTTCTCTTGTTATTGAAGTGTTTTAAATTTAAAAAAAAAATCGGAATGTTAGAAAATTTCAATATTCCACCATTATTTCAAAAATTGTTAAACGCATTTGTCGTGTAAAAACCATTATGTTTATGGGTCATGAAACATGTTTTTATTTTGATCTAATTTATTCTACGGTTATCTTATTAGACACGGAATGGATGGCTTTCTTAAATTGTTTCTGATGGAATGGCATTTGTAGTCGGAAAAAGTCGCTTTTCTCAGAAACTAATATACTAATCCTTTTCAAAATTTTCAGTATTTAAAAAATGGTTTAAACTGATAAATGATTATTATTCCATTCTCGCTGATTCTTATGAACGTGCGATATTTTTCTAAAATAACATCATGTGACAACCAGTCGGATATCTTTCACAAAAGCCGATGCTCCATGGCTTAGTCATGGTCTAACCAAGCTTTCCAGCTGTCTAACCAATTGATTCAACAATCTTTAGAGATTTTTGATAGATCAGATAACGAATTTTGTGTAAGTTTGCTTAGGCTGCGATACTTCGTGAGACGTTTGATATTTCGTGTTCATACATTTCAGTATTGGTCAGTTGTTGTTGCTATCATGTTACAAACATGTACGCACATTGACTTACTATATTTATCATATCATCTAACTCAGGTGGTCCAAGGCTGTCGGCTCCGCGGGCCACAATAGTGCCAAGAATACATAAACAGTACACATCCAAAACAAACCTTTTATTGGACAAACACATGGTTATCAGACATAGCGAAGTGGTAGGATTTCAAATTTTTTGTCAGTCGGTTCCATCATACAAATGTCGAATTTTCAGGCGGTTCTGTTACAAAAAGTCATGTAATGCTAACCGGTTCGCTGATCTCATAAAAATTCTGTGAGACGGTTCTATAGAACCGGTGCCAACCGGCTGAATCCCACTACTGGTTATAGCCATCCCAGGCTAATATAATCCGCCTTCGATTTAGTTTTCTATGATGCCTATATCGTTAGCATATATTCCCGACCAAAAAGATAGCCAGATAATAAATAGACTGCCAAGCACATCATTCAACTTTCCGCTAGTTGCCTCGGCTAGCCATAACACTAGTCAATTCAGTGACATTAGTGATGTAACAATATGTCAAAAGATTTTTCTGGGCAATTTTATTACGAAACAACACGAAATGCGATTCAATGATTACTCTCCGAATGTGACGCGGGCCACAGATAATGAAGGGCCGGGCCACATGTGGCCCGCGGGCCTGGGTTTGGACCACCCTGACTAACTTTTCAACTATTCTCAGACTTGTCCCGTGGGAATCTCATGAGAAACATCGCATGCGTAGAGACAGTACACATTAGTATTTCCCATGGGACAGTATCCATGTCATAGCAAATTGATTACGTCAGAGCTAAACTTAGTCTTTATACTTTTTACTTTTCAAATGTTTTTTACTCTCCATTTTACTTTCTATTTATCTTGTTTTAAAAATTACGACAACCAAATTCACAACTAATAGATTATTCGAAAAATGAACACACGTCTTCACTGCGAAAATTGTTTTTGGCCATACCAGTGCCATTGGCAGCAGTGGGGTGCTTATTTTGTGCAGCCGGATTGTTGGAGAGTAACTTACAGAAAAGGAATTTTACCTGATCTTGTTATAAACGCCGTGTACATCAGATTCGCATGTAACATGAAAACTAAGAAAATGATTCAGAAATTACCCGGATTATCTTATTCATTAAAAACAGTCGATGAGCAAGAAATCAGCAGGATGATACTCAATTGCGATAGTTAAACGATACTTCTGAAGTTTGACAAAGTCAATAAATAATTTGTCGTATTGCATATCACTTTGTACATAGGATGTGACAGGCATAAATTGCTACGGGGTGGGATGGGGCAGAAAAATGTGTCCCATGGACAAGCTTGACTATTCTATTCAGATAACTGCAATTCGTACTGGCCATTCCGGATTTGGTGTTTTGCTGCAAAAGTTATAAACATACCGTACATAGTCTCCAGTTGAATCCGAGTCTGAATCTCCGTTGACGACTTGTTCAGCGGCTCTGTTTATCAGAAAAAAAATTACCGTAATTGAAATCTACTTTATTCCGACTGCAAAATATCATAATATAGAATATTTTCGTTCGATCTTTTCACAGAGGATATTAAATTTGTCTCTAGCTACAACAGATGTTATCAGTCAATCCATGAAGCTCTATTCGATTGACCCAGCATATAAGCCATATTAAAATAGATCCACAAATGTTCGATACATAAATAAACTTATATAAAATATTCAATTTGGTAAAATCAAGTGCCGTTATATGTCAGCAAAATCCACGGCTATTAAATATATCGAATATTAAATATACCTAGCAGATTCTGGGCGGCCTGCAGCAATGCATGCTCTTTTGCAATTGCCTTCACAGCGAACGCAGGAATTACTTCCTTTCTGATTCGGTTCATTGATCAAAGAATTCGGGACATCAGGTGTTGGTTTTTGGCTATTTTTATCATCTATGAAATATAAGTGATTTTGTTGATTGGGCCTTATCAACAGTATTTAGCCCTAGTTGTAAACTATTATTCAGTAAAAGAGAAAATTATTGCTTTTAAACGGTAAGGCATATGTAAAAATTAAAATTGGACCCAAGATCGAATATAGTAAAAAGGTGAAATATATACGAATATGCACCGTTTCATGATCTTAAGTGATCTCCACATATTCATCATCAACATACCTCTTTAGTTTTTTTTAGGGACTCAGTAATTAGTAAACTTCAAAATATTAAATTTTAAATATGTTTTTCTATTCAATATCTGCTAAACGCTTGAACGTATTGTTTTGAAAACCCCAGCACTGCAAAAGGTTCAGCGGAAACATTTTTCTGTGTATTACAACGAAGCAATTTTTTAATATTTTATGAAAATTATTAAAATATGGTAATGGCTGTAAGATACTCACTCTGTCTCTGGTCCGCACATTCTTGGATTGGTAATTGATTTGATATTTCTTCCTGAAATGATGGGTCGGATGTAGTTGAATTTACTTCTGGTTGTATATCTCCCATGACAGTAATGTTTACGAAGGTGATATACTAAGAAAATCAGTTTGAATAAATTTGTTCAAATCCAACACAACTTACTTTTACATTTTAAATAGCATTAATGCTGAAAATTGAAAAAATAACAATTAGGTATAATGTTCTCAAGATCGATAATTCTTTCATGATAGAAACTAGAGCAATATAGACATAGATTGAAAACAAGCAATTCAAAAATAAAAAACTAGTGTATCTATGAAAAAGAATTCATTAGAATCCTTTTAAAGTAGCATACGACGCTAAATACATTTTTCTTGGTTTAGAATTTAGATGTTTAGAATATTCACTGAATAGATTTGACGACACTGTAGTATTCAACATAATTTCGAATCATGTTCTATAATAAAAAATAAAAAGATGACGTCATTACATAACATCACAGTACTGAGTGACAAAGAAACTCTGCAATAGAATCACATACTCGACCATAGGTTACAGTTTTGAAAACAATGATTATGGTTGCAGTGTGGTATATATACGTATTTAGGATAAACAAGATGTATAATATGAAAATCTGACAGATGCAGAATTAGTTTTGTAGTTTGAATGTGTGGTTTTGGGAATTGTTGTGATTTTAATATTTTTTACTGATTACATCATTATTATGGAAAGAATTTTTTGATATTAGCTAACAATTGAGCTTACTGGAGTTTATATAGTATGAACCTAGTAAAGCACCCCCATGTAATTTTTCAGTTTGGCGAATACAAAGATAAACAGATGCTGTTTATTACTTCTTGAATTCGTGGAACCTGGGTTCTTTGTTCTCGAATGTTTTTCTCGACAATTTTCGGGGGATTCACCAGGTCCAGGTAGTGGCTTTATCAGGCAGCTGACTCGAGCATATTTACGCAATGAGGTCTGTGAACTGAATTCCGTTGGGAAATACAGAATTATACTGAATTACAAAGCATACAAACAAGAACAATTACAAAATTTAAATTTTAGTAGTACATGACTTACTATCATTGTAAGTATTGCTGAATTTGGCCATAGATATGCACTATTGAGACAAATGTCAATATACGCATCAAATAGTATAAATCTGAAACAACTTTTGCAAGCTTTTTAGCATTTATACTCAACTTCTATAACAAATATATTGAAGTTAAAAAAATTGTGCACGAAAATTTTAAACAAGCCTCAATTGTAATGAACAAGTATTAAATTTTTTCGTCAAATTCCTAAAAAGTATGTTTCCAGCATGACAAATGACACCGCAGAGCAGCAGAAAAAACGGTACTTGATAATGCAAGTAATAGCATTAACAGTTTTGTATCAAATTAAAAAATTAAATTTTGACTATCAGAACGTTATCCGCTATTTCGTTCAGATTAAGTTGCTCAGAGCCATTTGCAATTCAATCACTAAATGACATGATGCGTCAAATCGGTGCTTCACAGAAAATGCAGATACAGCGTGCATAATAAGCATTCTTGTTGAATTATTAACTGTTGAACATTAATCAAATGTAGTTGAATTTGAAATTGTGTACTGTATGTAAGTTGTCACATGACGTAAATGTACAATTACAGTAACTCAATCAACAATCTTTCCCCGATACTTATATCTTGGGACATTACCCGGACCTGCAGACAATTATTTGCGGAACTCATTTTATTGGAAAGTAAATATAGTTACGTGCAAAGTTCAGTTTAATGAAGCGGTTGCGTTGGTGACTTTATCTTCTGCAAACAAATATGTTCACCTCCTACGTTGTATGTATATGTCAAAGTTCATACATTGCTGCATTCAATTTATAAGTTCCTTCTTTGCAGAAACGTTAGCACGTCTGCAAAAATACAAGCACTAGCGAGTTGTATTCAAAATGTCTGTTTCCTGTTTTCTATCATGGGAAAGATCTGGAAACCATCAGTTCTTCTTTTAGCTTTAAAATTCGAGCTTAAAATGAATAGTATGAATAGCTAGTAACTGCTGCTATTAAGTCAGTACTAGAAATAGTAGAGACTAAAACGTCCATTATTTTGTATGGCCGATATTTGTAACATTTCCGCGACGTTTAACAGGGCAATCACGAGAAATCAGAAATAGTTTTCTGTTTCTTTCGATTACGCGATTACGAAAATTTGAGTCGAAATTATCCTTGTCATGTTTCCGTTGTCAGTATGCAGTTCTCTATGCTTCAAAATACGTGAATACTTTTACTTTGATTGGCGAAATTAGCTGAGTTTCGAGTCTATGATAATAACATCATACTTTGCCTTCCCAACTTTTCAAGTGCGAAATATTTTTATGGTACTTCCAATTTTTGTATTGCAAGTAGGACATTTTTTATTAGTTGCAGCACAACGGGAACATAATGACAGGTGGCTACAAGGCATGCAAAGATGATCTGACTCTTGTGAGGAACATCCTTTGCAAATTCGTTCCGATTGAAGATTACGTAATACTTGCGCAGTATCTGCGAGGAAAATAAAATCAGAATCAAAGTATATAAAATTAGTTTATTTATTCCAACAACAACAATTATCATATTCTAAAAAATAAAAAATAAAAAAAATTTGCTACCTTTCTTGGGATTTTGAAATGCAGGGATCGGAACAGGCGGGCCTTGAGCTACTCCAACATGTTCACCGACTGGTGGAGGCGGTATGTCGTAGGAACAATGATTTCTTATTATTGGTCTTCGGATATTCGGATGCTCTTCCAGCAATCTTTTGACCAAATTAACTCCTTTGCGACGCAGAACATACTCGCATCTATAACAGCAACCAAAATTTTTTAAAACATGCTTTTATCCGATTATACTAGGCAGTGCGAATATTATGAGGTAAATCCGAAGCATTATAAAAAATTCAGATTAGTAGAACTCAATTTTACAGCAATATTCAGTAAGTATGTGAATATAAGTAGAATACGAATCTATTGAAAGTACAAGTTTTGGAGGTATAGCTATAACCGAACTTACCCCGGGAACCATTTAGCATGCTCAGTCCACGGCTCATCCCCTTCATCCCAGTTTTGCAAACCCCCATTGCAGTAAAAACATTTTGTCCGGTCCCCTTGGCCTAAGTATTAAAGTGGATAACATAATTTTATAACAATACAAAGTTACTATAGCAAGCGATGTAAATATTAAATTTTTAGAATGCATTAGCAGCAGTTGTCTGATTTACTAATTTAACAATAACAATTTAAGGGTGACCGTAATTGATGATGCCATTTTGCAAATTGCAATATAACTAATGTTTCTAGTTCTAACCAGATGAAACTAGTAAACGTACCTAAGTAGAAAAAGCCAGCGTTTGCAATGCTCCGAACTGTTGCCTTTAGTCTATGACCTGGCCATTCGGGTCCAAACGATGCGATTCGATCTTCAATGTTTTGCATATGGGGATTCAACGGATGGAGACACTTGAAATGATGTTCTAGATACAGCTGTTCGTCTGAAGTGGGATTTGCAGGTTCTAGCTCAGAACTGAGAGAATCTAAACGAAGCTTTTCTTCAAAGTCAATTCGTTGTCTTTCTATGTCCGTCATTGGTATATTTCTCGTTTCAATCCAAGTTATTATTCTGTATATTTGAAAGTTGTTGTATTTGTTGAATAACCCATTTTTGTAGTAAAGCTGTTTGTATCTACGGCAACATTGGCGATAATATCGCGTAAGATAACTAATGTAAAAAGCACAATCTTATATATATGATTTTATAGTGTGTATCCGAAAGGTGTTATAGTAGAATAGTTGTCCCAATCTGCTTGTCCTTACTCTCGTATTGTTAAACCCACGTTAGCGGAGTAAAACCCCAACTGACTCCTCATAGTTCAATAAGCACACAATGTATTGTTATGCCAAATGTACCTATATATATTGTAAATTTGCACGATGAAATTGAATCCAAACAGATATATTAAAATATAGACTCAAATCCTAATACCAACTATATGGTTGAAATTTAAATTAGTAAGCAACACAAAACAGGAAAAACACTAAATTCTCGACTCTCAAACGGAGGCCGGAAACATGTCACAAATTGGTCGATACAAAGAACAGTCGAAAACAAAGAAGCATTGCTAGTACTTGTCACTTGTTTCAATAATTCATAATCGGGAAAAATAGGGCACAGACATATTCATTAAATTCACATACTAATAATACAGAGGGGTTAAATAACATTAAAATCCATAGGTACATTCCACATTCGTCTTTTGTTTGTAATATTTGCATATCGAACAATGAAGAAGTTTACTATTGTCTGAAAAATTCGGGGATATTGTGGATGTGATGCTCTACAACCGTACATTTTACTTCAACACAATCATAAATGCTTAAATGGATGATGTAGGTGATTATCAAAACAACCGCAGGGCCTTGGATATTCAAATTTTGTGAAAGTTAATGTATGTGAAAGTACAAGTGGAGACGATTGCATCGGAACTTAACAATGTCATATTACAGTCTAACTTTTCCTCACTATTAAGTAAATATCAGTGAAAGACATCAGGAGTTTCAGCAAACTGCCATTGCTATAATTCTATTCATGATGTTATTTTACAACGGTATCACATTTAATACTCACTTGCAATTCGGGAAATGTTTTCTGTGTTCTCTTCGTGGTTCGTCATTTCTGGTCCAATTTCTGAGGATGCCAGAGCAAGAAAAACACTGTGCCCGGTCTAAATTGCCGAGATAGAAGAAACCTTCTGCTGCTAACTTAGCTGGAAGTTCTGGTGCTGGATGAGAAGGCCATTTGGCAAAAGTTTTCCTGCAAATATATTACATCAGAATGAATTCTAAAATCGGAAATCAAAAAATGACACTGGTTTTCTGTAAAGGTGTTATATAGTCAAACAAAACGAATTTACAGGAGTAAATTTGTGCAAGAATGAAGCAAAACTTTTCGAAATATTCATTGTACCTTCTGTGTTCCTCATTTCTTAAATCAAGAGAAAATATCAAACGTTCATGTTCTTCAGAATGTATTTCTCCCAAGCGTAATTCCTAGATTTGAAACAGAAACATTATTTCGTTTTGCTATTACATGTGTTTTAAGAATAAAAATTAGGCAAGATAAAAACACTCAGTCAAGCAAAGTTAATAAAAAAAAGTCATCGGTTTCCATACCTCAAACTCCTGTTGTTGGTTTGGCATGTTTCTAGGATGAGCATATCTATCAGTTGATAAATCGTCA